AAAAAAATTGAGTTAAAAAATGCTAATTTAATAGATATTCAAAACTTATATACTATATGTGAAATGGACGAACATTAGTTCGGCTAATCTTAGGTTTCGTTTGGGACGGCTTTTTTATTGCTTTCTAAAATGGAGTTTTAGTACAAAAATAAAAAAAAATTGTACTTAAACTCCGTTTTAGAAATCAATAAAAAAGCCGTTCCAAACGAAGTCTTAAGCTGCTTCAAACGCTAGAGAAGTATAAACAAAATAAATAAAAAATCACGTGACTCACCTGACTCAGCTCTTAACGTCTCACCCTATTACTCAGTACGCTAATAATTAATTAATTAAGTATTCTATTGCTAACTAATTCTTTAATTATAATCTACACTGTTAATTATTTAATTAATTATTAATTTGTTTAATTAGGCCTCTCTAGGATTTTCTTCATCTCTCATGATGTTTGACTTCAGTCTTCGGTTCGGAAGTCACGACGGGACACGCCGCGAAGTTAACGATCTTTCACCCCTTTCGCTCGCTTCTTCGGCTAAATCCCGTAAATCCGCTAAACTATCGGATTTTCCTGATTCCGGGATTTAGTTAATTACTCAAATCCTGCTCAAATACTGCTTAAATCCTGCATCCAAACAGCCCCAATGCCGGAGTATTGTGTCACCGGAGGAACCGGATTCATAGCGTCCTACCTGGTGAAAGAGCTTCTATCCAGAGGCTACCATGTTCGAGCCACAGTTAGAAACCCAGGTGCTTCTCTTTCTATCTCATTTTCTATAACTCACTGTAATTTTGCCTTGTAAGTTTAATAGATTGTGACCATGGAGATATAAGCAGGAGATGAGGAAAAGGTTGGATTTTTATGGAGTATGGATGGAGCAACGGAGAGGTTGAGATTGATGAAAGCTGATCTATTGGTGGAGGAGAGCTTTGATGAGGCTTTTGACGGTGTTGATGGAGTCTTCCACACTGCTTTTCCTGTTTTCACCAGCGGAAATATTGAGGTAATTATAAACTGAAACTATATGTTTGCATATCAGTATAAAAGGATTGAGAAGGAATTATGAGTTCTCATTTATGATTTTTGTTTTGGGGATTGAAGTTGTATTCGCATATTTTCTTTTTAGGAGATTTACGTCTACATGAATTCTTATGCATTTAGATACATGTTTGTTTTGGTTAGAGTTTAAGTCTTTTATGTGGGATTTAGATGTCTGGTTGGTGAAAAAGAAAAATACTGTAAGATATGAAAAGTATTTGATTGGTTTTAAGGTCTTAACTTATGTGTTATTAATAAAATATCATGATGAATTATTAATGAATATATGTGTGCAAATCAATTATGATTATCCTCTTGTTGTGATTATTTTCCTAGAAAAAAAGTAAGAAACTCGGCAATATCTTCTCCAAAAATTATCATTTACATGGTTCACAAATTTGCAGGCAATTCATATAACAATTATCATACCAACATCATAATATAGTTATGAAGCCTAGCTTAATAATCCAACACTTGTATCTAACAAGCAAAGAACAATACATAAATTAAAGTACATTACATGATTCCATCTAAATTTTTTGAAGTGTATAATGTAATATTAATTATAGTAATCAATTGTGTAATTTGTCATATTCATAATCTTACTATGAAGGAGGTAAAATAATCAATAATGCAAATAATATGGAACTTGTTGGTGAATCTACCTTTATTTGAATTCAATTGTTGTGCTAGATTGGTATAGTAATTGATTGCATAGACTCCCCTTCTCTCTCTCATATTTCTTCTTTTTAATTATCCCAATCTCCAAATAGCTCTAATTTATAGAAGTTTCATGCAACTCATTCAAGGTCTAAACTCAACGTCGACAAATATCTTATATTGCATTCAGCATGAAAAAGAGAAGATTGAGGAGTCATAAAGTTTCTTCCCTATCGTTGGGATAAGATAAAGATGAGACATAGCTCAATATTAACTAACATATCATATTGCATTCAACATCATGAAAGGGAGGAGAGTGAGGAGTCATAAAGATTACTCCATTTTGTTGGAGTAGGCTAATGATGATAATAATAAACTAAATAATCTCATATTTTTATATGGTTTCATCAATTAAAACTTTTGCAAGCATATATATACACTCAAAATGGATATTAGAAAACATAACACTTTTGATTTTAGGGGTTATTTGGTTTGAAGTAAAATAGATGTAAAGTATTCAAAATATAAGAGTTTTGAAAAATTGATGTTTGGTTGGAAGCAAATGGAACTCATAATAAAATTTTCATGAATTCCAAACTTACCCTATAGGTCATTTGTGATGCATTCAAACTCAGCCTATTTGGTCGACTTCTAAGTACACTACAAGATGCCGCCACTACCGCCCACCTATATCCACTAGCTACCGTTGTCACCCCTGACAGTCAGATGCTGCTTGCCGTCAAACTTTATGTTTTATTCATTTTACTTTAAACCAAATACAAAAAACAATATCCAACATTTGTTTTAAAATATTTTAAATACTATATTCTTTTTTCTATTCATTCTTTTTTCAGCAAACCAAACAGGTACTTACTATATAACAATTAGTGCAGGAATCTCTGATTGACCTAGCCATTAAAGGCACCATTGATGTGCTCAAATCATGTGCTAAATTCAGCTCAGTCAAGCGTGTTGTGCTCACCTCTTCCTGCTCTGCTATAAGATATCGTAATGATTCTACTCTTGTTTCTCCACTGAATGAATCACATTGGAGCGATACTGAATACTGCAAGAGATATAACGTATGTCTACTTCTTTCTTATTTCAACTTTTTGTTTCATTTCATTGACAGAAATAGCTTTGCTTGGGGCCTTTTTAACTTCCTTCATAGTAAAAAAAAAGGCAGGAAAAAGTTGTTTGTTTGGATGAGTAAAAAAAACAATTATACCGCTTTTCCTAAAATTTGCTTTAAAAATGGAATTTTTGAAATGACAGAATAGAAACTTTGATTGAGGACCCTTTAGGGGTGATTGCAGTTGCTTATAAAAGTAGCTATAGAATTGTTATGAGAAAAAAAATATACTTTTTTAAAATTATTGTGAATTTTATAGTTTTTTTAATCGGGCAACAAGTTTTTTTATAGCATCCTTGCTTTTAGAAGATTTATTTATAAAAAATTACTTCACATCATGAAATTTTTTTAATAATAGTATGAAAGCTATAATCAAATAGAAATGTATTAGCTCTCTACAAAATAAGACAACTATATACTGTCCCAAATTGGCCCTTAAAAATGTAGCTTTTAAAATATCCTAGTAGCAAAAATTGAAAAACATAAGCACATAAGGACTTTGGCTATATCTATTGTCATTTGCAGCTATGATTTGGATGAAAAGTAATGCACAGTCTTTTTCATTTTTTCAAAAATGCTTTATAAATTTTACTTTTGCGAAATCAGAAAGGATATTATGGTTGAGAAAACTAAATTTTAAGAAGTCCAAAAAATAAACATAGAAAAGTATAAGCTACCTCAAATGAAGGGTGTTAAAATACCTTTATCTTGTATGGTATCATTCAATTGCAGCTATGGTAGGCATATGCGAAGACACTAGCTGAAAAGGAAGCTTGGAGACTTGTAGAGGAATATGGCACAGATCTTGTAGTTGTGAACCCATCATTTGTCGTTGGTCCTTTGCTAGCACCCCATCCCACAAGCCCTCTCCAAACGATACTGTCTATAATGAAAGGTTAACACAAATATAGATTACAACTATGTTAAGCTCTGATACTATTTGTAATATTCAAATGACATTATCTATAATGCAGGAGAATATGCTTTATATCCAAACAGGACATTAGGATTTGTTCATATTGATGATGTTGTTTCTGCTCACATACTTGCAATGGAGGATAGTAGAGCTTCGGGAAGGTTGATTTGTTCAAGCAGTGTTGCACATTGGTCAGAGATTATACAAATGTTGAGGGCCAAATATCCATCTTACCCAATTCCCAGCAAGTAAGAATCTATGAGATTGTTTAATCTTGTTATGATGGTGTGGTGCTCTTAGGGTGAGTTTGGTGTGATGAATAGGGATTTTAGCGCATCTTTGACGTTTTTTTAGATTATCACACAACTCACAATGCATGCCTGCCTCATCTTTTTTTGTATGCGGGCAAGTGGGCACCCATGTGTGGATGATTTGGGATACATGGGGCTAATGTGTCGTGCAGTCATGTGTGGCTTTGATCGTAATCTTTTTAGTTTCACTACTAATTCTACAAACAACTGCAGTCATTCAAAGGGGTTGTTTGGTAGCACTCAGGATTTGCTTTAAGTAGAATTTCGTAAATCCTCTAAATCTAGATTTCGGAAATCTTGAGTGACCTAAATCCTGAAAACTGTTTGGTAACATTCATGATAAATCCTATTAAATCTCGTGTGACTGTTTGTCTATAGAATGGATTTAAAGAGCTCTCGAGCCAACGGATTTTGCAAATCCAACAAAAAATAGGATTTCGGAAATTTTGGATTTAGCACGAAAAGGCTGAAGTTTCCGTCTACGGTGGCTTTCGGCTTTCATTTGCCATGAGATTTGGTTTTGCATTTTAGACCGTTTGGCTGGATTTTGCTCAAATCCGCTTCAAATCCTTCCTAAATCCTGCTACCAAACAGCCCCTAAATATACCTTTATTTCTGCAACTATTGTGAGCAAAGCATAGTTTTTGAAAGTTATTGTCATTATTATAATTTTTTTCTCACCATAAAAAGTCAACTAACTTTATCGCCTACTATATTCTAGCAGATTATGTGGTAAAACTCCCAGCTATAAATATTTCTAGAAAAAACAAATAATAAAGTTATAGCTAAACAAATGTGTGTCAGCACTGTAAAATAAAATTATGAAAAACTTGTTCCAACCATAATACTACTTGCTGAACTGACCAAGGAAAAATATGAATGTAGGTGTGATGAGAAGCAAGGAGATAGTAATCCACACAGCATGAATACCAACAAGGTGGAGGACTTGGGGCTCAAATCTTTTAAGACCATCACCGAGATGTTTAATGATTGCATCCAAAGTTTCCAAAAGAAAGGCCTTCTATGAGAAATATATTGAGGATCTTTATTGGTCACACTCTATTTATAAATGAATATTATATTCCATGTGAATAAGAATTATGTGGTGTAATAGAAAATCATCAAGATGATGAAGGTCAAAATTACATGAGTCCAAGCAAGAAGATCTTAGATCTATCCTAAAGAGTCCAACAAAAGGGCTATTTTGAAGCCCAATCAAGGAGTTATTATTTGAGTTTTAATATCTAAACTTTATGAAATAATTATAAATGCAATATTTCTATTAAAGCGAGTGAAAAATTAGAATGATTGAAAAAATATTTAGAAAATAAAGGGATTTAAATTAATAGAATAGACTTTGTATATATGATATATAATTTTAGTGGATAAGATATTAGCAACTATCAATCAATATTATTAAAAAATAAAATTATATCCAAGTATGATAGGTTAAAATGGAGAAATGTCAAGAGTGGATTATGTGATAATATGATATTATGATGACTAAAATATAAAATTTAAAAATTTATTATTAAGCTCATGATGTGGTAAGGATTATGTATCATTTAATCATATATATAATGTTATTATATAGTCCTAAAATAATAAAAGTTGTGTTCTCTTAATCAGTCAACACTCTCACAATTGGGCTTTGTAAACCAGCCTCCATTTCATCCTGTATCGCCAGTTTTGCTTAAAAAAATGGCACACATGGAACCTTTAATTCTATGGCACTACTCATGAAAGTAGCTTAGCTATCCTAGGCATTAAACTTTATGAATAAGTTTAGGGTATTATGCATTTGATGCCTCTGATCATTGGCTTATTTGATAGAACTGTATCTGGGGCTCCAACAATTTCGAAGAAACTTCAAATGGAATCAACTACTTTATGGTTTGATTAGTCTTTCACCTCTGTATTTGGGGAAATTATTCTGTGCGGTGTCTGGACTGGGTGAACTGTCTGGATTTACTGCGTATTTTATGAATATTTATTGTGTATTTTTCAAATACACATTAAATACTCACAAAATACACATTTGTGAGTATTACTGAGTATTTTGTATGTATTTGTTGAATATTTTGTGAGTTTTTAATGAGTATTTGCTGATTTGTTGTGTATTTTGTGAGTATTTATTGTGTATTTGAAAATACACAGTAAATACTCACAAAATACGCAGCAATCCAGACGATTCTTTCAATATAGACTCCACGCAGAATAATTTCTCCTATACCTGAGTCGAATGAATGACAAACATGTCAGCATGACTATACTCTCACTTTCTTTTGACTTTGCCCCACTTAGACATAGTTAGCCCTAATTATTAATTATTAATTATAATTATTAACTAATTATTATAAACAATGAAATTAGAATCAAGCTAATTATCAATTAATCTTTTTTTAATATCATCAATTAATTTAAGTAATTAATTATTATTAATTAACGTTATATTTTAATTAATTTTAATTAACATGATTAAACTAAATTAATTTTTATGTTTATCAGTTATCACTGCCTTCCAATAGCCGCAGGTTTGTTTAGGGCTGCTTTTCCTCATCTACGGCTGTTCGTTGCTATTCGACTTCGCTTGAACGAGTAGCCAAATAACTTCTTCGCCTTCTTCGACGACGTTCCTTCCTATCGGATCCGAAGTCACACCTCGTCGCCGTTCTCACGGGAGCTTGCTCGTTGCGAAGGCAGCGATCTTGCTTCCTTTCGCGCGCTTCTTCGGCCAAATCCCGTAAATCCGCCGAACTCGCGGATTTACGGCAAAAAGAGGGAAACGGAGGATTTAACTCGCTGTGAGATCTAACAGTTCCCTAAATCGACTTAGCATAAATTGTGTATGCAAACAGCCCCAAAGTCCTGCTACTGAGCAGCAGCCTCTTCGTGTGCACTGCCCAGGACTCGGTCAGCCATTTAGCACGAACCACCCGAGCCACCTCAACCGCATAAACCCTTGCCAATTTCTTTTCATCGGCTCTGCGACGATTACTTCCTTCTCAGCTCACAATGAAGCTCGATGTGGACGCTTTGAGGTATCTATCCAAAGAAGATTTCAGAGTCTTAACCGCCGTCGAGATGGGGATGAGAAACGTAACTTCTATTTCACTATCTAATTTTTCGTGTACCGTTCAGTGCTGTGTGTGTGTATTCTATTTTTCTCATTCTTTTTAATATGTTTTTAGCATGAAATTGTTCCCGCGGAGCTTGTTGAGCGGATTGCCGGCCTCAAGTAAATTCTTTCCTTGTAATTCAATTGATTTGATGCTTTGGAGAACTTGATTGAGATAATTTAACCAAAACCTGTAACCACAGGCATGGGGGAACATACAAGGTATTGAGGAATCTTCTAAAGCATAAGCTTGTACATCATGACTCCTCAAAATGTGAGGCATTCGGTGTCCCTTGCTAAACTGTTATTCGGATTATGAATTTCATTTCGTAGTGCGTAAGAATGTAATTTTTGCCTCGATTTTTTTTGCGCAGACGATGGGTATCGGCTGACCTACCTTGGATATGATTTCCTTGCAATCAAAGCACTTGTCAATCGTGGAGTATTTTCTTCTGTTGGCAGGCAGATAGGTGTTGGAAAGGAATCTGGTATTTATTTCTTTTGTGATATATTCATTTTCTTTAGCTGTTTTTTTCAAAATTGGGTTTCTTATCGTTTGACGATGTTGCAACTGTATGTTATGCTTTGTTCTATTATGAAAGATATATTCGAGGTTGCCACTGAAGATGGAACGATTCTGGCTATGAAGCTGCATAGGTTGGGTAGGGTTTCTTTCAGGGCTGTGAAATCTAAGCGTGACTACTTGCTGCACAGAAGGAGCTATAACTGGCTATACTTGTCAAGGCTTGCTGCTCTCAAAGAATTCGCCTTTATGAAGGTGAATTTTTTTGTTAAAAAAAAAAAAACTTTAGGCACTAGGATTACTTGTCCCGTTCAAGCTATTTTTTATATAAATTTTCTGTCATAGGCTTTGGGAGAGCATGAATTTCCTGTTCCTCGTGCTGTGGACTGCAACCGGCATTGCGTTGTAATGTCTCTTGTCCAAGGTTACCCATTGTAAGTTATGATGTTTTGTTTAGAATTTAAAATGCTTAATGTTTTTACGAGAGGAGATATTTATTTGAAATCTATGTATTTTCCAACATTGTGGCATTTTGTCACTAATTTTTTTATTTCTAAATTTTGATTGCAGAGTGCAAGTGAAGCAGCTACAAAATCCTGACGAGGTTTTTGAGAGAATTATTGGTCTTGTTGTTCGTTTGGCAGAGCATGGGCTTATTCATTGTGATTTTAATGAATTTAATATCATGGTACCTATGCTATGCTGATATTTAATTATTAAATTATGCTTTAAAGGTTTACTATTTTTTTATTTGTCATCCTTTTCTCCTTTACCTATATTGATACTACTAAAGTACCGCTTGATTATCCTAAATTTCTATTATTTTTCTTGTTTCTTGTTGTTCAACACTGTCCAATTTTAGATTGGCATCTAATTTGGGAAAGGGCGGGCAATATTGAAATTACATTCTATCAGTGATGTCAAACCAATGAGAAGAACCATTATTGCGAATGTACACCTTCAAGGATGAGAGATATATAAGAGATTTAGTTAGGAAAGTCTTTCAAGAGGAATGAGAAAGGCTTCTCCTAGTGGGAGGTGACTAATAGATCTCCAAAGTGGACAAGGGGGTTGTTAAATCTCAGTCGTCCCTTAGCAGATTGATTCCACGGCTAGGATGGGGATCCGTGGAAGGCTCACCTGGATCATGGCGATTCCTTTCCATAGTTAAGTGGATGATTTAGGAAGGATTATATTAGAGCAATTCAGGATTATGTAATTGATTTATTTCTTTATTAGATATTTTATATAGATTTACAAATAGGGATATATTTGTGCAATAAAGTTAAGCTTTTTCCTCTCAAATCTCCGAATTCAACAAGGGTTTTGCAAATTTCCAAGTTTAGCGGGAGCAATTTGAATTCATAATGTAAAACTAGTTCATGTTTAAGCCATGCACTATTGCAAAATGTGCACAATAAAAAAAAAAAAAAAACTAGCCATTAAACCATGAATAAACTAATAAGCAAAATAGGTTGTTTTAGTTAGAGAGCTTGCAATCAGTAACCAACCTCTCAACTTTATTGCATAACCCATAATGAGATAGTAGAATGGATTTTCAAGTATGTTTAGAATTTTTCTATAGGTTTTCTATTGACCTATCGATCAATTAATGGTATTTAAAGTAATGCTTTAGATGATTTTATCACTTTGTTTTTCTTATTTTCCTGTATTGTGTTTCCTAAATCTTTGAGAGGAAGGAATTTGAATTGTAATGTAAAAATAATTTATGCTCAAGTCATGCACTATTGTAAAATTTGTAAAGAAGAAGAAATAGCATGAAGCCGCAAAAGAACAAATAAGAAAAATAGGTTGGTTTAGTCGGAGAGGCTGTGATTAGTAGCCAAACTCACGAGGTTGTTGCATATGCTCACAATGTGAGGCTAGAATGGATTCAGAAAAAATTTAAAGATCTATTTACTAGGATTTCTATTTATCTAACAATCAATTAAAGGCATTCTCGCATTGTTTAATGTTTTAGATGATTTTTTTACTCCAAACATCTTATTTCTTAAGTCCCCCTCAAATTGAAGGGAAAATTCTATAAGATTGTCATTAAACGTATAATGCTTTATGTTGCAGAATGTTGGCCATTAAAAGAGAAGCATACTATTAAGTTAAGTGTTGCAGAGATGAGGATGCTCATGTGGATTTTGACTTTACTCTTAGAGATATGATACAATATGAGCATATATGTGAAAAGGTTGGAGTAGCTCTAGTGGAAGATAAGATTAGAGAGAGTCGCCTTAGATGGTTTGGTCACATAGAATGGTGGCCTTCCGATGACCCAGTTAGAAAAGTAGATGTATTAGATTTGACTTATGTTAAGAAAAGCAGTGGTAAATCTAAAAAGACTTCGTTAGAAAATATTAGAAATTACCTTTCCTTATTAGATTTAGATGAGAATTTAACTTTTAATAGGATATAATGGAGAAAAACGATTCATGTAGCCGATCCCACATAGTGGGATAAAGGCTTGATGTTGTTGTTATTGTATTCATCTTATTTCTTGCTAAACCAACTGGAAAACTTTCTTTTTAACTCCTTGTCGGATTTCCATAACTCTCATTTTCTTAAGTTACCCTTCACAAGTAGCAATTGGCTTGCTATTTTTCTTGCATGGTTTCACACTGTGCACTAAACAATTAGTTGTTATTGAGAAATTGATACCAAACAACAATGATATGTAACCAGTAATAGGTAGCAGCCACTAGTGATAATTAACAATGAGCAACAATCAATCAACAACACACATAGCTAGCAAAAGAATTAATACGGAACTAGCACTTGCAAGCAACAGAACAACTTAGAATGACTACTATACAATTGCTATAGTACCCATCCACTTGAGATCTATTTTTTCTACTTTGCTGAGATATGGAGAAGGAATTTGGATAGAGAAAGAAATGTAATGTTTTTGGGATATATTTTAAATTTTCAATTGATTCATTGCAGAATTTCAAACCTTTAAATGGACAATTGTAATTGAGTATGTATCTTATCCATTCCTGAACCAAATCCTCAAACAATAAGTCCTTTTCAATAATAGCAACTTAGATATTTTAAAAAAAAAATATTGTAGCACCATATTTTTTATATTTTATGCAATGAACTTGCTTCTTACATGCTTTTTTTTCATTGCTTCCATACATATATAATTGTTTTTTAGAGTTTAATTTTTTTAGCATTAGATACTGGTATGCATACATTTGACGTCAATTATGCTCTTGTAGATTGATGATGAAGAGAAGGTCACCATGATTGATTTCCCTCAGATGGTGTCGGTTTCCCATCGTAATGCACAAATGTAAGTTGTATTTTCCTTTTTTGCTTTGTTAAAATTTCTTTAGGAGGATTGTATCTGTGATTAACTTTAAGCCATGTGCCAGTATGGGAAGTTTTTTTTTTTCCCCTTTCATAAGCAATGGCTGAAGGAATCTATCTTTCAGGTACTTTGATCGAGATACTGACTGCATTTTCAAGTTTTTCAGTAAAAGGTTTGTAGCACTGGATTTAATATTGTTTTATTATCTTTTGATGTTGAGCTGATCTTATTTAGTTTATGATTCATGTGGTTTCTTCTTGAGCATGCATGCTTTGTTGTGGCATTTTACACATTTACGATATTCACTGTTAATTTTGAAGAGACTAACTTTAAGCATCGTTACTGATAGAGAATTAAAATGCCAAGTACCTTTTTACCATAATTTTACACGCTTTGTATTTTATTTCCTTTTTCTATTATCTTAAGAAGATATCTAGCATAAAAATTTATTTTTGGCTTATGAATCCATCATTTCTGATCATATTTAATATATTTGTCTCGTTTCTAGTTATATTTAAGATTGATTATTGATTACATATTTATTTTTTAATATCTATTTATTGATCATATTTTAGTTATACGAGTATTGTAGGATTATTTATCAATTGTATATTAATTAATTTGTTTTTCCTATTCTATAAACACTTCTCACTATATTAATCTGTCATTAGCCTTTTAGCTTCACCAGTCACTCTATCTTTTCTCATTCCGCTCCCACCCAAAATCATAGAACCCTTCTACCCCACCCCGACCCAAGCTTTTTCGAGGCTTGACTAGGAGAAGAAATCGACGGGAGCTTAGTCTAGCTTTGCTAATGGAAGTATGTGAATCACAAAGCCCTTAAATCCTTTAAACTCAAGAACTTTCTTGATTTCACAAAACCAGCATAAGAGTTACCATATAGTTGCTCTGATTACCTTTTTTTTTGAGAATTTAGGTTGTGAATTAAGCAAGTTTTCATTTGCTTTACTTATTTTTTCCAATACGTTAATTGATCATTTTATGATTTGTTAAGATGTCTGAGGTCTTGTTTTGATGCGAAGAAGTCTAAGAGCAAATGCGTTTGTTGCTCCAATACGTTAATTGATCATTATCTTATTCAATTCGCGTAAAGTAGTTATATAATAATTTCAATTTTTTTGATTGTTTGTTTGCTTAGATTTGTAAAATTATTTGTTAATAACTTAATATGAAAAAGCCAAGTATTTGTTTGAATTTTTAGCTTATTGAGGTTGTTGAAGTAATTGTTTAATTAATTTAGATAAACCAAGTATAATTATTGCAAAATTTAAACAAGTTAAGTATGAACATACATGTGAAAACTTGGCTTAAGCTCAACCGAACATGAAAATCTTATAATATGACCAAGCCAGTCTAATATATGAAATAATAGGCTAGGCTAGGCTCGATTACAGCCCTACTTGACTGTTATTATGAATTTTAGCTTACTATTCAGTTATGACAAAATGTATATATTTTAGTTTTTAATGGATTATGTCTTCATTATGAGTTCATTCTCTCTTTTCATGTGAATTCCTGGCAATGACTGTACTCACAATTCTTGTTTTTCTTTTCAAGGTTTCACCTTTCTTTTCATTATGATAAAAAAGATGGTTCTGATGATTCCGGTTCTGATTTGGAAGAGGATGGTAGGCCATCATTTTGGTCCATAGAGAAGTCTACTGGTTTCTTGGACAAAGAACTTGCAGCAAGTGGCTTCACAAGAAAGGATCAAGATGAAATTGAGAAGGTACACATGTGTTGAAGGATTTTTTTGGATTAATTTCAACTTTGTTTTTTAATGTGCAACCTGAACCCTATAATTTGATGTTGCCGGTCGATTGTTCCATTTTGTGTAGTTAGATGAGGCTGCTAATTTTCGTTGTTTTTCAATATTCGATGCCCCTTCAGTGTGTGAAAGTTTTGATATAAGGCTACTAATGGTATTGCTTACGTGACATAATACCACCTTATTAGTGGATTTTTAGTGAGCAAATATATTACAGAGTTTAATATTCAACCAAATTAATATTCATTAGTTGAAGAATATAGGGTTTATGATAGAATTAAGGGTCAAGAAAAGTTAAAAGATTTGTGACCTCATTAAGTTTGTCACTTGACTGTGTGGAAGTTTTGAAATATGAGCTGCTAATGGTATTTCCTACGTGGCATCATACCACTAGGCACCTATACTTGGTTTTTAGATGATCCCTTCTACATATAAAATACCTTTAGTTTGTAAAGTTTATTTTTGCCTGCACGTGACATAATTCTTCATTTACCCAAATATTCTCACATAGGTCAACCTTTCTTTTTCTCTATCACACTTGCTGTAAAGTATAAACATGACCATCTATTTTTTTTTCACCTTATTAGAAGCCCCCTAGTTTCCCATTCTTAGACTTCTCTGTGTAAGCCATCATGATCTGATCTTTTCTTGATCTCACTTCTTTCATTTCCTAAAAATTGGTTGTAACTTTGCATTTTTCATGCTTAATATTATTGGAAAATGATTTACAATATTATTCCAGTTTATTGAAGGAGATGTGCGGGAAACAGTGACCTCTGATGATGAAGATTGTGCTAATGAAAACCAAGCAGATAATGATGTTGCCAATGCTATTGTTAATATTTTACCTTGCTTGCAGTTGGTAGAGAAGGTATTACCGAGTTTCAAATGATTTTTCTTCTTGAGGTCTTGTTTATAAGCTTTATTTAGAATCTCAAGTAGCGCTGCACTTCAGTATTCTTCTCATGAGAATCACAAAAATTTATCTTTAACGGGTAATGTAGCTTAAGACTAGATTAACTATGTCTTTTTGGCTTAATTTTTTGGAATTTTGCTATAATAAGGTGGCCTTGGAGGCAGCTTTGTTAGCAAGTTCATCCTGTTTACATCTCGACTCAACATTTTTCTCTTTAACTAATATATTCGGAATCTTCTATAGGAGGCCTCATTAGATCGTGAAAATGGGGATAATACAGATGAGCATCCTGATATTTCGGTTACCAAAGAACCTAAAATTGCAGAAATTATTCACATTGGTGATGTAAGTTGCATTCCTTTTTCCCTAGTCATGTATTTATACCGGTCCTCTTCATATCAAACCATCATTACCCTGTAAATTGGCAATGTCTCTCAGGATCTCTTTATGACTATAACATTTATATATTTGCAATTTCTCATTCTACTTTTTTGTCTTGTGTTGTTTAGATTTTCTGTTAATGTTTTGATCTGAAATCATAAAACAAAGAAGGATTAAAGGGCTGTTTGAGTCAATCACCCAATTAGACAACATAGTAGGAGAGGTATGAACATGTGCCGCCAGTACCCCCATGCTAGATTGTGGCCTAAGCCCACTAACCTTGTCAAACTAGGGTTCTGGCCTCATCTCAGGGATAAATTATTACGTACGGTCCGTGCGGAGTCTGGATACATCCGGATTCCAAGAAGAACGCGACATGTGTTCTTATGCATAGTGTGTATAACTGTGCACTGCACAAATTACAAAATTATATACAACGTATACAAATTTATATACATATTATATTCAAACTTGTACGCATGTATAAGGGCAAGTTTTACATTTGTATTAAAGTTCGGACGCAACTCTACGTCCGGATTCCGCACGCTATAATTTCTCCATCTCAGGATGCACTGTCCTGTCCTTGAAACTTTGCTATGACTAGGTCTTGCCCCATAGTGACAGCCCTAAAAAATTTTTGATCTTCTAACCCTAAAAAATTTGGTTGCTCTTGTTGCAGGAGATTAATGGTTCTGATGATGATTGTGGCACTGGTTCCGAAGATGGTATTCCTGTCCTAACAAAGCGTTTAAACAGACAGAGGCAGCGAGCTGTGGCGGCTGCTCGAGGTGGTCGGAAGGCTGTAGTTTCAAGGAATTCTTACAAGGATAAGGGTGGCAGCAAATCATCTCACAACTCTAAACTACAACGGCAGTCCTGCAAATTATACAGCTAAACAAACCAGCATAATTGTGTTTCTGGAGAAATTATTCTGTGCAAAGGTCGGACACAGAATGCCGTCCGGAAATTAACTAGATAGCATCATATCAACGGTACCGAGCAGTATTGAGCCGAGCCACAGTATCAAGGGAGGGGTGACATGCCACATTCTAGTTAGTCTCCAAATAAGTCTCCGGATGACGTTTGACGTCTGCACAGAGTAATTTATCCCATTTCTGAAGAGTTACAGTAATCCATTTTGATTGTACTTGGTATGATTATTGAGAATTTAGTGCATCAATTGGCTTATATATTTTTTCGTAAGTGTTTATTTTATGATTTCTTAAAGTTTAGGAGATCATTTCCATTCAATGTTAGTAAGTATTTATTTTATATTATAGATTGCATCATTATCTTCCCAAATATATTGTGGAGATCTGTTGTGTTTTGTTTGTGATTGCTTTCTGCGTAAGCTTTATTTTGAACTTGAAGATAACTCCAAGATTTAGGCCTTCTTGAGCTCATATTTGTGATTGCATCATTATCTTCCCAATGAAAGTTGTGCTCGAGTTCGTGAGAGGAGCAAAGGGGAAAATGATACAGGCCATTTGAGTCGAGGTAAAGCAAGTCATTTGGGAGTGGTCTCCGTTTGGGTCTGCGATATGATATTGTAGCTAGAGTTGAAAAAATTTTAAGAATGTTATTGTGAAAATTAGTAAGAAAATTATTCCGAACAAAGCCTAAAGCATATTCTTGCATGTTAAATCATAGAATTGTTAGGTCTTATTTTTCATAAAAACAATGCTAATTTTCTTATGTAAATTGATCATCCACATTTAAATTTTCTTTAAAATGAGTGTAACACAAAAAAATTCAATTAAAATGTATATTACACATATATCAAAATAAATAAAATACTTTTAATATCTATTTCAACAAAAAAATTTAATCAAAAAATTATATAACTATTTTTTATGAATATATTACATGTATTAAAAATCTTGAGTGTAATTATAATTTGTACCTCTTAACTCTTATTTTTTTTATTAAAAAATATTTTAATATCTTATATTGAGAACCGGGCTGGCTCAATGCTCAAGAAGAAGAAAAAAGTGAGAAAACAGAGAAAGAAGAGAGATGTAACATGAAAGTAGAAAAAGTTTATTATCTCACTTAATCTCTGAACATTACATAACTAGCTATAAATACATAAAGTAATATACAATACAACAGCAGACAACTTAACATAACCGGTACCTATAGTACTAATATGAATACACTAACATATATCACTTGTAGAATGTATTTAGACATATAAGCTTATGTACTTTTTTCAATAAATTAACTTCCAAAATCATTACTTTAAGATTAGGACCTTTGTTGCCGTGTATGATCTCTCTAAATCAAACTGCTTTTGTAAAAGGTAGATTGATATCGGATAATATTCTTATGGCCCAGGAATTGGTTAATGATCTTAACATAAAAACTAGAGGGGGCAACATGTTTTTTAAGCTTGATATTTCTAAAGCTTATGATAACATATCTTGGGAGTTTATTTATAAAGTTTTAGAGCTTTTTGGGTTTTCTAATCAATTTATAAGGTTTATTAGAAATTTTGTGGACAATGTTTGGTTTTCCGTTTTACTTAATGGTTGTTCTAATGGCTTCTTTCATCCTAAACATGGGATTAGGCAAGGGGACCCATTGTCTCCTTCTCTTTTTATTATAGCCATGGAATACTTTTCTAGATGCATTAATTTTATATTTGAGAAGTATCCGTCCATGTATTACTTAAATAAAGATGGATTTCCTATATCTCATTTTTGTTTTGCAGATGATTTCATGATATTTTGTAATGGTGGATTAAACCATATTAAGAAAATTAAAAGTTTTCTTAATAATTTCTTTTTGGAAAGTGGTTTATCTATAAATGACCTGAAAAGTTCTTTCTTTACTTCTAAACATTTCACTTTAGCTAAGATAAATATAATTTCTTATATTACCAATTTTGTTCATCAAAGTTTACCTTTTAAATATTTAGGTGCTCCGATTTTTAGAGGTTTAAAGAAATCTCACCTTTTTGATGAAATTATTAAACAAATTACTGATAAAATTTCTTCTTGGGAATTTCATTTTTTTTCTTATGGTGGTAGATTAACTGTTCTAAAGAGCATTCTTAATTCTATGGCTTTTCATTTATTCCAAGTTATTCAACTCAATTTTGCTACTGTTTTAAGATTAGAGAGAATCCTTAATAAATTTTTTTGGGGTTCTAGAAATGATATTACTAGAATGCATTGGACCTCTTGGAGTAAGCTTTGTGGCTCTTTATATGAAGGAGGTCTTGGTTGTAAATCTATCTCTGATTCTATTATTGTTTCATCTATGAAAATGTGGTGGAATTTTAGGAAAAATGAAAATCTTTGGGCTTCTTTTATGAATTATAAGTATTGCAAAGGTAAACATTCCTTATGTTGTTACTATAAGCATGGTGGCTCTTTAATTTGGAAAAGGCTTTGTTAAATAAAGAATATTATGGAACCTCTTATAGCTTGGGGGTCTTAATTCTGGAAACTGTTTTTTTTTTGGCAAGACAATTGGCTTTTTTAAGGTTCTATTGAATCCCTTCTTTCTACTGTTTCTTATTCGGCTATTAAAGTAAAGAATTTTTTTCATATCAATACTTGGGATATGCAAATCTTGCTTGATCTGATTCATTAGCACTAAAATTTTTAATCTTTCTTTGGATAATCAAAGAAAATATCATATTCTTTTTAAACTATCTTATAATGGTAACTTTGTGTTTAAAGTTGCTTGGGATTTCATTATAAAAAAGAAAGATATTTCTATGGCTTTCAAAAGTATTTGGAGCAATAACATTCCTACATCCTATTCTATTTTAGTTTGGAGAATAATAAAAGGTTTTATTCCTGTTGATACTATTCCTTGGAAGAAAGGTTTCTATCTTCCTTCTAAGTGCTATTGCTGTTATCATATAGAAGACATCAATCATGTTTTTATTAATGGCCCCATTGCTGCTAGAGTTTGGATTTGGTTTGATAATTTTTTTAATACCAATTATTTTAGTAGTCATTTATCTTTTAATCATTTTCTAACTGTTATTTGTCACAATACTACTTTGGGACATATAAAAGTTGTTACTGCTCTCTCTTATTTGGTTCTTATGGATTGAGAGAAATGATGCTAAACATAGGAATGTTACTATGAATCATAATCGAATAATTGCTAGAACCAAAGAGAAAATTAATAGCCTTTATAAGGTTAATTTGATTCATCAAAAGCAATTTTGTGGCTTTAAATTTATAGCTAAAAAGTTAAATGCTAATATCTTTGAAAACCTTCATGAAGAAAGTTTCAAATATGTTATTTGGAAGAAACCTAGTATTCACTATATTAAAGTTAATACTGATGGTTCTGTTTCTAAAGACTATTCTGGTTGTGGGGGTATTCTAAGAAATGACAAAGGTAACCTAGTGGTGGCTTTTTCTTCTCCTCTTAGTAATTGCTCTATTTTATTTGCTTAACTAATTACGATTTTTAAAGCCCTTCAAATTTGCTTATCTTTTGGATACTTTAAAATTTGGATTGAAGTTGATGCTATGTTAGTTATTAACAGTATTTTTTCTGATCATAATGACAATTTTGATACTTTTTATGTTTTAAAAGACATCAAAAAAATGTTCTCTCATTTGGACTATAAATTTTCTCATATTTGGAGAGAAGGAAATTCTGCTGCTGATTTTTTAGCTAAAACTGGAGCTAGATTGAATCAGTTTACTTTATTTCATCAACATAATATACCCCTTTTATTAAGGGTATAATTAATCTTAATAAATGTGGGTTACCATATATTCGAATATAATTGATAGTTTGGCTATGATGTTTAGTTTAATCAATTTATTATGGAAGTTTAATTTGCCTTTTCTCTTTGAAGTTGCTGTTTGGGATAGCTGGATGGTGGATTTTTTAGCTTATTTATCTTGGTTCAATACCTATTCTACTATAACTGATATGGGTTTTATTTGCTATTTGGTTAATCAAAGCTTAGTTAAATTCTGGAACAATTTGTTTTTATTCTAAAAGCATTCATTTGAGATATTTGGTATTCTATTTCTTCCATAATATAATTTTTAGAATTATTAATTTGTTATGGAAGTTTTTTTTGCCATATCTCTTTGAATATTTTGATTGGTTTAGCTGGTTAGTGGCTTCAATAACCAATTGTCTCTATTTTTTCTATGGCTGGAATGGGGCTGTCGGTTATGCTTGGATTGTTGGTATTGGTTTTGAAGAAGATTGGATTGTTTGGATGTTTCTGATGTTTGCTGAATCTATTGCTATCCTAACCAGTTTTTCTTTGAGAAAATTGGTATTTTACTTCTTCTGTAATAAATTTTTTAACCCTGAGCCTTTAAGATACGATCTTGATCTAGTTTTTTATCATGGATTTTATGAATTATTTAACTTCTATGCTTATAAGATTTTTTCAGATACCAAAAAGCTTCCTCAAATTGGTTCTTATTGTTTTTGGAAAAAAGATTTTGCTGAAGATTTGAAGAGTAAAGTTCTAAAGTGTTGGAGATGGAGTTTTTCCTTTCAGTGCTTCCATCATCAATTTCCCCTGGAGTCTTCTGGACCTGTTGATCAAATAGGAGTTCATTTTCATTGTACTTGTATCTAGTTCAGAGACTTATGGCTCATTAGATTTTATTTTCTTTTTATTGTATTTTATTTTCTTCAATGTGTTTTCTTTTCTTTTAGTTGAGCCTTTAGTCTCTCTAAGGACTTTTTGTAATCGCTTATTTTTAATAAACGCGTAAGCCCATCAGTGGGTTTTAATTAAAAAAAAACATATATCACTTGTAGCTCAAGGAAAAAAAAAAATTTAAGGGGGGCACGCGCCCCCCCTTGCCTATAGTACAAATATGAATACACTAACCATAGTTAGGGGACGATGGTTGGAAGAACCGTAGTTGGGTGATGGTGGTCATAGGATCGTAATCGGCCGGCGACGGAGGTTGGAAAGACTGTACTTGGGTGAATGTGGTTGGAAGGACCATAGTCAGGCGATGACGATTGTAGGGACTATAGTCGAATGACAATGATTGGAAGGATCATAATCAGACAACGCTGGTCGGAAGAATCAAAGTCAGATGATGGTGATTGTAAGGATCGAATGGTCGGAAAGAATATAATCGGGCAACAATGGTCAAAAGGTTTGTTGTCGGGCGATGATTGTGAGAAGAACCATAGTCGGGTGATGGCAGTCGGAATGACTGTAATCAGTGGGCGATGGTGGTCGAACACGCTGTAGTCGGGCAACGATGGTTGGAGGTACCGTATACAGGTGACGGTGATCGGAAGGACCGTAGCCAGACAATTGTGGTCGAAAAGATCGCAGTCGGGCAACTGTGGTTGGAAATGACCAGTTCTACGGGCAACAGCAGTCGAAATGACCATATTCAAGTGACGGTGATTGGAAGGAAGTCCGACATCAGTCGACGACCAGGTGGAAGTTCAATGACATTAAGCAACCTAACGGTGCAAGCTTGAGAAAGCAAGAGAGGTCCTTTGTTTCCATCTCTTCCTTCTCATCCCCTTTGTGAAAAATGAGGGGTTCATTTATAGTTATTTTTTGAGTGACATTGTTAGTAAATATAGAGATTATCAATGACATGTTGGGTGTGTTTAATGGACGACCGATATCAACTCCGTCGATCATGAATTATTTATTAAGCATTTGAGTGCCTTAATGATGTCATAATTTGGCGATCTTAGGCTTTTTGGATTTTTCTCATCGAGCCACTCGATTCGATTATAAGCATGTTATATATGGTTACCATTAGGTCATCTAATTAATTCTCTAAAGCTTCTCAATAGGCTTCTCGCCCTTAATTTGAATTCACTTGGATTCAGATTGGACCTATTTTGATGCCTTTGAATTCGTCTATTTGAGAAGTTCAGTTTGAGAATTAAAAATTTTTTATCAAAAAATTATTTTATAATGCAATAAGAGAGTCTGAATTGATCCCGGGTCAGCCCATGGCGACGTGGTACAGCTTCCCTGCCAAGCATCCTTCCCTCCATTTTTTAGAGCACTTCAGACCAGCACAGCAGTTGAGAAGATCAAGTCAGCTCCAGACTCAGGAGAGAGAGAGAGAGAGCTGTATCGTCTGCGGTGGGGATGACGGACTCCACGGTACGCTTCGGCCTGCTGTGCAGCATGTTCGAGGCGATGGGCCGGGACCGGTCGGCGGTGAAGAAGCGGAACCGGTTTCGGACATTTTTGGAAAGGGTCTACACCGGCCGGGACTACTTCAGTGCTATACGCCTTATCCTCCCTTCCCTCGATCGCGAGCGCGGTACTTACGGCCTTAAGGAGTCCGCTCTCGCAGCCGCGCTGGTGGATGCCCTCGCCATATCCAAGGACTCCGAAGATGCCCTCCGTCTTATCAACTGGCGCAAGGGCGGGGCGCGCACCGGAGCCAACGTTGGAAACTTCGCACTCGTTGCCGCCGATGTACTCTTTTCTCCTCTCTTCCTTGTATATTTATATATTTTTAATTTCATTCTTTGAGTTATCCTGCTCTCTTTTGTCAGATTTTGCAGCGGAGGCAGGGTTCGGCTTCCGGAGGGCTCACGATCAGAGAGGTGAACGACGCGCTTGATCAGCTTTCATTGAGGGAGGGCAGGTACTGGGTTTGCAGCGGATGGGTTTTGCTTCTGCGAGAAGCGATTTTTTTGGCTATAAATTGCGCATTTCTGTTATCTTTGGAGGGGCTTTGATGCGGAGTTCAATTGTGCAGTTAGCGTTGGAAATCCTAACTTCTTTAATTAGTAGAATTCAAGTTGGATGGTTGAAATGGACTGAATGCATCAGGCTTGTTGTGTGATAGAAAAGTCCTCCTCAAACTTAAGCGAAAATTCTATAAGATGGTAGTTAAACCTACAATGCTTTATGGTGCTGAATGTTGGCCATCAAAAGAGAATCATAATATTATATTAAGTGTTGCAGAGATGAGGATGCTCAGGTGGATGAGTGGTTTTACTCTTAGAGTCAGGATACAAAATGAGCACATATGTGAAAAGGTTGGAGTAGCTCCAGTGAAAGATAGGATTAGAGAGAGTCACCTTAGATGGTTTGGTCACATAAAATTGCAGCCTTTTGATGACCCGTTTAGGAAAGTAGATGTATTAAATTTGACTTATGTTAAGCAAGGTAGAGGTAGACCTAAACAGACTTGGTTAGAAAATATTAGAAATGACCTTTCTTTACTAGATTTAAATGAGAATTTAACTTTTAACAAGGTACAATGGAGAAAAAAGGATTCATGTAGCCAACCCCACATAGTGGGATAAAGGCTAGACGTTGTTGTTGTTGATGAAAGGAGGAGAAATTTTAAATTCATAAATTATGAGATTAAACAACTTGTTTTACAATATTAGGAGAATTTTATGTTGGATTGGGAATGAGAGGTTATTTATTTTATGTTTGTTGTAGCATTGTATGACTTTTAATGGCTTTACTTTATTTTTTAATGATATTAATTTAATATTTTATTTTGTGTTAGCATGTTTCTTATTATGTCATATTTTCATTAATTTAATTTTTTGGTTATGAGGCTTCACCTTGCCTCATGGAAAGAAAATGCTTCAATACTTTATTGTATAATTTCAAACCTTGGTTTATGTTATCTTCTTCAATGCCCAGTCAGTCAAAGCACCAAAAAGTCAACTATAGCACAAGTAGAGAAAGGGTTTCCCCCTTACTTTCGAATGCACAACACTACAATACCAATCTCTCTTCTACTCAAATTTAATAATAAAATTGACAACATTAAATCTTGCCAAATTAGTTGCTTATGATGTTCATGTTCAAATGCATTTAAGTTTTTGATAGGAAGATTCACTAGTAGTATAATTTTTTGTGTTAAGATAATTAATGACGAAGTATGGAGAAGAAATGAATGTTTGTCAAATAATTTGCATTGATTTTTTTGGAAAATAGAGGATTGGGTGTCTCAAGAATTAATTTGATAAAAAAATGTGGGCAATTGGCAGGGAAATAGAGAGCAGTGGAAGGATGATGTAGTATCCTGTGAGAGATAAGCACTATCAAGCAAGAAGAACTCAATAGAACAGTAACTGTAACTTCTCTGTATTCTAAAATGAAAATTATCAAGAGTGCTTTTCTTCTATCTTCTATTCCTATAAGTAATAGCAGGAAAAAGATACTGTGATAACTAACTTAAAAAGGACAAGCAGGGCAGCAATTTAATTCCTGAGCTAACAAACTAAAAGCGGTATAACATAAAGTGAAACCAAAGCAGGGCATGTGCACATATTTGGCGGTCCGGTATTCCCCAGCTCCTTCCTCTAATGATGCTCCGCATCATACTCCCCTTGCGCAAAAAGAGCTGGAGCTGCTACTTGACTTTCAACATCAACTGAACCATCATCAGGAAGATGATATGGATAGAGGTCGGACACGTTAAATGTTCTGGGAGTGTTAAAGTCAGCTGGGAGCTGGACAATATATGCATTGTCATTGATACGGTTGGTTATCGGAACGGTCCGAACTTCCTCTTGCTGAGCTTCGAGTAAGTGCCTGTAGGGAACCTTTCCTTTCTCATTCGAACCCAAACGAGATCCCCAGGTTCGAATATCTTCTTCCTTCTGTGAGCATCGACGGCCGACTTATATTGGTCATTGGAACTTTGCAGCTTTAGATGAACCTTAGAAAGCATCTCAGTGAATTGATCAACCCACTCTGAAGCGATTTTGCTCTTACATTTCGGGATCACTGCAACATCAACACAGGTGTTGGGCATTTTTGTATATACAATACTAAAGGGACACATACCCGTAGATCTATTTGGCATCGAGTTGAATGCAAACTCTGCTTGGCCGAGGACTTCATCCCAAGTTTTCGGTTGTTCTTGTATGAGACAGCGGAGTAGATTTCCCAATGTTCGATTCACAACTTCGGTCTTCCCGTCAGTTTGCGGGTGATAAGCGGAACTTAGCTGGAGTTGTGTGCTTAGCCTCTTCCATAATTCCCGCCAAAAATGGATTATAAATTTTACATCTCTGTCGGATGTAAGGCTTCTTGGCACCCCCTGCAGCCTCACAATCTCCCAGAAGAAGAGTTTAGCAATGTTCAAGGCATCAGATGTTTTCTTGCACGCCACAAAATGCGCCATTTTCGAAAATCGATCCACAACTACCATTATAGAATCATTCCCACGTCTCGTACGCGGTAGCCCAAGCACAAAATCTAGACTTAGATCTTCCCAAATCGAGTCCAACACCGGTAACGATTGATACAGGCCGGTATTTTGTCCACCTCCCTTATATGTCTGGCAAACAGTTCACCGTTCAACATACCTTGCAACTTCTCTCCTCAAATGTGGCCAATAAAACTTAGCTCGCATTTGTATCAACGTATTATCTCGCCCCACATGGGCTGCAAGGCCCCCATTGTGTATTTCCTGTATGAGCAATTGACGCCAAGAGGAATCGGGAATGCAAAGCAAGTTGTTTTTAAATAGGAAATTGTGCCTTATAGAATATTCCTCTATTGGCTCTTTGTTGATGCAGCTAAGCCAAGCTGTAGCAAAATCTTTATCTGTCACATATAAATCACAGAGGCTGGTTAATCCTACAAACTCGGTTTGCAACTGTGTGATCAAAGCAGACCTGCGGCTCAAGGCATTTGCCACCCTTTTCTGAGCTCCGCTTTTGTGCTTTAACACAAATGTGAACTTCTGTAGGAATAGAATCCACCTCGCATGCATGCGGTTAATGTTTTTGTGGGAATTTATATATTGCAAGGCTTTGTGATCACTGCACAACACAAAGTCTTGATGTAGTAAGTAGTGCTCCCACTATTTTAATGCTCTCACGACTGCATACAACTCTTGTTCGTACACCGACCAGCGTTGTCGTGAAGGGCATAATTTTTCACTAAAAAACTCTATGGGCCGGTTGTCCTGTGCCAGAACAGCCCCAATCCCTACCGTGGAAGCATCGGTTTCAACTGAGAATGGCTTGTCGAAGTTGGGTAGGATGAGGATAGGTGCCGTAGATAATGCATTCTTAATTGTTTCAAAACTCTTCTGATGCTCATCTTTCCATTGAAATTGCTTGAGTTTCAAGATATCAGTGATTGGAGCAAGAATAATGTTGAAACCTTTAATAAACCTTATGTAGAAATTGGCTAGGCCATGGAAACTCCTTATTTATGAGAAGGTTTTTGGAGTTGGCCAATCAACTATTGCCGCCACCTTCCTTGGATCAGCGGATACTCCATCAACGGAGATCTTGAATCCCAAAAACAGCATCGTGGGTGTTGCAAATTCACACTTGGGGATGTTTAAATACAATTTGTTCTTCCTTAAGACTTCGAAGATAGCCTCTAAATGCTGCAAATGATCTTCCAAGCTGCAAATGAAAACTAGCACGTCGTCAAAATAAGCCACACAACACTTATTGAGGAAAGGTTTTAAAACTTCATTCATGAGCCTCATGAACGTTGCGGGAGCATTGCAAAGACCGAATGACATCACATTCCATTCGTAAAGTCCTTCTCGTGTTTTAAATGCCGTCTTCCATTCATCACCTTGCCTGATTCGAATTTGATGGTAGTCGCTTCGTAAGTCCAATTTAGAGAATATTTGAGAACCCGCTAATTTCTCCAGCATCTCTTCGAAGCGCGGCATTGGAAATCCGAACTTCACTGTTATTTTGTTAATTGCTCGTCTGTCTACACACATTCTCCAACTACCGTTTTTCTTCGACACCAACAAAGCTGGAACTGCACAAGGACTCAAACTATGCTGAATAAGTTGTTTTTCTAGCAACTCATCCACAATTTGCTGCAAAATTTGGTGTTCAGTCGGGCTCAATCTATAGTGAGGCTGATTAGGTAGTGTGGCCCCAGGCACCAAATCAATTTAATGCTGTATGGTTCGGACTGGTGGCAACTCATTTGGTAACTTATCAGGTTCCAAATCTGAGAATTGTTGAAGTAAAGCTTCCACGGTCTCTGGCATAGCTGCAGACGATGGGGAACTCTTCTGCTCCTTTACAATTAAGGCCAGAATTTTGGTAGACTCCTTCCAGGCATGAATCAATTGATTTCCTGTCACAGAGAACATAACAATTTTATCATTAGTCACCAGAGAGTTACCTTCTTGACTGTTGGGCAGCAACCTCAGCTTCTTGCCCTTCCACTCAAATGCATAAGTGTTTGCTCTGCAATCATGTGTTGCTCCCACGTCGAACTGCCACGGCCGCCCAAGGATGATATGACAAACATCCATATCGACTACGTCACAGAGTACTTTGCTTGCATAATGTTTCCCAATAGAAAAAGATACTCGGCACATATCGGTGACGGTCATCTCCATGCCTTTCTTCACCCAACCAATTTTGTATGGGTTTGGATTTTTCGTGGTTTTGAGCTGTAAAGATTGAACCACAGCCTTGGATATTATATTTTCTGTACAACCGCTATCAACTAGTAAATCACAAACCTTTCCACCAATTGTGCATTTGGTCCTGAACACCGCATTCCGCTGTGAGTTAGTCGCGTGACGGGGAGCTAGTAGCAGCTTCTGGATTACACACACAAGTGGTTCACCCTCGTCACCTCCTACATCTTCATGAGCAGAATTTACTTCCTCTCCACCATCTTGTAACGTCTTCATCCTCTGCCTCAATCAACTAAATTTGAGGTCTTGTTGGGCATTCATTCGATTTATGCCCCGGCTGAAAACATCTAAAACATTTGAGGGTGGTCGGTTTCGCATATGGATTGTCTTTAGCCACACCTTTGAACCTTGAATTCGCTCGCACATCAACATTCCTGCCGTTATAGTTGCCCGTAGACTGAGTTCCAGGTGAAGGCTGTGGGTTTTGATTCACATTCACTGTTGTGGATCTGATGTTATCGGTTGCTGATTCAACAGGTCTTTTTCCTTGACTGCCCTTGTTATGCCTTGTCGACTGCATTTCCACTTTCAAAGCGTAGTTCACTGCTTGTGACAGTGACCAAACGGCATTCAACTCAAGTCTATCCTGAATTGTTTCCTTCAAACCCCCTACGTAACGAGCTACGAGCTGATTTGCTGATTCATTTAAATTGTTTCTGGCACTCAACCAATAAAACTCCTCGGTGTAGTCGCTGACTGACCTGTTCCCCTTATGACAATGCTAATATTGCATATAGAGTAACTGGTCATAATCTGTGGGTAGAAAGTGCCCGCGAAGTAACCGCTTCATTCGGCGCTAATTGCGGACAGGCCCTCGACCATCTCTACGTCGCGATTGCAGTAATTGAAGCCACCAAGCGCGGGCTCCACCTTTCAGTCGACACGCAACGTATTTTACTTGTTTTGTCGGCTCAATTTCCATATATTCAAAAAATGTTTCCACTGCTCGCTCCCAATCCGATAATCCTCGATGTGCAGCTTGCCGTCAAAGAACGGAATGTCCAGTTTGACGCGAAACTCGCTGAGAGGACGGACTGTTTCCCGCTGTCGTCGCCGGCGAGGCTGAGCCACATCTTCATCTGACTCTGAAAATTCCAGGGCGGTGACTTGTTCTGCTCCTTCGTCTGAATCTGAATCTTCCAATACCGGTGTATCACGAACTGGGTTCTGTCCCCCATCAAACCTTTGGCGAGCTACCTGTGTGGTTGCCGGCATTGCTGTACGAAGGTTTGGATTTCGCTCCATACGAGCCAAAACAGTTCTCAGGTCTTGACGTACCTCAGCGTGGAAGTGATAGAACTCCTCCGTCAACTCCTGCAGCTGGTGTGCGAGACTTGAGTGTTAAACCCAAAGGGCTTCAAGGCTTTTCTCTTCGTTGGGAGCCACCCGTTTGCTGCTCTCGGCCATCTAGCTCTGATACCAATTCTGATGTAGTATCCTGTGAGAGATAAGCACTAGCAAGCAAGAAGAACTCAATAGAACAGTGACTGTAACTTCTCTGTATTCTAAAATGAAAATTATCAAGAGTGCTTTTCTTCTATCTTCTATTCCTATAAGTAATAGCAGGAAAAAGATACTATGATAACTAACTTAAAAAGGACAAGTAGGGCAGCAAACTAATTCCTGAGCTAACAAACTAAAAGCGGTATAACAGAAAGTGGAACCAAAGCAGGGCATGTGCACATATCTGGTGGTCCGGTATTCCCCAGCTCCTTCCTCTAATGATGCTTTGCCTCAAAGGAGGATATTAATTAGTGAAGAAAGAGCAAATACAATGGGTGTACAGGCCATACAATGGATGGAGGAGATTGGAAGGAAATAACTTGCTAATGAGATAAGCTAAAAGACTATGCTCACACAACCCCGTTTTCCTTATAGTTTGATTAAACCCTTAGCGGAGAAAGTAGGGGTTAAAAATGCTTCACTTAAGGAATGCCAAAATACATAATTTGGTTAGTTTTAGGGACTTCAACCAAACAATCCATCTAAAAGTGATTTATTTTGATGTTTAGTAATTGCTTCTTTTTCAAAACTATTTTTGATTCAATTTTAGGTGCGTATTAGAAGTGGTAAGGTTTGCTAATAGTTCTCAAGGAATTTAACTTAAATTGGATACTTCCAAACTCAAACTGAGAGGTACAACAACTCTGTATTTCCGGTTTTTTTTTTTTTTAATTTCTTTAAAGTCTTTTACTTATAGATCAAATTCCGAACATTGAAGTTTATTAAAAACTGATTTTGTTATAGGTGTGTCAAAACCTATTAACTGATAGTTTTTCTAGCAGATGATGTGGGACTAAATCTTTTCTTCATGTTAGGGCAGTAGTTCTAGCGGGAATCTAATTTTATGGCTATTCCAAATTCCAAAACTTATGACAAATTTATAGTAGTTTGATTGGGCAGCGCTTTCTTCTTTTATAAGCTGTATGTTTCTATTAGATCCTCGTATTCTGGACCATCTTTGCTTGTTAAATAAAAGATGGAATGATTGATAGTTAGATAACTGATTTTATATATTTTCCAGATGATTTTGTAAGCTTTAATGTTATAGCTTTTGGTTTCTCAAATGATTGTTTTACGTCAGTGATGCCTGATTAATTCTTTTTGTCCAGGGGAGACAAAGCTGCGGTCCTTTCAGGTCTCATTAAGAAAACAAATGCAGTGGAAATGAAATGGATTCTAATGATCATACTAAAAGGTATTTCTCCTTAATGACCTGGCACTATTTTCCTTTTTTTTTTCAGTATTGTTGTTCCTAAGTCTCTTTTTTTACTTGTATAGATTTGAAGCTGGGAATTAGTGAGAAGAGTATTTTTCATGAGTTTCATCCAGATGCTGAAGACCTTTTCAATGTGACTTGTGACCTTAAGCTTGTTTGTGAAAAGTTGAAAGATAAGGGTCAACGGCATAAACGACAGGTTCTTTTTTGCTCAATTTCACGATGATAACTCAGCAATTTTAAAGATCTTCACAGATGATTATAGCTCATGTTACTTGTTTATTTTCTTCAATTATTATTATTTTTCATTTCATTTCAATATATATATGCACGAAGATCTCTGAAAATGCTATTAGTTTATACTTTTATTCAGTTTCTTAATATTATATTACCATGTAACTAGGCTTCTCTGATGGTTTGTAAATTCATTTGACCGTGTTGATGCCCTGATAACTAAATTTAATATTAGTTGCAATTTTTATAAATATATAGCCTTAACGTTTGGGAGGCTTTTGTTCTTTTAAGTGATATAGCATTTGTCTTTTTTTCTTTGTTATCGTTTTAGAGTTTGGTTAGTGCTTGATGATTACTATTGCATGTCCGAACATTCGCAGCAGTAGAGGGATATAGAGTTTAATGTTTTAGCTTTGTAATAAGATCCAACACACATACATATAGAAGAAGAGTGCAAGAATTATAAGCAACACCAAATTTTTTATGCGAAAAATCTTGAAAATGAAAAAACATTGGGGCCGGGCCATGTTGAGGTGATTCCACTAGTATTTGTTTTATTAGAAGTGAAGCCTTCTTTGAGAGAAGGAATTGATACATTGTAAAGAACATGTTAGTTGGTTGAAGTTGAAAGAGCCCTTTGGCAGGAATTCAACACAAATCAAACTGTTGAAGTTGGGAGTCAGAGTTAATATAGATGGTGGACAACAAAGCTTTAAGTACCATAGTTTGGCGTATATTATCCAAGGACCCCAGTGGTTGGTCAGTGGCAGAATGTAATATCCATTACTATATTATCCAGTCTATCTACAATGAATATAAATGAACCTGATAATAATTATATGCTTATTTAAGTGTTTATGGATTTCCTATGAAGTTGATTTAAGTAGAATATTTATAATTGAAAATTTTCCCTGGGAGCGTTGTGGTGTTGAGCTTCTTGTTTGAATGAACAAAATTTGATTTCTTGAGAGCGCTGCCTCATTGGACCTTGCGGCGACGAGGTCTCTATTTATAAGAATTTTTCAGAAACCAAAATTTCTTGGGAGCATAGTAGCGCTGGGTAAGTCAGCATCGCGACACTGGACCAATATTTATATTTTTATATAAATATCTAAAAGTATTAACAAAATACCCCTCATCCAATTTCAATCATTAGAAACGTCGAGAGAGGGACCAGAGGAGATAAAATGGGAAAGAGAAAGGAAAAAAAGAGTTTGGAGGTCGCTGAGCTAGATTTATTTGTCAGGATTGCTAAATGAATTGTTTGCCTCGATGTAAGATTTTATTATCCTACTTCAGTTTTCAATTTGAGTAATTTAGGTAAAAGTTATAGGGTTTAATTTGATGCAGATTAGTTTGAGAAACTTTTTAATGTATAACTTTTGATATGCCGTAGAATAAATAATTCTGAACATTTGAATAAGAAAAGCTCAAAGTTTCGCCAAGTGGTTTTAAATGCAGGATTTTTCATATAATTTGTTAATTATGTAGGTGTTAACATAAAGTGTTATAAAATGATGAAAGATTCCAAACAATGTTATAAACACTATCTATAAAAGGTTTTATGGTTTTTCAACATTGAGTATGTACGAAATTATTTCTCTCTAAAACACTAAGGCCGTCGTACAAGTGAGTATTTTATGTATTCCTGCATTATGTTAGTAGTGTTTTTATGTGTTGAAATCATCAATGTTACTGTGCTTACATGCTGAAAATATTGATGTTGTTGGCTATACATGTTGAATATCAATGTTCATGTGCTTGAATTGTGTGATGAAATAAGGGGAATGATGGGGGGAATGTGGTGGAGTTTTAAGTGCAATACAAGAGAAGTTAGAAGGGCCCTTATAATCATGTTTATATGTGTTCATGTATTCTTCCATTTGTCTTAAACATATGCAGGATGATTAAGTGGAGGTATAAGTGAAAGTGGAGTTATAAATAAAATCGTGATGAATGTAATTCCTCTTTCTTCTTTGGACATGTGTGAGATGACCAAGTAGATGTCGAAGGATGCATTAGGAAATGTGAATATTATGTTATGTATTCATATTATGTTGTATGTGATGCTGTCTATGTTTTGATATCATGTTTAGGAAAATGTTTATATTATACAATCATATCCATATGATACTGTGAAATATTATCCCTCATCTGAATTCTTGTTCAAGGGATGCTTACTATGTTACTGTTATATGTGTAAATCTAAAACATCTGTTTGATGTTAAGTTAAAGTTTTTTAATACATTTTGCACTAAAAATGTTAGGATAGTCTACTTTTAAATGTAAACTATTGTTCATGTAATGTAGCTATTTCTTATATTATTATATTGAATTTTGTAGTAGTAGGAACCATATGATATATTGAGCAAGTGGTTTGCTCATCTTATATATTTGAATTATAATCAGAGCCACAGGAATAATAATTAGATAAGTGTTAGGAAGCTGAGATGGTTTAAAGTTATTTCATGTATGCCCATGTTTTTATGTACGATAAGTTGAACTATGCGTATATTTGATAGGTGAAAGTGTTGAAAAAGATGAACCCTCAAGTTGAGGAGGGAATTGTTGATGAACAAAGTTTTAGTCAGGCTGCGAATGTGCAGAGCACAGTAGGGGTCATGATATCAGATTTGATGATGCAGTTTTTTAGTTTAGTAGCCCAATGGATTGGAGAAGCATAAAGTAGGATGCTTATGCCAAGGGCTGATGAAGTTGACAAGCTGTTGTAGATGTTTCAGGGGCTGAAACCTCTTTATTTTTAGGGTGTTGTAGAGCATAGAATGGATGAAGATTAGTTGTTGGTCATTTGATAGTATGTTGCGCCTTGAGAGTTGGAAGATACAATTCATTGTATTTTAGTTAGATGGGGGTGCTGAGCGTTGGTGATTAGGCCAACAAAAAGATAAATATCAGCGAAAGTTGAATGCCGAGACTTCTTGGAAAGAATTTAAGGAGACATTTAGACGTTGGTTCGTGCCGCCATCTGTTAGCTGCAGATGCAAGAGTCATTTTTAACAAATCTTTGATGTAGTATGAAGCTAAATTCACTGCACTAGCCAACTATTCCTCGCAATTAGTTGACACTTTTGAGAAGAAGTGTTATCGGTTTTCGAGATGACTGAGAAATAATTTGAGACATCCTTTAGTTCCTTTTCTTGTTGGTGACCTCATCGAGCTCTTTTAGAGAGCTAAATGGATAAAGAATGACCTGATGGCAACCCAATAGTGTTAGAATGCAAGTAGGAAGAGATTCAGTGGAGAGTCATCTAGTAGTGGGCCTGGTGGAAAGTTTATTTGATTTGGGACGGTGAATCAAGGAGAGGAGGTCCTAGTTTCCAGTAGTGCACGTCCATATTTTTCCCCGAGTAGTGTTCTAGTATGTAAATATTGTGGCAGGAGACATCAGGGATGTTGGTTCATTATTACTGGCTAGTGTTTTAGATGTTGTCAATTTGGTTACAAGATAGCTTAGTGTCGCCAAAGAGGTGGGGAAGGGGGGTTAGAGGAGACGAGAGGTCTGACAGGCAGACAAGAGTGGTTCCTTTGAGAGTTTTTAGTGAAGGATCATCTAGTAGAAGTAATTCGTTGGGAGATTGTCTGGAGGAGCTCAGAGGGAGTAAAGTATTGTGGTTAGTGCTGCTCCAGCCCAGCTTAGAGTATACAGTTTGACTAAGCAGGAGGCTAGAGATACTACGAACATGGTGAGAGGTAATTTCTTATTTCTTCTCAGTATGTCATACTTTGTTTGATTCTGGAACTAGCCGTTCTTTTCTATCTGTAAGATTTTTGGATATTTTGAGTTTATTTCCTATTTCTTTATTTAATGGCTTGTTTATTATGTTGCTTACGAGTGATTTCTTAGTTTCTAGCCAAGTTTTTATTTGTGAGATTGAGATTTAGATAGGAAGCTAGAATCTAGATTGGTCGTGTTCCCCTTATTCGAATTTGATGTTATTTTGGGGATGAATTTTGTTAAGCAAGTATGAAGCTAATATTGATTGCAATCGAAGAGGGTAGCATTGCATGTTGATGAAGAGGTGTTTTATTTGCAAGGTTTTAGAGATGTATTGTCATGTCTACTATCGACCTTGTAAGTTAATAAGTTGTGGAATAGAAGGAATTTTGTGTTTTTGACATACGTGAGAGATGAAAGTAAATTTATTTGGAAGATTGATGATGTTCCTATAGTACAGGAGTTCCTAGATGTATTTATTGAAGAGTTGGTAGGTTTACTTCTTGAGAGAGAAGTAGAATTTTGTATTAATGTGGTACTTGGTATGTCCCTTATCTCGAAGACCCCATATAGAATGAAACCTAAATAATTTCATTAACTTAAAGTTCAGTTACAAGAATTATTGGAAAAAAGATTTATTCAGCTTAGTGTATCTCCCTGAGAGTGCATTGGTACTATTTGTAAAGAAAAAAGATGGTTCGATAAGGGTGCATATTAATTGTAGAGAATTGACTGGAGTGACAGTTAATATTTGTTACCTCAGATTGACAATTTATTTAATTATTTCAAAGGTGCTTTTGCATTTTCGAAGATTGATCTGAAATCTATATATCACTAGTTGAGGGTGAATGCTAAGGATATAGCAAAGACATCTTTCAGTACTAGATATGACCATTTTGAGTTCTTAGTTATGCATTTTGGGGTATCTAATGCACCCGTTGTCTTTATGTATATGATGAATGTGATGTTTAGAGAATATTTAGACCAGTCTATTGAGTTGTGAATTTTGGTTGGGGTCTTTGACATTTTTGGGTCATGTTGTTAGTAAGGATGAGATTGGACAAGGCGGACTTCAATGTCGCAGGTTCATAGTTTTTTGGCATGACATGATATCAGAAAGTTTGTTAGGGACCATATTCAACGGGCGACAAAGGTTGGAGGACTGTAGTTGCGGGCGATGGATGTCAGAAGGATTGTATTTGGATGACGACGACCGGTAGGCCATAGTGGTAAGCCGGTGAAGGCTTGAAGACAACAGTCAAACGGTGGCATGGCAGTCTTTAGGATCCTTTAAACCTTAGAGCTCTCTTGAATATCAAACTAAAGTCTAAGCTCCAAATCCATGCTCCTCTTCCTCCCTCATGTAGAGAGCGAGAGTTTATTTATAAATTTTTGAGATCGACATGCTCTTATATATGGAGAAAATTTAGACCGCTCCATCGGACGACCCATCATCTTGTCGGAATTGAGAGATTTTGGGCTCATTGGATTTGTCTGGTCGAGCCATTTTATTCTACTATAAACGTACCAAATTTGGAGATCATTTGGTTATTCAATTAATATCTTGAAATTTCTAATTATGCTTTAGGCCCTTTATTTGAGCTTATTCCGGCTCTAATTGGATCATTTTTTATGTCTTTGAGTTTGTCTCGTCGAGATGTTTAGTTCGATTATAAATTTGTTGGAATCAAAGTTCAGATGGTCCCACATTCAATTTTGGAAGTTTTCAATTCAAATGTGCATTGAGATTCGTGCCCGATTAAAGCGGTTTTGTGTGACATATCAATAGCCAAACTCATATCCAGTCCTTTCAAGTCCTAATTCCATGGTAGGCAACTTTTTTGTTTTATTGCATTTTAGTAATCTTAATTTCATCAGAAAGTTTTAATGGAAACTTCTTTTCTTTTTTCGACAATTTTCTGTTCCAATCTTTGATTTGTCACTTACGCGTACTGTTGTTCAACAATAGGATATAGAAGTGGGGAAAGCTGTTAGGCCTCAGCTGGCTATGCGGATTAGTGATGCTACTACTGCATGGAAGAAGGTAGGTTTGCTTGTAATTCAGTATTGGTTTGAATAATTTTTGTGTTGTTGTGGCTTATTATGCTTTTGCATAAATATTTTAAATTCTTTTCTGTTCTAGTTCCTATCCGGTTGGATATATATATATATATGAGCTAGAGGTTATCCTTGTCCTGTAGGAATGCTATTTATTATTTTTTTTATTATTTTTTATCGAGTATCAGCTAGCCTTCTCTATTTTCATGTTCAGTTTTAACAATATTGGATGTTGAAGAGTATTCAATATGTCTGAACTACCTGTAGAGAGCATCTAATTTCTTTAGTTTTATTGAAGCTTGAGGCTAATTTATAATGATTTTCAACTGCTTTACATTTTTAAGCCTGGCATGTCACAATTTAAATTTTTGGGGGAAACATTTGATGAAATGTGTCATATTTTATGTGCACCTCCATAATGTTTGGGAAGACGCTGTTAAAGAACTTGTTAATCTATGTAAGTGTAACATATGAAACTTATGTTGAAAAATTTTGTACTACATATGCTCCTTCTCTATGAAGATTAGAAAGCACTTTCAAAGAGGCTTCTTACGCTTCATTTGGGACAGCTTTTTTAGTTTTTTCTAAAGCAGATTTCTAATATAAAAATGTTAGAGTTCAAGAATTGTTTTATAAAAAGTCACTTTATAAAGTAGTTTAAAGATGTCCCAAACGAAACCTTAGTCTTTGTTAGTGTAGCAGTGGCTTGGTTTTGTATTAGATATTTTAGCACAACGATTTTACTTCAATATCAAACAAATCCTTTGTGAGAATTTGTCGGAGCAGTTTGGATACTCTTTTTCCATCCGTAAAAAAAAATGATCATAGCAATCATATATTTCTGTTTGCTGAGCATGATGTGAGAAATGTTTGTAGCTTGGTTTAAATTTAGCTAGCATCATTAGGACATGATACAATTCTTTTGGATGAAGTTGATAGCTAGTTATTTACTATTATATTGCAGCATAAACATTATTAACTTCAAAATGCTGACATCATCTGCACCATCATCATAGCTCTTACAGAAGAAAACAACAAATTCATTCTTGTCCATATCATTTGTAACAATTACAACAATAACCATAAACCCTATATAATTGCTTTGTATTGTACTCCTTTCATTGATTGATAATAAATTTTTTTGCTTAAGGAAAAAATTTTGACAACATCAATAACTAAAATGGATTAACATTAGAATTTTTTTTTGTTATAAAGATATCACAGCAAAATATTATATGTACTCCTTATTTTCGTAACGAATAATTCATACAAATGTGTAAAAAAGATGATTGGTGATGATTAGTGAGGCTGAAATCTTTGTCTAGTATTATCAGTTATTCATAATTCTCATACTATATTACAATAAACTTTGTCATTTCCACTTGTGCTTCTATGCTTTTCTGTCTTTCTGGGGACTTTCTATCTTTGACATTCTCGGTAGTCTCATTCAATTCATTTTTCTGATGAGCACGTTGAGTCATTGAGTCAGGATGGTGACTCTTTCCTAAATAATCACATATACAGTATTTATTCATTTTGGTGGTTCAGAATGATGGAAGACAAGATCATGCTTTACAAATATGCATTTAAATAACTTACTTTTGTTCTTCTAGTTCCATGGTAAGCAGATTGTTGCAGAGTGCAAATTTGACGGTGATCGCATTCAAATCCACAGAAATGGAAAAGATATACACTTCTATTCTCGGTATTTTTTATAGAAAAATATGTCAAGTAGTCTTTAGTGCTTTTTCATTGTTTTTTATAATCTGTTTCTAGTTTAGTTTTCTATTTGTCTCTTGGTGTTTTACCTATTGTACATTATGGTCGAATAAGAATAAACTTTGTTTTGCAATTGCCATGTAAGTCCTACATTGTGGCGTGATATTTACATTTCAATGTATATAAAATGTATGTTTACTTATAGCTTGCAAACCTCAGTATATGACTAACGTCAGGTCTCATAGGATGAGTAATTTTTTTTAGTTGGATTTAATTTAGTAATATTGATAGCAAAAAAAGCATAAAAAATAGCAAGATATAGAATTGGCTATGATTGTAAGTATCAGATTGTAATCTTTACAGGGAATGCTATCCTGACTATTAGGCCCTGCTTTAGCTACTATACTTTGCCAGTGCACGCCAGATATTATTCACTTTACTGAATGTCCATCTTCTGTAGGAAAAGTGTACTAGAGAAAAGAAGCACTTATAATAAAATAAAGCATTATGCTGTTTTCATCATTATTCTTAGGAGTTGTCACTTATAATTCTTCTAAGCTAATCATCCCGGTTATAGTTGTTGCAAAATTTTTAACAGCACAATAGCGTGCTTTATGTTCTTTGTGAAGCAGAACAGTAAAGTTGCGCAATACTTAGCAAAAAAGAGGGTTTACACCATAAGGCAGAGTCAAAGAGGTGAATTGTGCACTCACACTTAGGCACTAGCATATTGGCGCCTCTTGGTGAGCCGAGAGAACAAGTGAATGCTTTGTTCTATCTTTAAAATTTTTGCACTTAAGTCTACTCATCTATTGGAAGTTTAAAGCAACCACTTTTGATATTTTGCTAATTATCAAGCTTACTAGTTGTGGCTTTCTGTCAAATGTTTGTTTTATAATATATGTTTTTGACCATTTGTTGAATTGAATGAGGCTATCATGATTTTACTCCTGTTATTTCATTTATCTTTTTCTTTCTTCTTACGATGAATAAGGAATATATTCCTATATGTTACTTCTCTTCTTTCAGTCCTTTATTTTTTTTTCTTGTTCTTTGCCAGCAATTTTTTCTGGGTAAACTCTTTAATCTCGCGTCTGTTCATCTTGGAGGGTAGCAAATAACTCCCTTCCCCTTGCCCCTTTTGTTCCACCCCATGTTCTTTTTCCTTTTCTTCATATTCTTGCCTATTTCTTGAGCTATGAATCATTTCAGATATTTATCATCATATTTTTTAAGGCATTCAGTAGAAAGCCTTTTCTTGTCTATTCTTGGCTTTAGCGTTTGAATTTTTTGTTCTAATTTATAATATCTTTTGTAGCCGAACTGGGAAAATAACAATTCGGTCTTATCTTTCTTAGCTTCATAGCATTTTGGTCCTCCTTTTATTAAAAGCCACCATTTTGTTGCTGCATTTAGTCAAAGGATTTGTTTTCGATCCTTAGAGATAACATTTCCATCAGTAAAAGGATTAAAGGACTAAATTACTTGTCCTTCTGGCCATCCTAATCCAGTCGCAGCAGCTTCTTCCTGGATTTGTGTTGAGCGTCGTCCTAATGTGAGTCCATTGGTTCTTAATCACAAAGTTCATTCTCAAAGTATTGAGCTTGCCTCACTGAAGAAATGGAGCTTAACATGCTGCCTTGGCAAACCGAAGATTAGCATACATCTCTAGCTTCATCTGTAAATTCTTCTCAAACTTCTATAATTTCTTTGTGCCATTTTATTCACACCCTGAGCCTCATTGACACATAAGACCTGATTCTAGCTCTCTATCTGATGCGGACATCCGACGGTGGACGATATTCAAAGGAAGAGTCGAAGATTGATGACCGAGATCACTCCGTTTTATTTTAGTTTATTAATTGTATCTTGATTTAATTTTGCAATTATCCCTTTTTACCCTTTTATTTAAGAGTTTTGTCTCATGTAAGCCCAAGGGGCAAATTTGTCTTTTAGTTTCTTTTGAGGCCTATATATAGAGGCCCCGTCTCTTGTATTAAGAATGATGAATTATTAAGAAAATAAATTTTGTTTGCACTTGTGTTCTTTGGAGAGAACTTGGGTGAGATTCCTATGGAAGGGAATCAAAGTTTCCACCAGCCGCAGGATGGGTCCAGCCTCGTGGCTTAAAGTTCCTTGGAGAAGGGCAACATATTACCCGTCAACTGCAGGATGTGTCCGGGCTCACAGTTGTATCTTTCTTTCTCTAAATCCTTTTCTCCTCCTCCCTTGACCGCCGGCCAAAATCCCCCACTTGCCAGTGGCCAATTCTCCCACAAACCCCTCCAAAGCCACAAGCCTCCTCCAATTTATCCATATCAATTGCCAGCCATAAACCACTCCACCACCACCTCCTAGTCGGCCACCCCATCTCATCCTCCTAGCTGCCGGCCACCCCATCCCTTTTTTCCTCTTAATGATGATTTCAATCATCATTAATACCTACCAAAATTAGCCTACCTAATTTGGGGTAAGAATTAAATATATTTGAAATTCAAATTTGAATTTTAAATACTTTCCTAAAATTAACTAAGCTAAATTAGAAAAGTTTCTAAATTTAAGTCTAATTTGATTTTAAATTAGATTTGATTTAATTACCCTTTTCCTAATTTAGAATCATGATTTAGGAAGTTTTAAATTCCCTCCCAATTCCCCTCTCCCCATTAATTACACCAATTATATCCTTCATTAACCGCCGACCTCCCTCTCACTTCTCATTAGATCCCAAATTAAAATCCCCATTACTCTTCCTTTGAATATCGTCCACAGTCGGATGTCCGCATCATTCTCCCAGGGTGGAAAAAAGCTCGACTCCGTCGAGTTCGCATCCCGGGCAACCATGCTTTGATACCAAACTGATGTAGAACGGAGGGGGGTAATAAAAAAATTAAATATCTGAAATTCAATTTCAGATTTTCCTTAATTAAGATAAGGTTAAATAGGTGATTAATTATTCCTCTAATTAGATTTCTTGATAAGGAAGGAAATAATTAAAATAAGAGAGAGATGGGGCCGGCCATATGGGGAGGGATGAGAAATGTCCACATACAATGTATGTGGACCATAACATTAAATGTGACGGGGTAATTAAATTTGAGCTTAATTTCATATTTGAGAGATTTGAGGGGTTTCCTAAATGAGAGTTGGTTTAATTAGAAAGCTTTTGGAATTCAAATTATTTGATGGCCGAGATCACTCCGTTTTATTTTAGTTTATTAATTGTATCTTGATTTAAGTTTGCAATTATCCCTTTTTACCCTTTTATTTAAGAGTCTTGTCTTATGTAAGCCTAAAGGGCAAATTTGTCTTTTAATTTCTTTTGAGGCCTATATATAGAGGCCCCGTCTCTTGTATTAGAAATGATGAATTATTAGAAATTTTGTTTGCACTTGTGTTCTTTGGGGAGAACTTGGGTGAGATTCTTATGGGAGGGAATCGGAGTTTCCATCAGCCGCAGGATGGGTTCGGGCTCGTGGCTTGAAGTCCATTGGAGAAGGGCAACGTATTACTCGTCAGCTGCAGGATGTGTTCGGGCTCACGGTTGTATCTTTCTTTCTCTAAATCCTTTTTTCCTCCTCCCTTGACCGCCGGCCAAAATCCCCCACTTGCCACCGGTCGATTCTCCCACAAACCGCTTCAAAGCCACAAGCCTCCTCCAATTTATCAATATCAACCGCCGGTCATAAACCACTCCACCACCACCTCCTAGTCGGCCACCCCATCTCCTCATCCTCCTAGCTGCCGGCCACCCCATCCCTTTTTTTTCTCTTAATGATGATTTCAATCATCATTGATACCTACCAAAATTAGCCTACCTAATTTGGGGTTAAAATTAAATATATTTGAAATTCAAATTTGAATTTTCAAATACTTTCCTAAAATTAACTAAGCTAAATTAGAAAAGTTTCTAAATTTAAGTCTAATTTGATTTTAAATTAGATTTTATTTAATTACCCTTTTTCTAATTTAGAATCATGATTTAGGAAGTTTTAAATTCCCTCCCAATTCCCCTCTCCCCATTAATTACACCCATTATATCCTTCCTTAACCGCTGACCTCCCTCTCACTTCTCATTAGATCCCAAATTAAATCCCAATTAGTTATTTCCTTATTTAGTCTTTTGTTATTTGGAAAGAATTTGAATTCAAATTCAAAATAATTTGAATTCCAAAAGCTTTCTAATTAAACCAACTCTCATTTAGGAAACCCCTCAAATCTCTCAAATATGAATTTTTTTTCATATTTAATTACCTATCACATTTAATGCTATGGTCCACATACATTGTATGTAGACATTTCTCCTCCCTCCCCATATGGCTGGCCCCATCTCTCTCTTATTTTAATTATTTCCTTCCTTATCAAGGAATTCAATTAGGGGAATAATTAATCATCTATTTATCCTTCCCTCCATCTTATTTGAATTTCAAATTCAAATCCCTTAATTAAGGGAAATCTGAAATTGAATTTCAAATATTTAATTTTTTTATTACCCCCTCCGGTCTACATCACTGTCCCCTTATAATTCTTCATCTAATTACTCTCTTATGTTACCTCCCAGCTTTTCATATTCTTTCTTTCCTCTTGCATAGTCTGTGAATTGTTTGGCTGATTCCGGAACAAATTATTATTATGAGGGATTGCATGCATTTTATTGTACCCCGGGAATGTTGTCTGCCATTAATCTCAATGTTTTTTCCCCCCAATGTTGATATCTCATTTTAGTGCTTATTTTAAATACATTTTACTCGTGCAGGAATTTTCTGGACCATACAGAATATTTACATGGAATGTCTGATGCTATTTTGCAAAACATTTTGGTTGACAGGTAATGATTCCTTTTCTAGTTTTTATATTAAAGGACAATGATATTTTAACTATTTATTTATTTTTTCTTCTATTTATTATATTTTCTTATGGATGACTGATAGGAAATACTTGAGTCCGCAAGTAACCCTAAGGTAATTCTTGAGTTCGCAAGCAAACCTAGTCGAAATTAGCCCAAAATCAGTGAGAAAACTGCTGTCCCAGCAGAAAAACAGCAACCTTGCAGCAAGTATTGCACCCAAACAGCGGAAAATAGGGAAAGAAAACAAAGTTTTCACTAGAAGATGCAAGAAAACAAAGATAGATTTCTTCGATTCGAGAGGAAGAACAACTCTCAACAAGTCTCTAGCAAACCCTAGAGCCCAAGCACATGATGAGATCTCAAACTTTCATTCAAATTCAAGATGAGATCTCAATTACCTCCTACGCTCCTAATTAACAACAAAGGACAATTATAAACTTCCTAAAACAGCCCCCCACATTCAAATTTTTCCTCCTAAGTTGAATTAAACCAAGCATGGCCCACCTAGGGCTCTGACAATATTCACTTTAGATCTGGCGCACAATGGAATAGCAGAAATTAATAGGAAATAGGAAGAAAGTAAAAGAAAATGTTAACAAACAATGGGCACTGTAGTCTTTGATGTTAAATGTTCTATGATATGGATTCCCTATGGTCTCATTAGGAAAGCGGGGGCCACTATGACTGATTCCTACGCTAGAATTTCTAGGTTGGTTCATTTGAAATATTAGGTTTTTAGTTGAGCATGAAATTTCATCCAACTTAACTATTGCGATCCAGTTATCTTCTAGATTTTCATATTTATTTTTACTCTAGTCGTCCTGATTTTTATGTTTTCTCCTCTTTGCGTTTGACATGCTTAGATAATCTTACATATTCATCCCTTAATGTATCAAAATTCATGGTGATGAGATAATATAACATCAAGCCAAAATCATCCATCTAATGCAACAAATAGGATAATCTTATCTGCAATGTAGGATTAATTACTATTTCAAAATTACAAATGCTTACCAGATTTCAATATAAGAAAATCAATTCAGCGCAAAATGGAGTTAGAACATCTTCAATCAGACATCTACTAGTTCATAAATCAATTACACGTGATCTAGATAGCTGACAACTCTGGAAAATAAGTTTTCTCATTAACTTGTACACTTAATTAATATTTGATGGAGTTTCCTAAGAAAGGAACTATATAGGGCACTAAACTTGTCACTTAATGAAGGAAAGCACTAAACTTATAATAACAACGATACTGATAGACCGGCCGATTTGATTGGGAGGGAATTAGGAAGTTTCCTAATTAAGAGGGAACTATTTAGGAAGGTTCTTAATCAAAGGGGGATTGCTTAGGAAAATTTTTAATTACATTTGGGAGGGAATTATTTAGGGCAAGAGATCTAATTTAAATTCAAAATCTAAGAGGGAATTATTTAGGGAAAAGGGGGAATTAAGGGGGATTGTTTAGTAAAGTTTTAATTACAATTGGGAGCGAATTAATTATGGAAATAAATCTAATTTGAATTCAAATATGAGGGGGATTTATATAGGGAAATGGGGTTGATTTGGGAGGGAATTATGGGAGCCTATTTAAGGCTAATTATGGATTGATTTCAGATTATGTTTGGAGTTTGTTGAAATTAAATTGTTCTTAGGGTATTTGGGCTCTCCAATTGAAGATCCAATTGTATCTTGTATTTTTCTTCTTAGTTCTTCCAATAAAAAGAGTCTCGTGTGTTCTTCTTCCTAAATTTCTTTTATCGTTCCCTCGTTTTTTTGAAATTACATCGACTTCCTATCAAATACCTTATGACAAGTCAAGGTGCTACTCCAGTCTTAATGTATTGTTTTTAGGAAGAAGTCGAGCAGATCTGTTGGGAGAAATATCAATAATCTTGAAAGGGAGATGGCTTCTTGTGCTTTTCCTTGAGGAAGAAGAAAGATTTCTTGTTTTTTCCAAACACTTATAAATTTTTTTGTCTATTTCTTCTTTCTTTTCTCTCTGTTTTTTCTATACCAACACTCAGTTACAGCTGTTTACAAAAGTTGTATGCCACGTTTCTCAGTAGTAACGTAATGTTGTTTAAATTTTGAAGTATAACTCAGTATGTGCACTTTCTTGACCCATTGTCTCACAACTTATCTTGCCCAATTGTTTTTATCCTTTTGGATTGTTGAAACGATGTGCTTTAAATATATTGTTTAAAGATAAAGTGATGTAGGAGATGAGTTTGACATTCTTACTACTTATTTTGTTTGTCTAGAATCATTAATCATTTCTCCAACAATAAGAGCTGGAAATGTGATACATCTGCATCTGCTACGTTGTAATAAATCGAGACAAGTTAAATATTATCTTCTTCAAGCTTGTTCATTTTTTTCTTTATTGAGTTCAAGTTGAGCTTCAAAAAAAGTATAAATTTTAAAATTTTATTGAAGTTTGTTATTTATTTTTTTATTGGCTTTGAATTGTTATAAATGATTAATCAATTTTAATTAATTATATGTTTGGTTCTATAAATTTAAAGTATAACTATTTTACTTAATATATATTTATTAAGGATTAGCTTTAAGCCCATATCTTTTTGCTTTAGTCATGGATATTCTTACAAGACATTTGTAAGAAGATGTATCTTGGTGTATGCTTTTTGTTGATGATATTCTTCTTGTCGATAAGATTAGAGAGAATTGATGAAAAACTTGAATTATGGAGAGCAACCTTAGAGTCTAAAGGTTTTGTTTGAGTAGATCTAAAACTGACTACATGGAGTATTATATTAGTAGTAATAAATTTTGTGATGGGATTGTGACATTGGGTGATCATGTGGGCTATTGTTCAAAGCGATGGTGAAATAGATGTGGATATTTATTAGTGGAATTAAAGTTGGATGGTTGAAGTGGAAGAATGCATCGGGCCTATTATGTGATAGAAAAAGTATCCTTTAAACTTAATGGAAATTTTATACGATGTGGTGTTACTAGCAATGCTTTATGGCCCAGAATGTTGGCCATTAACAGGGTAAAATTAAGTGTTGTAATGATGAGGATACTCGGGTGGATGAGTGGCTTTGCTTTTATAGACGGAATGTGAAGCGAGCATATAAGTGACAAAGTTGGAGTAGCTCCTGTGGCAGATAAAATTAGAGAGAGTTGTCTTAGATGGTTTGGTCGCATAAAACGTCAGCCTTTCGATGACCTTGTTTGGAGAGTAGATGTATTAGATCAATAGCCTATGATTATAAATCTAAAGGTAGACCTTGAAAAGATTTGGTTAGAAAGTATTAAAAATGGTTCCTTTTTATTAGATTTAAATTAGAATTTAACTCTTAATAGAATACAATGAAGAAAAAGGAATCATATAGATGATCCAACGTAATGGGATAAAGATTTCTAGTTGTATATTTATTCATAATTTCTTGACAAAATTGGCATAATTAACACGCTATTTCTAATATTCCATGAGGCTCAAATGTTAATAATAAGGAAAAAAAAAGATTTTATTCTATCCAACTTGCTATTTGATCTACAGTTTCATCATGCCAATACCTGTAGAAATATGCATATTCCTAAAGTTTATAGAATTTAAAATGCTTGATACAATAACATATATTAATTCATCAAATAAACATATCCTTCAATCTTCATTAAATAAGCACTTCATTGAGCTACACTTTGAACAATAAATGGGCATTTTTATGAATATAAATTAACAAGTTGATTAATATTAAAGTTTGTTTATTTATAGATTGACCTTTAGAAATTCTGTTCAAGTTTGCCGCATTATTTATATATACAAGCATAAACGGAGCTTTATTTGAATGAGTGTTGAGCTATTCATCTAATGCATGGTTTCCATTAATTCTCTGATGGTGGGTAACTTTTTCATCTCTAAGGTGACAATTGACTGACAACATGCTCACAAGCTAAGTGGTCCTTGAATTTGTACATCACTGCAAAACTCTCTGTTTTTTTTTTTTTTTTTTTTTATTTTTCATCACTACCAAACTTTGTTGGCTTGGTCCTTTTGTCCTTTTGATTATTTTAAAATTATGTTAGCACTTTTATGAATATTCCTTTGGCAGGATTATACTAGACGGTGAGATGCTGGTTTGGGATACTTCCACCAATCGCTTTGCTGAGTTTGGTTCGAACCAGGAAATAGGTTCACAAGGATATTCTTATGTTTTTGTAATATTATTTATGTTTCATAATTATTGACTACAAAAATGTTTCTCTGCAGCGAAGGCAGCAATACAGGGATTACAGGGTGATAGGCAGGTACCCTGTTTCTATATGATGTTGCAACTGTAATTAGTTTTTCTGTAAAAAGCTAATATCTGATTTCTTCTAAATTATTTTTTCTTGCAGTTATGTTGTATCCTTTGAATCCCGATTCTGTTTTCATTGTATTAAATTTACTCAGAACTTTAAAAATATACGGTATGGCTTAAATAATGAAACAAGTTTACTGATGTGGTGATTATATTATTCCATTTCATTAGTCCCTCTTGAAATGCTTCTGCTTTGACATTGTTCCCAGCCTGATCTGCAAATTGCCATTTTTTCTCATAGCCTATGGATTTCAAAATTCATTTATGAAATTTCTAATAATATGGGTCTCTCATAATTCTGTGTAAATTTTAAATTAAAATTCAAGGACATGAGCAATAACCTGAAATGTTGAATTGTAAGATAGTTTGTAGGTCTTTTTCAGAAGCACATTGTGATTCTTTATGATCACATGAAAATTGACTCACCACAAAAACAATGTAAGCAACGTTAAATCTAGTATGTGATAAGTAGATAAGTCTTTCCACTAGCTTTGATAGGAGATTTTTTCTACTACTGTGCTTTTTGGAGACATTTATGCTTTAAATTTTATATGACCCTCGACAAGTATGTTGAATAGATGCTTTGTAAAGCTTCCGTTAGATTTAGATTGTATCTCTCAATTCTAAGGAAATTTAAGATTAAAAAAAATGTTTGGATATTGTCATTATTGTCCATTGAGAGAAAAATTGTGATTCTTTTTATAAGAAAAAAATAGATAATGAAAAAAATGCTACATGCAAAATCAGAGCAGTTTGTGATGAAGGCTGCAACAATGGGAAATATTTCGACAATGCAATGATGAAGCTGATACGGAGGCAGAGGCAGCAGCCCAGCGTTTGATTTGGTGGGGTCTAGCAAGGATCTGATTGCTTTTGTTAGGAGAGGATTAATTAGGAAAGGAGTTTCCTAATTTAAATTTAAATAAGAGAGAGAATTAATTAAGGCAAGAAGGCTGAATTAGGATGGAAATGTATTAGGAAAGGGGGCTAAGGAGGTAGGGCTGAATTAGGAGAGAAATATATTCGGAAAGGTGGCTAAGGAGGTGGGAGAGGTTATTTAAGGGAAAGTTTAGGGTTATTTTGTTTTATTCAGAATTTGATTTCTTTTGTGAGTGCTTCCTAGTGGCATCTAGGTTTAGCGGGAGAGACGATCTACCTCTTTTATGTGTAGATCATTGTATCTTACTTTTGTATTGGAGCATTAATACAAAAATCATCATTTGTTTCCAAACTTACTGTTGTTCTTGCTGTATTCTCTCGTTGTTTTCACCTTAAGGCATATCAAAAGCCTATAGCTATAAAAGAATATGAGAAAAGTAAGCGTTGCGATGAAGGTCGTGAGATTGTGGTAATGCAGTATTATAATGATGGAAAGACGAGGAAGAGAAAAGCCTAGGGATGTGATACCATTAAGAATTTGAGAGAATTAGTTGAATATTTTATTCCAATATTTGTGTGGTATTTATGCAATTATAAAAGAGCCTCTAATAGGAAACATACAAAAATTAGAGAGCAATAATTTCAATGTTATAACAATATTCCACATATTAATGAGCAGTTAGTAAGAATTCCACAAATTAAAGAGGGACAACTAAAGATAAAGGAAAAAGAGAGTGGAAGTTTCGGCAAGTGTGGGTCCCAACTTGCAAAAGATATATAAACATATCACGCTTACATAATGTATTTCTCAGTCATCACAATAAGGATGAATTCCATTAAACTCAACCTCATGCTAAGAGTCAATAGAAGTAGATTCTTCCATTTTTTTTATTGGAGAGAGAGTAACATCCATTTCAACTAACACCCTAGCCATGACATGGATGGTCTAGTTGTAGCAGCATCCACCTAAAGTTACCAAAAATTGATCCAAAAGAGTATAAAATGTATTGATTGTAGTAGTGAATGCCTATATGTTAAAAAATAATCCAAATTGGTGTAATAATGAGGTGACCACTAAAGCATACTTATTGGGAACCTATTTAAATTAGATGTTCTCCAACAGAGGAGTATTGAGTAGTTAGATTCTAGTAATAGCTTAATAAGAAGATGACATGAATGTACAAGTCCAATGGTATAAAGCCCCAACCCAATGTAAATCGACCATGAACTTGTGAGCAAATTTCATATTTAGACTACCTCAACAAAATTTGCCATCAAGGGAGGAAAAATGGCAAAGCCAACTTGGAGATCTCTATTCTAATAATATGAAACTGGTTTATTTTGAAGGGAGGATGATAGTTCATGGTGAGAAGTTATGTGCCCTTGTTGAAAATTTGTGGGCAAGCAAAAGGAGCCAAACAAAGTGCTAGGGCCCTTACCTCTCCTAGCAGCCTCTATAAAAAAATTAGTGAGTGAATGATGGTGGAGATCCTGAGGGAGAAGCCCTGGTATCGAGAGCAGTCATAGATGGAACATCACCATGCCATTTTATTTGTGGATCAATTGGTGAAATTGATGGTGTGGATACTTAGGAATAATTCAGGTGGAAGATAAGATATTGCTCGACAGTCGAAGCAAGAAGTAGTGAGCTTGACTGAAGCAACAAGGTTGTTGAGGCTAGAGACTTCATAAGTGTCAACCCTGTATAATAGAGTTGCTACACATAAACCCCCAGGCATGTGATGGTGAGAGGTAGCACCAAGCAACTGGAGCAAGTATAATGGATGTCCATGTGAGCATAAAGAGTGCTAAATGTGGAGGGCGTGCAATCACAACTAATGCTTGTTGGTGTGATGAGCGCCGTGTGTGGGGCAAGCGTGCTTAAGGGTAACAGTTGCATGGAGCGCATATCAAGCACAAGGAGATAGGCAAAGGCGACGAGGAAACCCATGCATGTTTTATTTAAAGGTCCTAAGTAGGGGCGTGCACAATTTAGTTTGGTTTGATTATATTATTTTTTTGAACTAAATCTGTATTGTCAATTCTGAAAAATCATAAATCAAATGCCTTTAATCGTTTCAATTTAATTGAGTTTTGATTTTTAACATAAAAACAATTAATATAACTTTAGCATTAAAACAAAATTTATGAACTCAAACATAAAATTCATATAAGGATTGAATGCATGAAAATTAGTAAAAAATAAATAATAAGAAATGAAGAATCACAAAAATATATGACATGATATGATAAAACTATTTTAAAACAAAAGAGGGCAATTGTACTTTGGCATTTGACTATTTATTTAAAGTAGGCTCTAGAATGGGAGAAATTTGTTGTAAACTTTTTTGACTGTTAAACCTATGCTTCTAATTTTTATACAAAAGGTAGCTTGTAGACATCATAAATTCAAATACTTCCAAGCATACATCAAGCTTCTGTCTAATCAAAATATCAATCTTATTTGGATGTGTACAAAAAATAACCTCTCTCAAAGCACCAGAGCAACATCTGCTACCATCCTCTTTCCAAGATGGTCCCTTACATATGTTTTTCAATGTTGATGAGGGGCCAACCAACTTGGAGGAGAGACTTTATGTTAGAGGGCCTGTCATCATAGAGAGTAGAACCTTAATGTCTTTGATATCATTTTGAAAATTAGAAAAAAAGGATATTTGATGACTTAATTTTATTCCATTGTTCTATGTTTAAAAAATATAAGAAGTAGTACATAAATAGATGAAGAAATAACTGTTCAAGAAAGAAAATAGACTAAAAATATGTCTTTAATTCTGAAATCTAGAATTAGCCACAATAAAAATGAAATGATGTTGTTCATGGGTTGTTGGATTGTTGTAAATGAGAGTAAATAAAAAGTTGTTATACACGGATGGTTGTATTGTTGTACATTGTCCACAAATTGCTAGATTATTATGGATGAAAATATGCTATGTATAGATTTAAGATTATTTCAATATGCAATAATAATATGGTTTGGGTTCTTTGGACATATACAATGAAAAATAGAAAGTACACCCGTAAGATAAATAGATGATAGTAATATTGAAGTGCAGGAAGGAAAAGGGATTGAGCAAACCTAAGTTGGATAGAAGTTGTGTAAAAAGATTTACGCGTAACAGTTTTAACTTCTTCTGTAACACTTGACCGAAACAAGGGATTCATAAAATCAGCCACGAATATTTAGGTTAAGAGTAATGATGATGATGATATCTTCTATAACCTTTGTGTATCTGCTTTTTTTATACTTGGTTATCTACAGAAATTTGGTACATTTTAGTTATATTTTATCTTGGATCATTGTGTTTTGCATAACTTTAGGTATGACCAGATGTTGCTTTTGATATACTGTACGCTGGAGACACTAGTGTTATTCACCAGAGTTTGACTGAACGACATGAACTGCTTCAGAAAGTTGTAAAACCATTAAGGGGTCGCTTAGAAATTTTGGTGCCCAGTGATGGTCTTAATGTACGCTGTCCCGTTGGTAAGCCTACTGATGTTTTCCATGTTTTCATGATGTTGCAGCAAGAGTATCCTAAATGAGAAGCACATAGTTTTAATCAACTGATTTCTAATACTATCATTTTTTTTTAAATAGAACAACTGATAAATGCAAATTGCTATTGGTTGGGCCGTTCTCCTTTAATACATATTAAACTCATGAAATAAAACATTTGATCTCTATTTCTATGCTCACGGTCTCTCACTATTCTTAGCAGGTTTTATTTACATATTCCTTCTTCCTTGTTCACGCAATTTTTTGAGTTGATCTCTTGCAACCATACTGATTTTGCAGGTCAGCCATGCTGGTCTATTATTGTCAATTGTGTGGAAGACGTTGAGAAGTTTTTCAAAGAAACAGTTGAAAACAGGTTTTTCAACTTCCCTTCTATTAATCACTTCTATCGTCAGTATCGTGTATTAATCTGTAATACGGTGACTTGTTGCTAGTAAATGCAAATTGTTTTCCTGTAGGCCACTGATTTTTTAACTATTTTTCTTTCTACCACAACTCCAAATCATCAATTGCATATATTAGTTCTTGGTTTTTGGTATCAGTAGAACCTGCACTCACAAAAGTCACACTGACACCGAGGAAAACAAGAAGGAAGAATAATGAACCAATGAAGGACACAAAGAACACCCCCAAATTCCTAATTCGTAATCCTACAAGAAGCCTTTACAAGTAAAATACTAATATATATATAAAAGAACCCAATTATAAATCAGATCTTGAAAAAAACTGAAAGAAAACAGAAAATAAACAATAAACAAAGAATTATAGTGACTGAAAACACAAAGCTGCTCCGGTGGTTCTTGTTTTTTTCTGGATAATGTATTTCAGTTTCTTGCTAGTTGAAATATTGATTGACTCCAATGAATTACTCTGTGCGGGTGACTGAGAGGAGCAGGATTTGATTCAAGAATGCTCTCTTGTTTTCAAGATCCTGTACTAGCCTAGACAGAAATAGCAAGGGTACAAATAGATTTCTATTTACAGGAAAGGAAAACAGTTGAAATTAAACACAAATGAAACAGAGAACTGGGTTATAATGGCTGAATTCTTGATGCTTGCTTTTCCCGTGTTGAGAAGGAACTGTTGGAGAACCCAAAACATCAGGCAAAAGAGACGTTCCAATCAACATGCTGGCTGAAAATGGCCTGGAAAGGCTGTTGTCTTCAGGAATCAGATTGGGGCAGCTAAAACTCAACCCAACAGCAGGCAGAGATCTTGTTTTAACTGGAAAGAATCATCCAAGAAGCAACATCCCCATAGGAAAAACAATGGGAAGCAGCAGGAAGACTTGGAATCAGGTTTGTGCGGCTGGAATCAGCCCTGCAGCAGTCCTAGATCTTGTTTTACTTCACTGAATCAACAGAAACTGCTCGAATTCCAGCACACTGCTGTTGCAAGAGGGGAAAAGAACTGCTATGAGGAAGAGATAGGAGATCTTGGACATCAATCTTGGCAAAGTCTTGGACTCCTTTATGATTTCTCACACCTCACCTCACCTCAAACTAGGGAATCCACCCTATTATCAGGAAAATCTAAAACAACTTCTCTAACTGAAAAAAAAAACCCCTCCCACACATAAGACTTAAAGTATTTATAGGAAAGAGCCTAAGGACTAAACTATGCCAATTAATAAACTATGCCTGATAAAAAAATAAGAGAAAATGGATTATTAAATAATTTTTTTGTTTATAGAAATGGTCCCATATCTCTATCTTTATCACACATTTTATTCATTTCTTTTATGAATGTATGCCAAAAACATTAATAGATAAGTTGATATATAATTCTAGCCTGTGATAGCTATCTAATGCAAAGAACATGATGATATACAAAGTTCCCCCCCAAAAAAAAAAAACATTGAGTTAAATATTTTGAAATGCCCAAGACCAGTGTCGTCCTCTTTAGGCACATATGGCCTGAACAGAGTCACTATCAAACTGCTCAACTTTAACAGGTTTCTTGACTTGCTTGGTGCTAGATAGCTTGATCAATAGTACCTAGGATTTTCAGAACTCTTTGCTCTGATAAGTATTCACATTGAAGTTTTTTTTTTTTTTTTTTTTTTTTTTGATAGTATAGTTGTGATGTAAATAAGATTGATTTGTAGCCAATTTTGTTGTCCAGAATCTTTTTTCCTCTTCTTTAAATTCGAGCATGAATTGAAATCATAATCAGTTGTATTTTCTTCTCCTCAAGCCTCTCTATTCTTTCTTTTTCGTATTGTACCCTACATTATTGGCAGTAATTATCATGGAAAAGGTATGTCTTCAACCAGTGATGTTTATAGTAAGCATGGAAATTTTACTCGGCCAAGCATATGCTTTTGGTTAAATTTTAGGAATAGTAAGGATGAAACATCCACTTAGAGTATTCTTGAATCTAAACCTTTTCCGTGGAAGTTAACTAACACTTGTCTCTTCACCAACTAGATGTTACGAGGGCAATCTTGAATGTTGACTTAAATGAAAAAAATCTACCTGGAACTTCCCTTAGGGATCGTTATCTTGGGGAAGGCAAGCTTAGTATGCAAGTTAATAAAATCTATTTACAGGCTATAATGGTCACATCGAGCCTAATTTTAAATATTCATCAAAGTTATGTGTCAATAGGGAGTTAAACAAGCATATTTTGACCACACATTATCTTATAATCACAAGGATGGTGAGTCAACCATACCACATACGTGTTGATGATCATTGTAACGGGGATCATGAGTTAGAGATAAGTATCATGAAGAAAAGATTTGTTGATGAGTTTGAAATCAAAGTCCTTAGCCCACTTAGGTATTTTTTTCGAATGGAATTTGCCAAAAACAAATATTGGTTTAGTGTTTCTCAAAGAAAATATGTTATGTATTTCTTAAAAGAAATTGGTTTGATGAGGAGCAAGTTGATTGATGCCCTAACTAATCTAGACATGAAATTGAGTGATCTTATCATTGGCCCTCCAATCGATAAAGGAAGATAAAAAGGATTGGTTGAGAAACTCATCTATTTATCTCATGTCATATCAGACATAGCTTTTATGGTTAGCATAGAGAGCCAGTTCATTTATGCACCTTATGAAGAACATTAGTGGGGCTACTCAGATACTTAAGTACTTGAAAAGTAACACTCATGAAGGGATTGTTTTTCAAGAAGAGGGGATCTTGAATGATAGAAACTTATAATGATCTTGATTGGGCAAACTCTCTAGTTGATAGTAGATCTACAAAAGGTAGTCTTGTGACATGGAGAAGAAATAAAATGTGGCAAGGAGTGTAGTATAGAAGTTGAACATAGATCCTTGACTTGTCGGAGTTGTGAATTGATCTAGCTTAGATTACTCTTAGAAGAGCTTTCAAGTGACGCTCAAGGCCCTCAGTATAACCCACAAGGGCCACAATTCAATTCATCATGATAAAAAAACATGGGGAGATAGATTGGCATTTTATTGAAAAGATCAACATGGTTGCCTGTTTATTTCATATATTCCCTCAGAATAGATCGTTGATATTGGGTAGAACCCTATTTGAAAAAATGATTATCAAGCTTGGTTTGTTTGATGTTAGCTGTCATTTTTCCTAAGAAATGGAAAAGGAACATTTGCATTTAACGTTTACTGTATTAGAAATTGCTTGATGACAGCAAGAATTGTTGGAATGCAGCAACTGTTTCAGCATTATAAGGGAGGCAATTGGCAGTGGCTTGTCTATTAGCTGGTTTCTTGAGATAAAACCTTTTTCAATGTTCATATTACCTTTCTTGTTATGATGTGTCTATTTATTCTATGTTTTTCACTTTTGTAACCCATCATATATAGTGGTCAGGTTTTGGCCAATTCAAGCAATCATGTTTTCCACTGTTTTGACTCTCTTATCCTCTCTTAGATCTTTTCTAACAATTTACTAAGTGAAAATAGAGGCTTTAGTTTGAAATTTGTACATAAAATCCATCTCTATGTCATCACTTGTATCCTCATGATATTGTTGTGTTGGCTACGCCATGATGCCAAGCGAGATGCCATACCATACCACAAGACCAACTGCAGGACAATAAGGCATCAAACTAAGGGAAGCAAGTCCCTAAAACATTAATGTCTCAAGCTGGAAGGGTAGTTTCATCAAGTTTTCATGCATCAATTGAGTGGGGCACAACATAGATGTTGGGCTTCAATGTAAAGATTACAGAGTAGATATGAGGAATTAAAGAGAAAATTACAGGAAGCCGTCAATAAACTATGGAATTGACAAGTTTGAAAGCACTAGAGAGTAAATTAGGTAAAGAAACTAAAGGAATGTGTCTCCGATGTTCCTTGATTTTTTTTCTTCAAAAAGATCCCAAAGTGACCTTGGTTGGAGTCACATAAGAATCATTGTAGTGAAAGAAACACAAGAAAGCTGCCGATAAAATCTTAATTTTTCTATAAAACAGCTTGGAGGAGATGAGCTGTTATGGGAGGCATGTAGGAGTTAGTAATTTATTGTACTGAGCTCTAGAAAGGGAACAAAAAAAAAGGTAAGCAGGGGGCAATGAGAGGATTCTTGTGGCTTCATTTCAATGCAAGATCTTCCAATATAGGTGGGTGCAATCAACTGAGTGCAGGAGGAGATAATGTTTTGTATAGGTTGAGGGGTGAAATCATTTGGTTGAGAATCAACTGAAATGGCAAGCTAGAGAAACTACTAATTATACGAGTAGGAAGTCAACTGGATGTTGAGAGCTCCTTTTTAATTGTATCTTTGGAATTACTTGAGCAACCAAGAAATGCATGCAAGGTGGCTTTAGGTTGCACTTCAATGCATATGTCTGCATTTAGCTAACCAATTCTTCCTAAAGGTTCCCATCAGAATGCTGCCAGTTGATGAAAGTTATTTCGGGATCAAGTAATAAAAATTGAGTCAAATCCATTTGGTTTATTCTCTCAATTCCAATCGAATGTAACTGATTTAGTATAGTATGAACTGTCAATCATAACACATATGCATAACTTCTAACGGGGCCTCTAAAAACTAGTAATTTTTTTATGGCATGTATCCTTTTGTTTAGGTTCACTAGGATTCTTAGTGATTTAAGTGAATGTTCTCCCTTCTTTAATGGTATATTTAAGCGCAAATGTTATTGCATGTTTGGTCACTGTTTGTTTAACCCCACATCCGAATGTCAAATCTACTTTGAACAGCCCCTGTTGGCCATTTTGGTTGACTGGCCAAACCACCTTAAAACTCGAAACCTAAAATGATCGTTAAATGACAAACCTGACACTTCCAGCCTAAAATGTTTCCTAAATAAGTAATCTTCTGTAGAAGGAATTTGTTCTTTGCTTTTTTTTATGTTTGTTATTTATGGAATTGGAAAGGGGCATCGTGGTTGCAGTGTCTTGGTTGGTTGTTAAAGGTCCAGCTGATATTTGATTTTGACCCTGCAGCTGCTCAAGTTTTTTGGACAGACTTACAGTTATTATGAAGTCAGCTATAGGTGCAGTTTTTTTGGTGCTTTAAAGCTTTCTCCTAGATTTATCACTTGATGACATTTGTCATAATACTTTGTTCTGCTATATGATTGTTATACTTGTTTTAGAATTTTGAGTTTTCAAGATGATCATATTGGTTGTACTATTATTTCCGTCTATTTCATAAACATTTTTACGCAGAGATGAGGGGATTGTGCTGAAAGATCTTAGTTCAAAATGGGAACCTGGTGACCGAAGTGGGAAATGGTTGAAGTTGAAGCCTGATTACATACATGCTGGTGCTGATCTTGATGTTCTTATTATAGGTGTGTGCTTCCTTACTTCAGAATTATATATGCCGTTATTGAGAATTATTTATTGTTGATATGCTGATTTATTCTAGGTGGTTATTTTGGCTCTGGTCGTCATGGCGGAGAGGTTAGGTTATATTCGTGAAGAGTATATACTTTTCTTTTTATAGCCCGTATGCTAGGAAGATCTGATTGTAGACTTCTTTCTCTTATAGCTCTTTTATATAAGATATATGCATCTAATACAGTTTTATTTTTAGAGTCTATTGGTTATGTAGTGCATTTTTTATTTTTTATTTTTTTCAAATAACTTCTATTTCTTATTAATTACAGGTGGCTCAGTTTCTGCTTGGTCTGGCGGAGCGCTCTGATTCTGGAAGTTTCCCCAAAAGGTGGTTTAATTAATTTGATTATTCAGCTTAAAGGCATACGCGCAGAACTAGATATAATATTGTTTTATTAATTATATTTGATTAATAATGTAGTGATTAATGCTTATCAATGTAAAGTTGATCAACCTCTTCGTGTAAGCTAATTTTAACAGCGCTAGCCCAAATGCAAGCGGCTGCCTTTTTAATCAACAATTCAATTATGGTCTTCTTGTTACAATGGCGAGTTCACATGTATTTACGAAAGTTATTGTTTCTTTGTGCATTTTTCTTAATGCATTTTTTATGTTGTTTTTAATTTTATTCTATCCATGCCAATCGAAAGTTTTTTTGGTAGCATTTTTTCCTATTGTCAAGACAATTTTTCAAGTCTAGATTTTTAAAAAAATTGGGCAATATTTTTGAGTTAGCTAGAAGCTTATCATAACCACGTTAAAAAAAAAAAAGTAGACATGTTGGGGCATTAGGCACTAAAACTATTTCTCATCTCTCTTGTTGATGCCAAGAAAAATTGTCTGGATGGTTTATGTAGTAGCTAGGCAAGAGGAGTCATCTTAAAACATGCTAAGAAAGGCAAGAATAATGGCTTTAAGGGAGCATCACTTTAAATGTAAAGCAAAGTAAATACATTGAGTCTTCGCTCCACACCCTGAGGGTTGGTATTGTTGGCCTTACCCTTGCAAAGGAGCAAAATGCATTCCTCCTCTAGCTAGCAGCCAACAACATCAAGGTGGCAAGCATCAATGAAAGTCCTACATGAACTTAGGACTTGGGGGCTTGTTACACATGCACAAAAAATGATCAAGAGACCTAGATTTTGCTAAGTTTTAGGAATATACCTCACCGGTGCTAGTCTGATGGATTTCCGGCTGTAGTGCCTTCATTTAGATGAAATGACGAAAATTGAAAGATAAGAAGGCTGCTGTCCGAGTTGTTTTGGTTGTTGACTCCACCACCACTTTGCCGAAATTGATGGATAAGAAAGGAGAAGAGGTTGGATAGCGAGTTCTCGATTTTAGAAATTAAAACAGTAGAGAAAGGAATAGGACATTCCTCTCTCTCTCTCTGGAAGACTGAAATCCTAGCCGTCGCCCTATTTTAGTTTTATTCCAAGTAAGGAGAAACTTGAAAACGAAAAGAGCGTCTACCCTGCTTTGGATTTGGAAAGAATTAAGCCCAGCTCTCTCATCTCTGCTCTTTGGAAATAATTGAATGTAAGGAGCTGTTCTTGGTTTTTCCAAATGAATTTACTCACTCGAGCAGTCGAACTCCCCAAGCACACTTTTCCTTGAGTTAAATTTGGGTCAATTAGACTTGAATTTGTTCGATTTGAGTCAATTTGGTATGATTCCATTTGACTTGATTGTATTTTACTCAATTTTGTCAATGTGACTCGGTTGACTTAATTTGATGTAATTGAGTTAGATTTGACTCAGATTGATGCTTTTAAAGTCAAATTAAGCTAGATTATAGGTTAAATTGAATTGACTGATTCAATTTAATTGATTTGAGCCAAAATTAAGCCGAATCAAAATTGAGCCAAATTGATATTACCTTGCCAAATTTAATCAAATTTGATCACCCCGAGTCAAAATTTATTGGAGGCTTTTGGTAAAATTCAGATGACTCGATTCAAACATTGAATCAACAGGAAGATTGTGAATCCTTCTTTAAAAGAAAGAGGTTAACATGTAAGATACCTTCATACTTAACGTCATGTATGCTTTGATCATCTTACAATGCATTATAACATGATACGTCGTGGAGTAAAATTAGCAAGAGAAACAACAAAAATAGCAGGAAAAACAGTAGCAAAAAGTAGGAAAAAGGGCTGATTTTTCATTAATAGTTCAACGAGAAATAAGGTACAAGTGACTTATAATTAGAGAGATAGATCGGCTCTCCCAAACAACTTAGTCACCGTTAGGAAGTAATCACAAAGGAAAAAACTACAACAAACTCAAAATATGCATTCCTTAAAATAAACTCTAGACACCTCCTTAAACAAAATCTCAAATTGCCTCCAAAACAAATTAGTTTCCTTAATAGTTTCCTTCTTTAATTTAAATTTCATTAGGAAATCTTTCCCTCTTTGATTTAAATCTAATTAGAAATTTTTTTTCCTAATTAGTCCTCCCTTTAATTCCTCTCCTAACATAATGAATTAATTCTTTATTGGGCCCCACAAAGGGGACCGAAATCTCCCCCTTGGATCCTGCCTGGTCCGCCCCTCCCTAGTCCACCCCCTCTGGGTTTAGAGGTCCAATCCAGCCCCTCCCGGGCCTCTGCTGCCATATCAGAACATAACATAATGAATTAATTTTCAGTTGTTTCTTGATTTTTGGAAAAAGCTCCTTTATGGCCTTCAACAGTTGTAATTTTTTAGTTCTTTGGCTGGTTTAATCCTGTTGTAAAATGGTTTTACTTAAATAAGAATTTTTTTGACTAATGAGCAAGCTATCTTCTTGGATGTAGTCATGTAGCCGTATGTACTTAAATATTTCTGTACAAGCTGCGAGTACACTATAAAATGAATTTCTGCATCTATTTATTGAAATCATGTTTCTACTGACATGCCTTGTCTGATAAAATAAAATTTACGCTCTGATTTAGGAAAATTTTATTGGAAGTGTGACATTCGTATCTATAATTTTTTATTATAGCGATGAATATATTTAAGATGGTTGCTTTCTCACTATTTTTTGGTAATATAACCTGTCTTTGATCTTTTACAGAAATACCGATTTACTTCCTTGTCTAGTTATCACTAACAGTGGCAGATTATAGGCAGATTTTCGCAGCAAGTTCACTCTATTAATGTACAATGCTAGAACTATATTATTATTGATATTCCTAGCCTTTTCGTGTCTATTTTAGGTTCCTTTCTTTCTGTCGAGTGGGTTCTGGTCTTTCAGATGATGATCTTGATATTCTCATTACGAGATTGAAGCCCTACTTAAGGTAATATATCTTCTTGTTTGTTACTGAGGAACCAGTCAACATATTTAAGAGCTATCTGGTATGACCATATTTGTACTAACTGCTGGATTTTTCCGTCACTCGGATTATTTTTTTTTATTATTTGTTGAAATATTTTTAAAACATATGGAGAGAAAATCTTGAATCTAATAATCATCAGATCCATAATCCATATGATAATAGATATATTTTTCACAAATTTCACCTCCTTCAACTTGCTTTGTTGAAGTTGGGAATTTTTTTGATTCTTGGTATGTGTCTTGCGAATTATTGTTGAAGTTGGGAATTTTTTTTATTCTTGGTATGTGTCTTGCGAATTGATTATATAGGAGGGATTGCATTTTCTAATTTTCTCGTCAAATGTTGCAATTTTATTATTAAAGTAGTTCACTTTAATGTTTGCAATTGTAAATTTCTTCTTTAGTTATTTCATTTGTTTTATGTGTTGCTCTTTCTGACTGTCATTTAAAGCCCATGGGTTTATGGATTTATGTGTTAGCCCTTCCGACACTGGGAAAAAAAAATCTTTGCTATTGAATAGTTCTTAACTTGTTGCATGCAATGCATCATTTCATATAACAGTGGATAACAATGTATAATCATTCAACTATGTCATCCAAAGTGTAAGAGAGTTGCCGAGCCTTGATTTTTTTATTTAATGTAAATGAAAGAAGATTGTACATGTATACTTAACATCCAAATTTATTACCATGTGGTTCTCATTAGAACATTCTTGATACATCTAAATAAGTATCACAGTGCTATGAATCCAATATACCGTGGAGTAATATTCTTGAGCCAAAGAGTCTAAAGCTACACTATACATTTACGGTATTTACACATATACCTGAACGAATGTACTCCACATCAATTGTGTACAAAATCTTGTCTATGAATCATCTACTCCATCAGAGGATTTGAAAAATGGTATTGTGAGTGGCATAAATATATAACTCAATGGGTATATCGTAGCTCTAAATAATTGAAAATAATGAAGAAAGAAGTGATATGCATGTTAATCATTAAACACGATAACAATCTATATAAATATGACATTTTGACATAAGATTCTTTATAATAGCATAAATTATAAAGTGATCATAGCAGTTGCCACAGCATGACAGCAATTGTTGTCATATGCATGATCTTGTCTTTTGAATGTTAACACCCTCATCTGATGGGGACATCGGAGCTTGGAAAGTCTATTAGAGACGTGACCGTCGATCTACGACCACGATCGAGTCGATGTATTTTTTAGTCATATTATGTATTTGTCTTTTATTATTCTATGTTTGTATTTGCTTTTGTTAGTTTCCACTTTTATCCCTTATTAAAGGGAGGTTATATGTAAGTCCAAAGGGCATTGTGGTCTTTTATTTTTGAGTCCTTTGCATGAGGCTATATATAGCCTTTATGTTCTCTTTTCATTGTTAATGAATGAATGATAAAAAATTTTTCCATTTCTTGAGTTCCGTGTGAGAGCTTGAGAGTGCTTAGGAGAGAAAACCCTTGGAGAGGGAATCGCATCACCCACCAGCCTTGGAAGAGTCCGGGCTCATGGTTTGTTCTATTATTTCGTCTTCTCCCCTTTCCCCCACCCTACACCACTGGCCCACCACCCCTCTCACCACCCAAGCCGCCGGCCATCTTAGCCCCATCGTCACCGTGGGCTAAATCTCCCACCTCCACCCCATCCGACCCTACCTCCCTCTCCCCCACCACCCACGGCCAAACCACAAGCCGCCGGCCCTCCACTTGGCTTTTCCTTCATCATTGCTTGCAATTACCCCTTTCCTAATTGGGTTTGAATATTTTAGGTAATTCAATTGCTTTGCAAATTCAAATTTATTTGAATTTTAAAAGTTACCTAAAATACCATTCTCATTTTAGGAAAGTTTCCGAATCCCTTCCTATTTGATTTTAATTTAAATTGGGATGAAATATCTCTTCCTAAATTTGATTCCCTAACTTAAGGAAGAATTAAAAGCTTCCCTAAAATTCCTCTCTAGCCCTTATATCGCCGGCCCCCTCATTTAATCCCTCCTTGGATTTATTTCCTAAAGCCCATCTCCACTTTTGGAAGTAATTCAAGCCTTCATATCCCTCTTTGGCGGAAATTTCCAAGTGCCCCCACCTCCTTACTACTTTCCAAAATCTCATATTTAGTTTTGGAAATAAATTCCAAACCTCCTCTCTCTTTCCGCCGCCCCTCCCTCTCTTTCTTTTCTTTAATTACTCTCAATCAAAGGGATTAATTTATTGAGTTGTTTGAAATAATTTCCCTCCACAAAAATCTGAACCAAATTTAATTCCCCCTCCCTCCTTCAGTGGCCGGCCCACCCTTCCCTCCTCCTCCAGTTAAAATCTAGAGAGAAACTTCTTTCTCCCTAGAGAAGTCACCAAGGGAGTCAACTACAATCCTCATCTGCAAATCAATCCTTCAACACCGATGAATGCCCGACCTGAAGCTTGACTACGGATTTGCTTAAGACGAGCAAGGGAACGTCAACATCCTCCACTCCACCTTCTTCGATTTCAACCCAGAAGTTGATAACTCTGTTGAAGAGTACGTGGACCGCATCATCTTCACACTCTCGGAGGCCATCGATGAACAACACGTCCAGTGGCAAATTGTTTCGGGACAATAGCAAGGGTGAACTTCTTCCCTCATCAATTATCTTTCTAATCCGCTAATCTTGTAGGTGGTGATTTAATCGCAAAGTTCTCGTGCTTCACCCTCTGCCTCCGCTCAGTAAACATAGGATTTGAGTTTACTTTCTATGTGCTTATCTCAATGTTAGATTAGGGATTTTTGTTGAATGACTACTTAATACCCATGTTGTTGAGATTCTAAGTTATTTTGATAATTCAAATGCTTAGCATGTGATTTGACCTAAACGTAGTTACCTCTCTTACATTTTCTTTTATCGTTTTGATTGCTAATAGTCTTAATTGTTATTTGTTCTTATCAAGATCGTGCAAATTCTTATCGCATTCATTTAAAAGCATTGTAGTCCTGCATCATCATCATAAACCAAATCGCCATTGATCGATAAATCCCCATCAGTATATTAGAGTGCAGTCCTTACATTTACTCTTCTCTATGGCAGAAAAGTACCCAACTCACCACTAGTCGATACATCCCCCATTTGCACATTGGGGCACGACTCTTATGTCTACTATTTCCTATGGCGAAAAGGTTAAAGACAAACAAACAATTATATTAACATTCCCATCCACTAACATAAGGGGACTCCATCTATCTTCATGCAAATGCATGCATTCATGTGGGCTTTTCTTTACATACATTATTTCTTGCAATAGCTTATTTATAGGTGTTTTTTTAACGATAATTAATGACAGTATCATAACATTGGAGATCACAGTCATAATAATTGCCTGACATTTTGAATAAAAGCCATAGCGATACCATGATGTTTGGAAACATGGTCATAAACTATAGAATGAATTGGAATTCCTGATCATAATGATAGCCTGACATTTAGAATCAAAGAAAAAATAATAGCATTTTGTTGAAGTCAGACATACCATAGCATATGGTATTGGAAAGCTGACCATAATATTGGAATACCATGTATAAATTAGTTAATTACTTGGAATACATAATTGTAGTGGTTGCATGATATTTGATAATCATGGACATTAACTAAAAAATGATCATTGCATTTTATGACTTGAAAGGTATCACATGCTCTACTCATAATAATATGAACAATGTCATTGAATAATTACGGTAAATTGATAGCTTTATTTTTCATATTTCATATTCTACAAAAGGAAGTTTCCACAACCAAGTGCAATCTAAAGCATTCTCTCTTATTGAGATTACCCTCCTTTTCAATTTTAGGTGAACCAGCTCTTCAACCTGAACACCTTATCATACTCAAGTACAATGAATAAGACAGAGTTAAGCACGGAACTTTAGTCACACTGCTAAGTAGCTTAGTTTTTGTACTTCTTTTCGACCAATTATCTACTCAACCTCTTAAATCTAACATTTACATTTTACTTATAAACGGACATTATATTTTGCATATGGGTACCTCAAAGATAGCCATCACGTTGACTATGAGTGTTGCAATAATAACACGGATTTTTAAATACTTATTTAAATACCTAAGAAAATATACTTTCTTTAGATTAATTAAATTTTATTTCTCTAGACTTTTACTCTAATGGAGTCGGTCATTTGCATGTTAACAATAAGCTATAATTATTCCATTCATATAATATAATCATAAAATCAATGATTATTTGACTTATGTTTATTTATGATGCACAGATATTGACATGGCAACACGGATATGAGACACCAATTATTGAAAGTATAGGGCACAAATATAAGTTCAACACGGTATTATAATTTTATATCTTAAAAATAGTGCATAAAAATTGAATAAGTAGAATATAAAAATAATTGGAAATAACATGTTATTTAATTAAGATTTGTTCTTAAAATGATTACTATTAGGATGTCCATAATTGGGTGTGTTTGTGTTGTGGGGTAGGTATTGAGAAGGGAGACAATAATGCTATCGATAATCGAGCATTGATGTTGTGCAGTGGGCATCAAGCATCGATGTCAAGACTATATCGGCCGTTGATGTTAAGACGACATTAGACAAAAAATAAGTTGTAAAGATGGCATGGGGGTGTTATTTTGGGTGTAGAAATTGTTGGCATCGAGCATCAATGTGAAAACAACGAAATACTTTGATGTTGAGATAGTTTGAAATGTTGATATTATGATAATGTTGAGATATCATTGGGCGTTGTTGTGAAATTCTAGCTATAAACCATCAGCAAGAAATGAAAATGGGAATGTTCATTGAGTAGGATAATGACTGCTTGCAATTGATTTGGGGATATAGAGAGAAAATAAGAAATTTAGCCTTTATTTTTTTAATAAAGAAAATTTTGAAATATAAGAAATAATATTAAAGAGTGTTTTTTAATAAAATATTTAAAATATGCATGTTGGACATTCGCATTCAATTTGTTTTTAATATTTTCTTAATCGGATGTCTTCATCATGTCAAACGATTGTCGTGTCTGATGCTTGTCGAACACTACATACCTTTTTAAGGAGAAATGTCGGTAAATCATGGATGTTTATAATGCATCATTTATTTATGAATTGTAATATGCTATCTTATTTAACATGAATTCATATGGAATATTGTGAACCATGAAAGCATATTTAATCCTCAATTTGTACAGATATAAGGCAATTTTATTTTTTGTTTCATTTTACTGTCTAGGCGCTCATTCTGGAGCTAAAGGTCTTAATTAATAGCATGATACTAAGGTCTTTCATTGTTTATGCAGGAAGAATGAGTACCCTAAAAGAGTACCTCATTTCTATGAAGTAACAAATAATTCAAAAGAGAGACCAGATGTTTGGGTTGAGAGCCCTGATAAGTTAGTATCCTGCTCGCTCTTTTTTTCCATTGAGTTCCTTGGATGTGCACTTTTTACATTATATGCTCTGTATCTCAGGTCAGTCATACTCTCTATTACCAGTGATATCAGAACAATAAAATCTGAGGTACTTTACACTAAGAATTTGTTGTCAATTTTCAAATCCCTTTTTATGCATCTTATTAGTTACTAAAATCTTGCACTTTCACAAGTTTTCTTAGATGCCTTGTTGTGAATGAAATCCCTTTTTGCCAAGGTTTTTGCTGCACCCTACAGTTTGAGGTTTCCACGCATACAACGTGTGAGATATGACAAGCAATGGCATGAGTGCCTTGATGTTGAATGTAAGTTCTTGAAGCTGAAAAACACATCTGGTCTTTTATGTAAATGGAATACACCTATTTGCGTAGGAAAATTAGTGCAGGCTTAGGTGTTCTTGTTTTAAAGCATTGTTTATCCTGTTATGTAATAGCTACTACCAGCGAAATGTAATAATTGATTGCCGTCATGTTCATGTTTATTTTAATGATATGTGCTAATTGTATTATTAATTCCTGTATTATACTGTTTTTGTTCATCAATTTTAGTTTAATGTGTCAATGCTGCTGCTGCTGCTGTTTTATTAAAAATTTATTGCAAAGATTTGTTGTTAAGAACGAGGATTTGAGAGGGAAAAGTTTGAATTTTATTAAGCAATCTACTCCCTATTTATAGATCTATACAAGGTATATCAATAAGGAAACAAATAACTCTTATAATAATATGAATACAATTATTCCTAAATCAATGGGAGGAATTAATGCAATCCTTGTAGTCCTCCCACGGATTACTGTTCACAGCCGTGGATGTCTTCGGGATCGTAAGGTTGAGATTTAACATTTGTTAATACTTAATTTAGTGCAAGATGCAAGAGAAATGACCACACACGAGATTTTGATATTGAGGGGTAATCATGAAACAAGTCCATATATATATATATATATATGAGGACTTGCAAAAAATATTTTAGGTTTGGAGTGCTTTGGCTATTTATTTATTTGGTTTTCTCTTCTTGTAATTTTGAATTGCTATGTAGAAAAAAAAAGGTCAAAAAACTTGAATGGATGCCATAAGTTCTTGAATAGATCAGGTGCCACTAATTTGGCACTGTCATCATCAGCTTTGACAGCTGCTGGACGTTGTCCCAACTGTTTGGTGTGGTCTTCAGAAATCTGCTTTACAATTCAATTTTGTCCACAGTTACATTTACTTTTATTTTTATTATATCTTTAAACAATTTGTTTCCATTTTTATTTTGACCTACCAAATTTCTTTCCAAGTTTAATCTGAAATTCTCATGACTTCTTGTTTGTGCTTTCTTTGTTGATGAGCGCTCTGATGAAAGTGTTATTATGAATATTTCTCATATCCTAGTATGTTTTTCTTTCAACTCAAAGCTACCCTGTCCTTTCCCCAATTTGAAAGATGTATTTTTATTTCCTAGTTTGATAACCTTGAATTTATGCATGACATCATCAAAATGAACATTAACATTTAAATTATGACGATTTAGGATCTTTTTAATGACTTTGAATCATTATATTAAAATATATATCATCATATACATATTTGTGATGTATGTTAGTTTATCAATATATTTTTATAAATTGCATTGCGTGCTTTGTAATTAAATTAGGACAATTTTTTTATTTCAGCATTTAGGGATTTGGTGCAGTCAAGCAATGGCACTACGCAAAGGGGAGTAAATCAAGGAGCTTTGCAACTCGTTAATGCCAAGCCTAAAAGATTATCAAGGAAGGGAGAGAAAACAACCATTTCTGTCATTACACCCCAGTCTATCCAGTCTGACATCTCTGTTGTAAAGAAAACGTTGATATTTGCAAATATGATGTTCTGTATCCTTGCGATAAGTTAATTTAGTTTGTGTTCTATCTATTTACCATTCCATACCAAAACATGATTTCTTCAGTTAGTATTTTGTTTTTCTTGTTATATTTCAAGCTTTATTTTCCTGATGTCCGAATGAGATCAATTTACTTGCACTATAAAAAGCTTTAGTGTGGTTTTCTTATTATTTTTTAATCTACTCCTTGACTATTGTAGATTTTGTGAATGTTCCCCCATCTTCTTCAGTAGATTATTTCCACAAACTAGTGATTGAGAATGGAGGAAATTTTTCCATGAATCTTAATGATACAGTAACTCATTGCATTGCAGCTGAGAAAAAAGGTACTGATTTCTCATGTTTAGAATGACCAAATTATATATCAGATTATTTAGGGCGTGTTCATTTAGATCCAAACTTTTCTTATTCTCCAATTTGTTCCCTCAACTTATCAAATATTGAATCTCTAGTCCCTCTACTATTTTGAAGAGTTGAGGGACCAAATTAGAGAGAAATAAAAGTTTGAGGTAAAAAATGAGCACATCCTAAATAATTTGGGGAATATTTTTGTTATTTTCTTTTAAAATTCTTTGTAGATCTCCTGCTAATTCCAAAACCAACACAACCCCAGGCATCAAATATCAGGCGGCCATGCATCATGGTGATATCATCCATTATTCTTGGGTTTTGGACTGTTGCAATAAGAAGAAATTAGTGCATATACAACCCAAGTTAGTCTTAAATTGAAAGCATTTGTACTTTTTTTTTTCTTTAGCTCATTTGAGAACTTAAAATAAATAGTGTTGTGTTATTCTGTCATGAAGGTACTTCTTGTTTTTTGCTGATTCTTCCAAGAAGAAGCACCAAGAGGAGATTGATGCATTCTCTGATTATTATTACTGGGACATTGACATCGAAGACATAAAACAGGTAAACTTCTGTAACAGACCACCGGATCGTTTTCATAACTTGCCTTTTAAAATTGGGAGTATGCAACTGGAAACTACTTTACACTTATGATTCAATAATTTTAGCCCTTCAGGTTGTTTTGCTGAAGGTTCTTTTGTTCCTCACTACACAAAAAATACAGACTTAAAAAGAACTGGGATTGCTAATAACTGCTCTGGATTTTTAGTTTTTAATGTGGCCGGTCTTTGAGGGGTTTCGGCCAAACTTGTATAGACTAGTTGTTAACTGTATGCACTCTTGAGGGTTGTTTGGTAATACTTTTGAAGGGCTATTAACTGCCCTTTTATTCCTAATAGATGTACTAAAGGAGATTTTTTATCTCGGAATTGTATGTTCATTGCAACAACAACATCCAGTCTTTGTCCCACTACGTGGGGTCTGCTATATGAATCCTTTTTCGCCATTGTGTCCTATTAAAAATCAAATTCTCAATTAAATCTAATAAAGAAAGATCATTTCTAATATTTTCTAACCAAGTCTTTTTGTGTCTTCCTCTACCTTTCTTAACACAAGTCAAATCTAATACCTCAACTTTTCTGACCGGGTCATCTGAAGGCCTCCGTTTAATGTGACCAAATCATCTAAGTTGACTCTCAGTAAACTTATTTTCCACTGTACAATTAAGGAATACTTAATATAACCTGATGTACAAAAGTGGATCCTTTCTTTTTTTTTTTCCTAAAGAAGGTCCTCAGTTTCCAAATACGCTAGACTGAAAGAAAGGGTTACTTGCTAAGAAATGGTCTGGAATTGTTTTTTTGTTCTTGTTGCTGGGAATTCCAGTCAATTTGGTGTAGATAAGTTTGTAACTCACTCTTGTAGGCCATCTACTTATGGTTAGAAGTTATTTAACTTGAATTCCTAATTGCACCAAGCACGACTTGGAAAAAAAGAAAGTTAAAAAATCTCCTTTAATTCTAAAACCCAGTCTTCGTCTCACTCACTTTACCCAGCCTAAAGCCGGAGTTAATTTTTTATTTAATTGATTGCAAAGACTGAGGAAAAGAAGAATCAGATCTAGGATGAAAACCGGAAAGGTAGGGGGAAGGGAACTGAGCACATAAATGAAAGCACGCCTCAATGGGAGAGTAGCGCAGGGTAGAAGAAACTTGATATATCTAAAAATCCTAATTTAAATGAAGATAAATCTGAAATTCTAAACATAATGTATCATGTTGAATTAATTTTCCTGAGATACGAAGAATTATAATCCTAATTGTTGAGATGTTACTAGCGGAAAATTGAAATGATCTATTGTCTGGAGTCAACAAAATTCATCCTGAAGAGAGAGCTGGTGGAAAATCCACACCGAAGAACAGATGAAAACTATAGAAGACGATCGAGTAAAGAAACAATGAGGAAGAACATCATTGTGACCGACGATATAGAAGATTTTTTTTTGCTTAAATCCTTCCTGAAAGCCTTCCTGCATTACTCCTAGACTGAGTGGAACTGACCCAAGTATTGATTGTGTATAGTATTGATTCTTTTTTCATAGCCAAAATAAAATGAGTGAGCCATCTCGAATATATGTTTGCACTTCCAGTTATATTTCCAGATAATTATGATGAATGCGAGAAATTTATTTTTGGATCACAACTCCTAACATGAGTTATCAATACCAATCTCTATGCCTAATAGGATTTTTTCACTTTCTGTACGACAGATATTTTGCAATATGATTGGATCTGGAAAGTCCAAAATGATTGAGAATTACAGGAAGAAATATCTTCCAGTGAGAAGATTGGGCTTGTTTCACGGTTGTTTCATTTACTTGCATGAAATGCCTGTCAGGTAACTCCCCTGATCATTTTGGTTTTCGTTGTGTACTTACGAGATTTTAGTGATGTTTCACTAGCAAGATAAATGAACTATCTTTATCTGTTGAAGGAATACCGACTTAAAAGTTATATCAGAGCTGGCCGTAAGAAGGATGAAACTTGAAATTAACATGCACGGGGGTAATGTTTGCAACGATCTTGAAACTGCGACACATTTATTAGTTTATGCAGTGCTTGGATCACATGACTTTGATGAGATACTTGAAAGGTATTTATCTGCATTCTAGTAAGATCTGTATTTTGGTAATCTAATGAAAACTATAACCATAATGAAAAGGTGTTTCTTGGCTTTATTCTCTTGGACTTCTGGATCAGCAAGTGGCTATTATCCTATCTTTATCCAAGATGTTTCTGGTTTTTGCATTTTAAAAGCTTCAAAAAATGGCAAACAATGTATGATTAAAAAAGTATGATTTGCAACAAGCTGGGTAAGAATTAGCATTTACAGATTGTACATTAATAAATTTTAAAAGCTTCAAAAAATGGCAAAAATTTTACTCAGATCATAAAGTCCTCACAAAATGAGGGCGAAATCTCTGGGTAGTGTCTTATCTACAAACCCATCTGCCTTCCAAAATTTACCTCGGAACTTATCAGTTAAAACTCCATCGCCGAATAAGAAGAGCGAGGGGAGGCCGGGGCCGAGTTTTCGGAGCCCACATACATTAATAAATTTTAATGAAGAGAAGGAATACCATGTGAAGGACAAAATTATGACAACACAGTTTAATGGTTTTAGAATATTACATGTACACTGATGCAATTAAAAATATGGACATAAAAATCATTTTTAGAAAAAGTTAGATTATAAAACATTGGCGCCTATCTTAAAAATGGTATCAAAGAAAAGGATAGAAAAAAGATCAAAGAAGAAAGATTAACAAAAATCATTTACATATGATAGATTAACATCATTCAATGTATAAAATTTTTGTATGGGAATAGTGATGTCTAACAATAATGGAATATATTATGTGATATGATGTTTAAATTTTCAAAATTAAAGGGTGCTTGTCTTTGGCGCATGATTCTTGAGAAGTTCTATATAGGTGTTGTTACAAAGGTAGCCATTCTTTTATAATAAATCACCTGGGCTGAAGCAATGTGCTCTTTTAGCATCTTATGATTTGTTGACCTTTTTGTATTGCATTTAGCATCTCTTTTTGTAATTTTGATTTTTTTTTTCCGCCACTTGAATAATTAAATGTGTAATTTATTTTTCATGATTTTTTTCAGCATTCCATCAAATCAACGCCGCCTTTTACACCAGAAGAAATTATATGTTTTGGTACATAATTGGTTAGAAGATTCCTTGGATAAAAGTGTCAGGTTACCTGAAAATGATTATAATCTAAAGCCAGATTCATTGGAAGAACTGATAGTTGAGGAAAAGTAAGTGGTGCCCTTCTTTTTTTTTTTTCTTTTTTACATAAAGAATCCTTATACGCATGATTTTATGATCATTAACTATTTAATCACACGCAGTTCTTGGTGTAGTGCGAGCGATTTAGTCATAATCTATGCATCTACTGTTATAACCATGAAGATGAGATGGATGGGTTTGTTTAGCGATTTTGTATTGTGGCTAGACAGTAAGGATGGTAGATTTGTATTTTCAAAGTACTCATATTTGATTCCATCTGAAAATAAATATTAAATATGTGTCATTGCAGATGTGATGGTAAAAAAAAAAGTCTTTTTTGGTTTTTTTTTTTTCTTTTAGTATACAATTTTGTACAAGCTATTTGGGTATGATGGATTTATTAAATTGTACATTAATAAATATGAAAAAGGAAATCATCATGCATTTTCTATCCATAAGCAACCAAATTAGCCGCATATATTCAAGTCAGTCTACTTTTATCAGTCATGTAAGTTGACTAGTGAATGTTTTATGTTAATAAGCTCTGATGTGAAACGATCAGGAATTGCAAGAAAATAATAAAATTATTATAAGCTTGCTACTTTAAGGTTAATGGATCTTAGGAAATAAATTTTAAGAATTATCCGTTGAAGCTTTGCTCTAATATGCAGTTACACTATTAGAAATACAGATCAATTTAAAACAATATCAGAAAATACAATAAAATGAGATGTACTGTAATAATAATCCACATGTTAATATCAACATGTAAGTTGAGTAGTGAATGTTTTATGTTAATAAGTTTACTTACTATTCTTTGCATGGCTATCTGTTTTTCATTATGTTTCCATCTTCATTATGCTTGTAAACCATCTTGCTTGACTTAATTTTTCTCAACATACTTTGGCAGAAGCAATCCGGCCTTCCCAGCAATCAAATGTGAAGCTGAAGATCAAAACTCTGCTGCATCTGGAAAGAGAAAAAGAGGGAGACGAGCTGCAGGAAGAGCTAATGTTGGAAGACCAGTTCACAGACCTACCCGTCGAACGCGGCCGAAGATTGGGAAGCGTTCAGTAAAGCTGGGTTCGGATGGTTCTGAAAGCAGTGACTGTTTGGAAGCAGCTCCATCAAAACATGCCAAAGATGAAAATTTAACTGGCCAAGTCCAGAAAACTGCAAGTGAAATACAAGATGAAGCTGAAAGGAAACAAGAAGTTTCAGATAGGCCTGTAGAACAAAGTGATTCTATGAAATTTCTGGAAATTGGAAGTAAGTCGGGAGATAAATTGGAGGTAAGGACTGACCCAATTCATGCAATGCTGTTAGATATGATACCAAGTCTTAGCCAAACCCAGAAAAGGCATCGAGAAGATGTTGACGTTTCTATCAATGAGGATAAGAAACCACAGCAGGAGACGAATCCAGTGAAGAAGAAAGTAAGCTACAAAAAAGCTGCAGATGAGCTTCTTAAAGATTGGTGATTGGGGCGGATGAGATAGTTGAAGTTGTAAGGTAACAATCCAAATTTTTGAACCATCGAGATATTATCTGCTTTGATTTATCACCTTAATTTAATGAGCTTCAAGATTATGAGACAAAGGTTTCGTTTAGGACACTTAAAACAGTTTTTTAGTATAAAAATTTAGATTTTAATTTTTAAAAAATTGCTTTAAGGTGCCATATAAAACTCAAATATTTAGGTTCAGTACCGTTAGATGATCCCTAAGGGAAAAAGTTGGAATAAACTGGCATTCGCAACTAATTTGAACTCTTCAGTATTCTATTAATAAGTGCTTTTTTAACCCGGTCATTAAGACTTTATATGGATGACTTTTTTACTACTTTGTTAAAGTAATTTTTTAATACAAAGATTAAATTTTTTGTAACAAAAAAATTATTTTAAAAGGCATCAAAATATAGGCAAATTATTACGTCTGGTGTCTGGATCAGGGCAAATTATTGGGTCAGGTGACCGGAGGCGGAAAATAAGTTCGGACATCCAATAAAAATTTGCCGCGTCACCTTGCGCTTTAGTTGCGCTTTGGTTGCACTTTAGTTGCGCTTTTTGATTTGCGCTTTAGTTACGTTTTACCTGCGCTTTAGTTGTGCTTTACTTGCGCTAATTTTAAAATAATATTTTATTAATATCCGGACCTATCTCTGCGTTCGGTCACCTGACCCAATAATTTGCCCCGGATCAGATGTGTCACATCACCAAATACACTGGATCCTAATATATTTGGGTGACATGACACATCTGAATTGGATGTTCGAACAGCTGGTGATGATTGGACGTAATAATTCGCCCAAAACATAGCTATAACTCGATACAACAGCTTCTAAATTATGATATATACAAAACTCGTTATTTTCTTTTCTCTGAACTTTCAGACAATTTATTATGTAAAAGTTCATAGAATATTTTGTTTAAACAAATGAAATTTAATTAATAGTAATTATTTAGTTCAGTGTACGAATGATTAAATAAAATAAGCCAACGAAATCCATGTTGACACCGACGCAAAAAAAATTAAAAATATATAAAATGCAGCTTTATGTTCCTCTTTGAAAATGACCTCAGAAATATCCTTATAGCCAAATTTATTGCTTATTTTTTAAAAAAATATAAGCTTAATATAAATTAAAACAAATTGATTATGCATTATATTCATTTAAAATAAATTTAACAATCATTAAAATCAAATTTCAATAGCAATCATTTTACATTAAATATTCTTATTTTAAAAAGAAGAATTTGTTCCAACTGAGAAACTTCTAACAATTGACATTTTCATACGAGAAATTATTTTGTGGACGCCAAATAGTCTCTGGAGATCAACCATAAAATGCCAAGTGATCTCTTCGTTCGGTATCACGGCTCAGTACCGCTAACATGGTACATTCTGGTTGGTCTCCAAATAAAGTTCTGCGTCTCTGCACAAAATAATCTCTCCTAAAAAAGGGTCCTACTTAAATAAAAAATTTAGTAAAAAACTGCTTTACAAAGCATACATAAAACTGTCCAAAAGAAGCATTAGGCTTCATTTGTGACGGCTTTTTTATTGCTTCTTAAAACAAAATTTTAATATAAAAATTAAATATTTTGTGCTAAAAAACTGTTTTAAGAAGCAGTAAGAAAACCATTCTAGATGGGGAAGCCTAAACCCTAAACAAGAAGCAGTCAAGTACAGCATTCATTATATGCAGGTGTGAATGTGTGAGCAGGATCATGCATGTTATATCTCCTTCCATGCATAGCAACTACACTAAAAAGCAAAGTTCAAAGCCATAAAACCAAAAAAAAATACAGGAAAAGCAGAGTTCGCCAAAATCACAACAGTGGGTGTAAATGGCCAATCAAATAACAATAGCCATCTAGCAATAAATCAGTGGATATAACCCACAAGACAACCAACCATCTGCAGTAAGTGCATTCTGCAAGCTACGGTAAGTGATGGAATATACCTTTTGAAACCTACTGAAAACTCAGATTTTGAAGCTTAGATCCCACATCATCTTCTTCGTTCTCTTCATCGCCATCATCCTTTTCATCTTCTTCATTTTCGTCGTCTTCTCCGCCTTCCGGATCATTCTCATCCAACGGTCCGAGAACATTGGCAGATTTCTTACCCGACTTCAAGATCTCCTTTACCTCATCAATCCCTTCTTCAGATATGGCATTGCCATCAATGTTCAGAAGCACAAAATCAGGCTTGTTTGTGACAACAGCTTGGGCCAAACACCTTGCTCCAACTCTCTTCACAGCATTAGTGCTAAAATCCAATTCTTTCAGCTGTGGGTTACTATCCTTCAAAAATGTACCAATCAGTACTGCGCCCTCATCCTTCAGTTCATTTTCGGACAAACTCAGCTTCTTGAGGGTCGGTTTTGCAGCTAAATAAGCGGTGAGATGCGGGGCGGCTTTCGCCGTGATATCATTTCCGGCAATCTCTAAGATCTCAAGACAGGAATCGGATTTTCTCAATGCGTCGAATATCGAGATTGCTCCTTCATCTTCAAGATTCAGATAACTTAGGTAGAGTTCGGTGAGACCTCCATGCTTCTCAATGGTTGCGCTGAGGGCTATCCCAGCCTCCACACCAAATATATTGTCCCTCAGATCAAGCTTCTTCAGATGAGTACAGGTTCCCAGTGCCTCGGCCAATGCGATTCCGCCCTCCGAGCCAACCCTAGTGGACGAGCAACGAAAATCCTCAATATGAGGAGAACGCTTCAGGACCTCGGAAATGGCAACACCTCCTTCATCTCCTGTCATATTGTTATGAAAGTGAAGGATTCTGAGCTTTTCAGTGGAAGGAATGAGCTCACATAAGGCTTTTGCAGCCTCCTCAGAAATCCCATCATTCATCAAGTATAGCTCCTCTAAGTGGCTCTGAGATTTGAAAAGTGCTTCAAATGCCCTTACTCCCTTCTCACCCATTGCATTATTGGAGAGATTCAAGTATTTTAGACCACAATTTTCAAGAGCTGAAGAAAATATCCTCATGACTTCAAGAGCATCTTCTTCTGATCTTCCTGCAATGAAATCTGAGAGGTCTACTTCTAACAACTGCTTCGACAGGGATTTCAGGATCGGCTCCGCAACCCGAGCAGCATCGACGCCAAAGCTTCTGTTGCTGAAACAAATTTTTGTATATGCATTACCATCCTCTGTTAAAGGACTCAGTAGTTCATGTGCCTCATCAACTTCTAGAAAATCTCTTCGACCACCTGAAATATCAAAGACAGTCTTGTGAGGGACAAGAGCTTCCGCATTATTTGCAGTCACCTCTTCATCTTCCTTCTGCCGCGGACCCCTTTTGAGAACTTCTAGAATGAGTTTACTAGTTTCCTTGGCATAAAGCTGAACTGCAGAACTGCCATCTCCATCAGGCTCCTTTTCAAAATGGTCATTAGCAATAACAAAGCAAGTTTCCTCAATGTGTTGAGCATTCTCAAATGCTTCCTCTTTACTTAAAAGTCCATACTTTCGAGAAAAGATTGATTCGGTGGAAAGGTTCTTTGCCATCCTCTCAAGAAGCATCTGTCTAGTACTGGCACTGGGTGGCCACAGCTTGACTGAGAAGGTGCGTGGTTGAAAACCAGGCGGCTGAGACTCCATATCAAAAACTCCTGCTTGATTTCATATGAAATAAATGACATTGGTATTCACTAATCATCTAAAAATTATTTTAGAATAGAATCTATAGTGGCGGACAAGAGGGGTATGAGGGGAAAAAAACAGAGACAGCACTTGTGCAAATATGTAAACGCACTCCACGATGGAAGAGGGGAAAAAAAGGTTCTAGATATCTTGATCAAAATTTGGGTTATAACGAGTCAAAATCATTGAATTTGTTTTGAAATAAATGTAATAGAAATTTTTATTAATTCTTCATGTATTGCACTTCCGATGACCAGGTTAGAAAAGTAAAATATTAGATTTGAGTTATGTTAAGAAAGATAGAGGTAGAATAAAAAGAATTTGGTTAGAAAATATTAAAAATGATCTATCTTTATTAGATTTAAATGATAAATTGATTTTTAACATGACACAATGGAGAAAAATGATTCATATAGCTGATCCCATGTAGTGGGACAAAAGGTTGATGTTGTTGTCTTCATGTATTGCACTTGTCTCAAAATAAATTCAACGGCTTGAACACTGATCCTAACCCCATTTTCCAGATTGAAGATGCTACTACACTACACCAGCCAACTTGAATCAATGAAAAATAGAAAGTCAACTCCAAGCAATTATATCATCTATATGGATTGCAGAAAGCAAGTCTCATGTCTAAAAACTTGCTTCAAAATATACATTCAAATCACAGTTGTAAGTACTACAACCAGAAAATTGTTAAGGGTTTCGTTGCTTGGTAAGATATGGAAGGTTGAAACTAGCCGGTATTTGGTTCACAACAAGTTGGATATGTTCATATCAAGCCACACTTAATTTTCTAAGAGAAAATTTTAAGCATTTTAGATTAAAAAAAAAGTTAAAAAGTAATTTTAAGTTAACTGCATTACGGTATACCATTTTATCAACAACAAAAACTTTGGAAGTTCCTCCAAAAGTTTCCTAACCAAAATGTCACCACAAGTAAACCTTCTAGCGAACCATATTATGCACTGCAATACATTACTTGAAGCCCTACATTTGAGAACTTCAACATCAAGAATAATATCTTGAAAACATGATACTAGAAAGGAACTACTTTTTTCAAAATTAATCATCGTCACTTTTAAGATAGTGCACCCTGTTCCGCAATCAAAGGAGACTAATTTAAGTAGATAAAACAGATCCTAGAGATTTCAACCTATTTGTAGGCTTCTAATCATGACTGAGGACCCCAAATTACAAGCCTTCATGGTTATTTAACCTTTTTTATTATGGGGGAGAACTCTGGAATAATCAAGTAGCAAGGCTTTGATCATTATGTGGTGGACAGCTTTGAACCATTTTAATGATTGCTTGGATATTAAAAAAGTGGGACGCGGGACTATGAGTATCATGTTGACGCTTGTGAGAGATTAAAATAAGAGGGGTCGTATGAAGGAAGAGGCCTGAAAATTGCTACGACCATTATCTTTCAGATTACAGTCAATACTTTGGCTAACCCATTAGCCATAGGTTCAATCATCCAAGACAATCTCCAATACACTAAGGGTGGAAAATGAGACATAAGCCCACCTTCATGGGAAACATTGGCTTTATATATGGCACTTCCATGTCAAATGGATTGATAGAAAGTAGATGAAAGACTCAAGAGGAATGGATCATAATAGAAAGGGCATAGGCCATGCAACATTAACTTAACAGGCATGGAAAGCCTGCAATGGCACTTCCATATCAAACGAACTAAGCAATTTGGTTGGTAGACTCTCATAGGCATGGAGAATGGATGAAAGGGCGTAAGCCATGCAACATTAAATTAGAGGCATGGCAAATCCACAATGGCACATGTCCATTGCCTGCAATAGCTTTAGAGGTTTACAGGAACTGAATTGACAATATTAATACCACATTGGTTTTTTATTACTTTAGCACTTTTGAAACAAATGTCCTTGGCACATTTATAAGGGTTAAAGGATACATGGAAGCTAAAAAGACATAGTAACCATATGTTTTTTATTGCTTTTTCATATATATCCGAGGCCCGGGTTATCATGTTGTGTTGCATTTAAGAGGGAGGTTTATGCAATAGTGCCTTTCATGCTTACAAGAGCCAAATTAAGAGCCTCAAGGTTTCAACGCACATTTTATCACAAGTGAAACCAACTTGCTCTCTAAGCGGTCTCTTCGCCACTCATCTCCCTTTGCTCCCTTTGGGATATTTAGTTCACTTCATTGTTATTCAAACCCACTCTCACCGCCCAAAATCTCTTTAACCCTCTTTCGGTTCTTCAATAGCAATCTACAAGCTTCTTAGCGCAATCAAAGTATACCAGGTAAGCTTCTTCCCTTTAATAAAGCCATATATATTTTAATCCACGTAGATCACCACTCCACATCTATATGGCAATGACAACCCATCTTGTCAGTAGTGGTGATCCCGCCCACCCCTAAAATCTCAAGCTCACAAAAATGAGGTATAGAAATAAATCACTTGCTATAGATTCAAGAACCATACATCCTTAACCATTACCCTTAAATCACATTCATATTCAAAGTTACTTGATACTAAGAAACATTTCTGACACCACACGATCTTCCAACTCATTTTATTAGGTTAACAAAACATTTTCATTTGATAAATTATACATTCCATTAAGGTAGCTACAAATCATACACACAGACGGACTAGATCGTAGAGGAACCCACTAAATGAAGTAGTTGATACCTGACAATGCTGTAAGAGAAAACGAATGGCGGAGAGATGGATCGACTCGAGCGATCGAGAGACTACCACGACGAAACAGCGCAAGAAATCGAATCCGAAGGATGAGAAATGCTTTATGAGAAGATCGTAGGTATCATACGCTGGCCCTACTCAACAGCGAACAGGCGGCAGCGATCTCCCGTCGTGAAGCGGCGGAGATAAAATGGAGAAGTAGATCGTGAGTGGATGACGGGTTTCGAAACCCTAAAAATAAATTGGGCGTGATCAGACCGCGAAGCGGACCGGCTTCGGCCGACCGGGTTGCATTAACCACTCAACTGAACCCATTTGTTTGTTGGTTTTTCAGCCATTACAGATTTGTAGTGAGATTTGATTTGGCGCTTCAATGCACGTGCATTAAATGCATTTTATTTAATTTTTTATAAAAAAGTTATATAAATATATAAAATTAGGGAGTAATAGAATACTATTATATTTAAAAAATATATGTTTATTTATTTTTAAATTTTAAAATAATATAACATATATTTACGCGCTTCTATTGTTTTTTATCGGTAAAAAATAAAAGATGTGATAAGTTTTGAGAGAAAATAAATGTTAATGTCAAATGAGGTTTTTATGAAATTTTCTCAAGTAGTTTAACTTTTATTTATGTTTTCAATGTTATGAATTTTATAATCATACAAGTTAAATATTTTTTTTTAAGTTGCATAACTTATTGAGCCTCATAGCTCACTAGTATTTTCTTATTGGATGTTGTTACAGGAAAGTACAAGGTGAAAATCATAGCAGGTTAAATTGTCAAGAATTTCATATGTTATGTTATGTTAGTATTTATCTTTGTTTGAAGTTTGAGCTTGAGATATGTAAAATTTCTAGTGATATATTACTTTGATTAAATGTTTCCATTTGATGAGATGTGTTAGAACTGAACTGTTTGATGTTTTATGAAAATTATCAAATGTTCAAAAGTATCGTATGATCAACTAATGAAAAGTATGCGTTAGTAATACTCTTTGTACTGTTAAGAGGTACTATGGGGTGTTACACATCATCTCTTGCTTTAGGGAGATGCATATTTTCACCCCATATACACGTCACAACATAAAAGTTGATTTAAGATTCAAAAATAGGATTCCATGTTCTTAAACCTTATCATAGCAACTGACTATATTTACATAGCTAGTTCCCAAACATTGATTTAATGTGTACACAAACCTCGCACCATGCTTCCTTCAACACGCCATTCAAAATACTTTGAAAGAGGAATTGCTTCGTGTGTAAAACACCTAAAACAACATTATGTTGATCAGGCCATTTTGGAGTTATACTTGTGCACTTTAGCTAATCAATGTGAACATACACATTGCCTTTCAGAAATGTCAGCTAATGCCTACGAGCTAGAAATGTCAGATTGCATTGCCTTTCCTTTCAGAAATCTCTTCATTTCTATTGTAAAAGTAATGTAATGAAGTACCATTTAGACGCACAAAAAGGTTGAAAGGTTGTTTTCATAAATGTTAAAACAACAAAAGAATTATACCAGTGTTATTTTCAATTTTCCTAAAATGATAGCAATTTCAGTTACAGGGTAGGGGTTAATGTTTTATACCTCCTTATCACTCAAGTAGTCAAAGATGCCAAAAGCTTTTTTTGTGACAATATTTTATTTTTGATTTTCCAAAAATTTTCAAGGAATGATTCTCATTATTTGATTTTCTCCTTTCTTTTATAGTTTGCTTGTGGTCATCAAAGTGTTTTTTATTTTGATGTGCAATTGCAATGTTATTGATCATCACACCCTCCAAGTTAATCATATTCCTATTTTTAAAACAAAGTTATGATATAAATGTTTTGCATAAAAATGGCATAATTTTTTATTAATTGTAATTAATTCACAAACAAAACAGATGAATTATCAATCAATAACAAAAGTCGATAACTTACAAAAGAGTTAAGCAAGGATGGGATTCAACATCTAATAAATGGAAAATGGTTAGCATGTAATGAAAAGCACTCTGGAATATTACAGAAATTCATACAAACACAAACACATATCTATAAAGAGAGATAGATGGGAAGAGAGAGACATGCATAAAAAAAAAGTATCAAACACCAAACCATATAATAAATCAATGTCATTCAGCTCATCATTCAATTACAGTCTGTGTAAGAATGCTTGAAGCTTCAAAAGTTTTCGTGTCCACAAAATTAACATTGCAAACACATAATTATTGGCTTCACAAGTTAATTTGCTCAAAGGAATTTTTTGTCCACAGCCTATCAAACTCTATGACAAAGGAACTTTAGATTACAACATGGCTACTGGTCAATCTCCTAATTAAATAAAGAAATATAAAATATGTAATCAGAAACAAATCTCAAAGAAAAACTTATAAAAAAGTTGGATATTCCAACCAGACAATATTACCTTGTCAGCTATCAGAGGATCATATAACCTATTGGCCTGCTCACGACGACATTCATAATCTTTTATGAGCCTTGCAGCTTCGGATGAGCATAATAGTAGTGAATTTTCGAGCTCCCAGGTAGCTTGGTCATAGCCAAGCCCTTTCCATTTCACAAACCACTCAATACAACAATCCCAAGATCCCGAAATAGACATAGAAGCACACTCATCAGCTGCTTCAAGGGGCGCTAGTAATCTTTTCTGTAACAAACGTTCAGGCTCAGTCCATTCTTTTCTCCACTTAATTACCTGGTCAATGTAAACCCAAACTAATTAATATGTTAGATATGATAAATTCAAGTCTCATTTAGAAGCCCATCCAACAGATCATTATGGTTTAACAATGCAAGATAATAAATAAAAATGCAAGGAGGGATGGAGGGGTGAAAAGAGAGAGAGTGAGAGAGAGAGAGAGAGAGAGAAAGATAACAGACCTCTTTCTGGTTTTTATTCCTAAAATTGGCTAAAAGTGAAGGGGCGATGTGCAACAGCTCGCTTTCAGGAATCCAACGATTATGAACATGGGCAAGGCCTTTGTATTTGACAAAATATCGCTTTCCACACTGCATTCCTAACACCATAAGGTCCATGACAATCTCAGAATTCAATGTTCCTGCAAAGTATGCTCTACAAACCTTAAAAAACTGATTAGTTCAAAGAATCCTCACCTTCTTCATGAAACCAAACCGATTCTATCCCATCCGCCACACTGTACACGCCTAAATCCATCTTCTTTTTCACACAAAAATTACAGAGCCAGGCACCAGGTGGAACATCATGCAAAAGTGGATTGAAACAAGAAAGATGATAACTTCGTTTGCAGCCTTTTCCACAACAGCATCTAAGGTTAAAGTTAAATGCAAATTCAACAAATTCTAGGGTAAGGAGTCATAAATAAAGAAGAAAGTCAAAGATAGCAAACACATATGTTAACTAAAGCATGCATTTAGTATCCAACTTCAAATCTTACATCAGCTTTTTTTTCCTTTTCAAAAACAATAAATTTTTCATTACTAGCCAGAGAAAAAATTTACACAAGGAAATAGTTGCAAACTGCCTACAAAAAAGAAAAGAAACAAAACACATCTGTTCAAGACTGTCAGCAGTGGGAGTAATTTTGGTCTAAACAAAAATGGTAGAGCCACATTCAAGCACCTACGATGTCAAGAATGCCAAATCTAGAAAACCTCAGAATCATTATTTGCTTAGAGCGTCTCCAGCTGATCGGCAAACGCCCGAATGCAGATGCTCCGACCTCCCAATCGAACGCGATTTTTTACGCCATTCATATGCTGATGAACAGTGCGACGCCAATATTGGCGTCGCACTGTTCATCCGCCATTTTTTTTAATATATAATTGATTTTTAATTTTAAATGTTTAAGTATAAATTTATATTATAAATAATTAAAAAATAATAATTTAAAAATAAATTATTTTTTAAAAATTAAAATATTTTTTTTCGTTTTCATTTATGTGTTCTAATGTAATTTTAATTGTATTAAATATATATTTGCTTATTTAGAACATATTAATATTCCAATTTTTTTATATCGAGAAAAGAAACATAATTTTTAAAATTATAATAGGGTTAAAATTGTTAAATATAAATATATGATTAAAAAAATTTAAAATAAAATAAGAAAAAGAATATGCTAGTAATATTCTTTTTTTTATATTAGAAAATGAAGTTCGATTGGAGTCAAGTTACTGCATTTTGGAGTTTTACTGTATTTTGGAGTGGAAAATGAGTTTTTCGGTTGGAGATGCCCTTAGTTAATAAAACTTTCATATCAACAATTTGCTTGTTAAAGTTAGGCTTCTCCAATTCATACTCATCTTTCATGGTACTGATGGACAACTTCAATTAGCTGACTTTAGCAAAAAATTTATCAACTCTTTTCAAGAGTTTCGCTTCAAATAATTCTCTTGAAGTGTTGGAAGTAGCACAATGAATATCCTGGGATTATAACTGTCAAAATTGGGTCACGGGTCGGGTTTGGTCTAACCCGAAACTGATCTGTCACTGTTTGACCCCATCCGAACCTGACCTATTTTTTTTTGCAAACGGGTTGGGTTTAGGTAACTTTCACCCTTGCGTGTGCTCTTTGTAGTTGTTCGACTTCGCACCTTGGACGACGTTTCCTTTCAATCAGATCGGAAGCTACAACATTTTGATCGAGAGCAACGACAGGAGTTCGCTCGCTGTCTGCGAAGGTAACTTTCTCTTTCGTGCGCATCTTCGGCCAAATCCCCTAAATATGCCGAACCAAACTACATGATTCGAGTCAAAAATCGGGCCATTCTCGAATTTTTGGGTCAACTCGAACCCGACTCAAAATTCGAAACAAGTCGAAAATCATGACTCAAACCTGAAATTTTCGTGTTTGATTTTCTGATTGTGTCCAATATTGACACCCCTACCTATGATCAAGCCCTCAAACTGAAAAACTAGTGTATGACCTTTTTCAGTAGTCAACTCAACGATTTTTGTCAATGCCTAGGCACTAGGTTAAAGAAGTTTGAAAGTATGTTGCGATCACTCTCTTCAGCCAACTCAACCAACGACGGAAGCATTTCATTTATTATAAAATTTGTGCAGAAGATCAATGTAAAATTTCATCCACCAAGGAGTTGAAAGAAGTCGTATTATCAACAATTTTTATGGCCAACTATAGTATTTATCGCTTGGCAGATGCTTCAATGACTTTTTACCCGCTTCCATTGGTAAAAAAAATCAATAGCTGATGCTCACCAAGGAGCTCACCTATTGATAAAAGAACTAAGGTCAAAAGTATTTTTTTTTTTAATGAATCTATTATTAGAATAAATATTTATGAATAATTAATAAATATATTTTTGATATTCCTTTTTTCTTTTTATGGTAAATCTCAAAAGATATTACTATATTAGAGAATCAGGAAACTAAATATGCATTCAAATATCTAGAAAATAAGGTTCAGTCAAAGCAAGCTAATTACTAAAACTACTCGATCTCAACTCAAAAGAGACTTGCATAGCCTACAAATGATGTCATCTCAAGTAGGCCACAACTATCGAAGAACTCGTCCCACACAATCAAGTGCGGCTTATCAATTGACTCTAACGAGTACAACCCATGAAGTCGGCTCTTAAGACTACTTACGTGGGCAATTTCATGAAAAAGCTATTGAACGAATATTCAGCTACATGTCCATCAGCACACACTAAACCAACAACTTCGCTTGGCGGACTAGGTTATAAAGGTAAACTTATCTTATTTCTTATGTAATTATCTAATGCTTAATCTTAAACTCGAATATATAAATAGAGAGGTTACGAGGTAACTGCAATATACATAAAAATAATTTTTTCAGTGTTAAATTTTGGACTCTATATATTTTTTTCACTCATATAATTCTCTATATGGATAAATATCATTCATGAATAATTTTGAACTAAATAGTAAATATCTATATCAAATTACAACTAATTGCGGGGCTGAACATAAATTAGTAGTTTTTACTTTATTTGGTTGATAGACCTCAATAAGCCCACTAAAATCCGCATGGGCAAGCAGCGCAACTCCTTAAATAGAGAGAAAATAAGTACGTGGTCTGACACCTGTGAGACTAGTTGTCGTTAGGCCTGATGAGGGATTGGTTACTCTGTCAAACGTCTCCTCTATTGAGTGGCAACGGGTAGATGCCCTGTCACAAAAAAAATCCTCGTGGGGCCCAAAGAACCGTTAAAACATTGTTTAAGCACCCATAATTATGAATATTTAGGCGGATGGTTTAACTAATAATCAGTAAATATATTCCAAAAAGCAATTAATTTCGAACCTTGAAACTGAACGGCCTACCACGCTTGTAGAAAATAGACGGCTGTGATCGCCCGTCCGTGGGAGGACCTATAATAGGAGCCGTGGGCACCCCATGCCTACAGTGGACGACGTAGCTGTTGAAGCGCGGAACTTCGGATTTTTTTCAGTTTAGGAGGAAATTGCGAGGAAACTTCCCATTCTCTCTCCACCTCTCATTCCGTGTGGACTGAGAAACTTCCGCCGGATCTTCGGCAGCGAGGCCAGCAGAGTGGAGATCGCGCGAGTTGGATGCGTCGCAGCTAAGACGTGGAGGAGGAGAAAGAAGCGCAGGTGGCAACAGCTGTGATAGATCCGTTGAGCTCGAGAAAGGAATCGAGGTCGAGATGTACTGCTGGTAGTTGGTTCAAACAGGGCGAGAGTTGTACGGGGATGTTAAGGAGGTGAGAACCGAGGGTATGAGGTTTCGATCTCGGGGATTTTGATGCTGGGAGAAGCCTGGGAGATTCTTCGCGTTCGAGTTCTATGTCACTTTCTCTCTGGTTTCATTGTTTGAGGTTACATTCCAATCTGCTAAGCTAAGGTATGTATAAACATGCAGCGGTATGGCTTACCTGTTTTCTCGATATTGATTTTGCTCGCTCTCTGCGGGTAGTTTTGTTTCTTTTTATTTATGAGGATGATTTTCTTGAAGATTCGGGAAGCCCGGTGTCATCTCTCCTGTGGATTGATCGTCATGGAACAGCTGTCGCCGAGTAGATACCAGAGGCACTGCGACGAGGAGATTGGGAACGGGGGCGGGAGTGGTGAGGTCGAGGGTGATGTCTGTGTTTCTTACGACGCCTTTGACATTCCGCCGAAGAATGTACCTATCGAGCGGCTACGGAGATGGAGGGTAGGCCGTTTCCTCAATGCTGTTGCTATATATCTCATTATTCTTGGTTGACTTTGATAGGGGGGGTATTAATTGTTGTGAAATGCTTTAACGGCTCATTTTCCTGCTTTTGCCATTTCTTATGCATCATTTTGGAATCGGGAGGGTTATGGTGGATTTCATTGAAGATCTTGGGTTTTGAGTTCTAAAATCTACTTGGATTTCTAAAATCTAGGAGTATGACTGTGCACATTCCCCTTCCCCGAATCATGCATTGATGTGAGTTGCATACATCAAGCACACCTTGTTTTTAGTGACCCATGTCACCATGTGTATTAGTCAAAATGTTCTCTCAAACATGAGAAAGTAAATGAAAATGTGTATTGTCTAATTGTAATAATTATTTATGTCTTAATAGTTAATGTTGATTTGAACTCCGGGTTTGGATTGTCTAACATGGATGCTACTTGACAGCAAGCTGCTCTTGTGCTTAATGCATCTCGTCGGTTTAGATATACATTGGATTTGAAGAAGGAAGAAGAGAAAGAGCAGCTAAGGAGGAAGATCCGAGCACACGCCCAAGTCATACGGGTATATTTTTCAATCAATAATTGTACTTGAATTGCTTTCTCTGTTTTCCATGCTCATTATTATTACCTTTTGCTTGAATTGCTCAGGCTGCTTTTCTTTTTAAAGAGGCTGGGGAACGAGAGGCACCAGGTGGTTCAGTCTTTATCATATATCTTCATCTTCTTTATGTTTCTTGTTCTTCAGAGTTTTAAAACTATTCTGTTTTAGTTGGTCAAGTAGAATATGTCATCTTCTTTTCCTTGTTTAAACCCATAATTTAAAGATTTTGAACCATATTCATTGATAGGATAAAATTATTTATTCATTTTCTTGCTTCAACACGTTATATTAAATATGGATTTCTTCTTATAGTTCTCTGAATTCATTTGCACTGATATGTTCATGTGGCTTCTTCTGTTTCCCTTCCCCTATCCCCACTCCAAATATAGATTGTTAAGCTTCTTTATAATTTACTTTAGTTTTTAGACAAATTTGGAAAGATTTAATGTTCAAATTTCTTGTTGTTGCTAGTTTATTTGATTGATTTGCTAGTTTTCTGATTGACTTGCTTTTATATATTTGATCCGCGGGTATTTTTAGGCACACCTGATGTAGCACCAGCACTGCCTACCGGCAGTTATGGGATTGGGTCAGAGCAGCTCACTACAATGACCAGAGATCATGATATGTCATCTTTGCAAGAATGTGGCGGGGCAAGTATTCCTTGAGACATACATATTTTCTTATGGTTCTCTTACTCTGTAGATATTAATTTTTTCGGATTTTTTTTAAAGGTAAAAGGCTTATCAAATCTATTGAAGACTAATTTGGATAAAGGAATTGTTGGAAGCAATACGGAATTATTACAGAGGAGAAATGCATTTGGGGCAAATACATATCCTCAAAAGAAAGGAAGGAACTTTTTGGTATGTTTACTTCATATATTTGGATCATGTTTTCTCTTTAATTCCTGTTTAAATTAACACTGCTTTTGTGTAATTATTTATGTAATTTTTTTAAGCATGATTTTCCCATGTACAGGTATTTCTCTGGGAAGCTTGCCAAGATCTAACTCTTGTAATCCTTATAGTAGCTGCAGTTATATCCTTAGTTTTGGGCATAAAAACTGAGGTGCGTTGTTTTTCCTTGAAAATTATTTTCCAGATTATCTTCCCAATTGCTCTAAACTTTTTTCTTGTCGGTCTTAACTGTTTCCTTTGGTCTTTGGTATAGCTTTTGTAGCATAAGTTGCATTTTAAACAGACTCCTTTGCTTTTGACCATCTAACTGTTCCAGTCTTGACAGCTAACTTTTGAACATACTTTGACATATGCTTGTATATTGATAGCTCCCAAGGAACTTAATTGATAATAATTAACCGAGTTGATTGACAATAAATCTAGAGGTGTTAGTTTATTGCTGTGTTTTGCTTTCGTTTTGTTTTCTGTTTGTTTTGTTTCCTTTTTTTTACTTGAAACAGAAACATGTTTGGATGCCTATTTATTTCCTGTTTTCAGAATCATTAAACCTAAACCATGTATAAAACAAAAAATATGCATGTACTAAAGTAATTCAATGATATTTGATAAGCCATGCAATGAAATATTTTAGGATTGTTTTTGATTGGCAACATCTATTAAACACAAATGTGTCACAGCAAAAGAAATTTTTAATGATATCAAACATCGCAAAAGTAAAAAAAAAAATGAGTCTGTTTTATGTTGCCAAACCAGGCGACTCTTTCTAATCTTATCTTCTATTGGAGCTACTCCAACCTTTTCACATGTATGCTCATTTCATATCCTGTCTCCAGGAGTAAATCCACTCATGCAGCTGAGCATCCTCACCTTTGCAACACTTAACTTGATATTTTGCTTCTCTTTTAAGTTTTAATGGTCAACATTCTGCACCATAAAGCATTGTTGGTTTAGCCACCATCTTATAGAATTTTCCCTTAAGTTTGAGGGACTTTTCTATCACACAACAAGCCCGATGCATTCCTCCACTTAAACCATCCAATTTGAATTCTACTACTAATATCTCTATCTATTTCACCATCACTCTGAACAATAGACTCAAGATATCGAAAATGTAGACTCATCTACCTATCTAAAATCTAGTTTACTCAGCTGTCCATCTAATTAAATGTAGTTGATGAGTGGTGACTTTTTTTTTTTTTAAGGATGCTTCCAAATAAATAACATTTCATGTTTAACAAGTAGAGTGCTTGATGGTACTTTCTATAATGTTAACTTTTATTTCACTTAAAGTTTATGTGCAATAAAATCTTGCTCTTTCTGGCGGTTTGGCCTAATAGTAACTTTACAAACTAGTTTATTAATTTTATATTTTCTTATGATCTCTATCCGATGTGACTCAGGGTGTCAAAGAAGGATGGTATGATGGTGGAAGCATTGCATTTGCTGTTATCCTTGTTATTCTTGTTACAGGTATGCTACTTTGATTGAGATTTTTTTCATGTTTCCCTCTTCTATTCACACCCTATCTATATATGTTCACTTATCTATTCTTATTGATATGATGATTGTATGAAAATTTTTACTTTTTGGTTGATATGAAAACTCCAAAACCTAATAAGCATGCAAACTGTGATACCTGAAAAATAACATGATACAATTGATATCAAACTAACGCAAGAAAAATAACAAGATACAGTTGATCCTCAATTCGAGAGGTGGATCTATCTCTCTCAATCCCTAGATGCCATTAGAGCCCAAGTCACCGAACTCCAAGAACAAAATCAGCCACAATAATTTGCATACCCTAACCCAAGTTTCCTCTCCCTATTTAAAGCATAACTTCAAATACCTAAGCCCAATTTTCCCTCCAAACCTAGCCGCCCCACTCCTTATGAGATTCTCTTGTCGGGTCCACACAAGCATTGGCGGCAATCCTAGGGGGCAGACTGGCTCAGTCTGCCTCCTGTAGAATTGGGCCGGTTGGACCGGTCTAACAGTTTGTTGTAAACTTGTGAAGTATTTACATGCAAAATAGATTTTTCACATTTGATTCAAATTAAATTTATGAAGTTACTTCATAGTTTATTTTCTTTACAATCTGATCTTGCTAGGGGTTTGCTTCATATTGGCATCCTTTTTGCAGTGAACGTAATGAATTTCCTATTTAACCAGTCAATGAGTTTTATTTTGTTTTTTCTTGAAGCTACCAGTGATTATAAGCAATCTCTTCAGTTCCAAAATCTTAATGAGGAGAAGCGGAACATACATTTGGAGGTTTGTTGTTATCAATGAAAAGTAATATATAATTTTAGTTAAAATATTTCACAATGGATAATTTTTAGAGGTATTGCATGTGATCTTCATGATGCTCAGGTTATTCGAGGTGGAAGAAGGGTTGAAATTTCAATATTTGATATTGTCGTTGGTGATTTAGTTCCCCTCAAAATTGGTGACCAGGTAGGCTTGCTTGGTGAAGCTAACTCTTCTTTTCTTGAACTTGGTTTATTGTTATAACACAAGTTCAAATTTGCTTTATAGGTTCCTGCTGATGGAGTTTTAATTTCTGGGCATTCTCTTGCTGTTGATGAATCAAGTCTAACAGGAGAAAGCAAAATTGTGAGTTTTTTTATTCTTACCTTGTCACTTTTCTTAAGTATGTTTCTCATCAATGGAGCCAAGAACATTCTTGTATTTATTTGTTGCAGGTGCACAAGGATCTGAAAATACCTTTCTTAATGTCTGGATGCAAAGTTGCTGATGGTTATGGGACTATGCTGGTGAGTTTTTTCTACAGCATCTTTCATAGTAGCGGTGTAGGGACAACTGTGCATCCTCATTCTGATGTCTCTTGCTAATTGCGCCAAGTTGAATAGATGCCTTGGTAAACAATTGGCCAGTTGTTCAATCTAGCTTTGGAGACCTGAGAGTTGAAAGTTTGATGGTTGGGAGGGAACAAAAATCCAGAAAAAAGAGAAGAAACAATGCACTAATAAGTCAGTTTATTTCCAAATTAATTGGGAACTTTTTTCATTAATTTAAGGAGCCTTATTCGTAGATTCCAAGTTATACATGCTTGTAACCATGGAAAACTATTTTCTTTGCAACATTTGATCCGTAGAAACTATTTTAAATGAGAAGAAAGTAGTTGTAGAAGAGTTCATGTCAGCACTGTCTGAGTTCTATTTTACAGGATATTTTTTTTGAAATGAAATGTTTCTTTGGTTTTGATTTTCATTGTAAAGGTTTGATGAGCAATGCTGATTTAGTTTTGTTGCACATGGCTTCTTCTGTTGCCATCCCTTTTTATCATTCTCCGATTTTTACTTGTAGAATTTCATCAGATTTTTTCGTTGAACTTATATTAAGTATGCTATGGAATGGATGATGTATCTATCCTTCGTTATTAATTTCTTGCCTCTATAACTCTTCTGACAGGTCACTGCTGTGGGGATCAATACTGAATGGGGATTATTGATGGCCAGTATATCAGAAGACAGCGGTGAAGAAACTCCTTTGCAGGTTTTATTTTTTTGACTTTAAAAATATAGTTTGTTTTGACTTTTTGTATTATTATCTATGCGATTCATTTCTGATTTCCTCTCAAAAAGGTTCGCTTGAATGGCGTTGCTACTTTAATTGGCATAGTAGGGCTTTCTGTTGCTGCTTTTGTCTTGGCAGTCCTTATAGCTAGGTAAGCGGAACTCACAAATGCAGGCATCTATGAGTGCACACAAGTTTTCAGAGTATTGCAATTTCATACTGAAGGCTTAAACATAATTTCAGGTACTTCACTGGTCATTCAAAGAACCCTGATGGAAGTGTTCAATTCAGCAAGGGGCAGACGAGTGTGAAAGATGCAATAAATGGAACCGTAAAGATTTTGACTATTGCAGTATGTATCCATATGATGAACACTACACTACGTGCATCTTCCTTGCAATTCTAGTTACTAAGCTGCTGTGTGAATGATAATCAGGTGACTATTGTGGTGGTTGCTGTACCTGAAGGTCTTCCACTTGCTGTTACATTGACGTAAGTGTTAATTTCATATTTTTTTTGATGGGCAACAAAATAAAAAATTTTCTTGATTAATTTAATATTTTTCACTTTCAGTCTAGCATATTCAATGCGAAAGATGATGGCAGACAAGGCATTGGTATGCTTATTTTTTTAAAAATGAAAATTAGATTTTCCTCATTTGAGCTCTTATTGATCTTAAGCGGTTATGTTATAGGTGCGGAGGCTTTCAGCTTGTGAAACTATGGGATCGGCTACAACAATCTGCAGCGACAAAACTGGAACTCTAACACTGAATGAGGTAATCTTTGTTCATGTTTCCTTTTTTTTGTCATTAGATTTTAGCTTTCCTTTGGGATTTAGAAAATTTGCTAGTTTGGATTCCATAGTTTCTTGGATGCATACTATTGTGATGTGATACTACGATGATAATGGAATTCTAATTGGTTTTATGGTGATGATTAAGATGACTGTCGTGGAAGCACATGTTGGTGGAATGAAGCTTGCTGCTCCAGATGATGTAAAACAGCTATCTTCTTCTATATGTTCTCTATTGATTGAAGGCATCTCTCAGAATACAACTGGTAGTGTGTATGAGCCAGAGGTAACTTCTTTTAAACTTTTCACTTTTATTAAAATAAGTTGATCTGTATGAGCCAGATGTCAACACATTTTTTATTGTAATCCTTCATATTTGAAGTAAACTTAATGTCTGTCTATTCCTAATTAATAACTAGACAATAAATAATTGAAATTAGTCCTTTATTTTCAACTCATTGTGTTGCTTTACTTCACTGTGACAAACTGAACTTCATGAGAGATTTGTTTTGACTTCTAAAATCACTCTTGCAACTAATATATATTATTTCTATATATTATATATGTTGTAATGTGATATACGTTTCTTTGTTGTTTATGAAGGAGATCATTACTATGAGTTTTTTTTGTCCATAGAATGGCGCTCCTTCTGAAGTTACTGGCTCTCCTACAGAAAAGGCAATACTTTCTTGGGGTATTAAGGTACTGCACATGCTGCTATGATCTTTATCTTACCTTCTATTTTATGCACGTCTGCTGATCACCATTATCATCATTTTCCATTTCTGTAGCTTGGTATGAAATTTGATGATGCTAGATCAAAAACATCAATTCTTCATGTTTTCCCCTTCAACTCAGAGAAGAAGCGAGGAGGTGTTGCAGTTCATGAGGTAATTATTTCTCTTAACCAGTTTAAACATGCCATAATTTGTATTTAAATCCATTGTTCATAAGACTTTATGCTCTATTTGCCTTCTAGTTTGCACAGTTTATATAATTTTTGCTTTTGGTGTATTCTTACCTTATCCTTGCATTCATGAATTATCAGAACTAGCATATACATATGAATTGGAAATGCATTTCAGATTTAAGCATTTTTGAGACTGCTTCTCATTATTGTGATCCGATATTGTAAGCACCTTTTTGTTAACATTTATACATCTGCTTTCAGCTTTTGTCTGTGAAACAAGCATGTGGTTTTACACAGATGTTCATAATGATGTTCCATCACGGTTTATCATGCCATAAAAAATATATATCTGGTCGTTGAAAATTGCACATGCATCCTAGCTAATATAAACCATTCTCTTCACAAGTGGGTATGTAGATGGTTAATTGATTTACTTTTGATATGGCATGGAGCCCATGAAGAGCTATCTTCTCCCTTTTCTCTTCAATCGTTTCCTGTCCTTCTTGTCTGTATACAAATTTCCTTATGGAATAATTCTTTCATCATAGTCATTATTCTCATTTTAATTATCTAGGGTTTATTTTAGGAATCCTAATCCTCCACCTATTAATGTTGAGTGCTGCATGAAGTGTTAAACCTATTATGCTCTTCCTTCTCTTTATTTTGCACAACTTATATTCATATTAATTTTGGTTTATCCTTCTAACTTCATTATCATTTAACACTAATTTTCATATGATGCATTTGCTGCCCTTTGCTATTCATTTCCGAATCACCTTTAGTCTTTTTCAACTATTTCATCTTCAATATATACTTTTTCTATCTTTCCTTATCCTTAGTTTCTACTTCCCCTAGTATTTTCATACATTCATCTTAACATTCTTATATTTGCTACGCTCATCTTGATTTTCAGTAGCTTTTCCAATGCCCACACTTGAATTTGATGGCAAGCAGGGCAATGGAAGTGGGAGTTGTCGTTGACATTTGATATTTAATATTTTATTGTTTGGAATATAAGATTCTTGTTTAGGGAAATAACTCGAGAGATAAATACAAGTAGACTAAGAAGAATATATGAATAAACACCTCAAAGGAAGGGAAGCATGAGTTAAAAACAATAAAATATTAGAGAACCTTTGAAAGGAGAATCATCTCCAGAGGGGGGAAGCCAAAGAAAAAAACATTTCTTTATTTCATTTCACTTACTACATTACAATATATTAGGCTCTATTTTATAGAAACAGGTCTTGCTGAAAATGGCAACTATCCTTAAATAATGAGTAATTTGAATAGCTCGGGTTGGGAAGTTCCGAAGTTGGCCATGGACGAGCTTGAGAGAATTGTCTAATCAAGATATTTGCAGGGATAGCTTTGCTTTTAAGCTTTCCTATGGAGTTTGGGGAGAATAGTTATAGAGCTTGATTAGAATAACACCTGTTGAATATTGTGTTATTAATTTAATTTTGCTATGGTGGCCTTTGCTTGGTCTCTAGGCTGGTCAATTTGGTTAATTTAACCCAGTAGGGTCTTAGAGAGGTCTAGGTCAGGGCAATTAGTCTTAGATTAGAGTTTCTAAATAGCAAATGACATTTAGGCCACTAATAATCAGCTTGAATACAAATAAGAATGATCACAAATGATGTTAAAAACAAACTTAAGGATATGAAGTGAGGTGGAGTTGCGCTACATCAGTTGTCTTTGACTGCAAAGAATTTTATTAAAGAGAGTTGAAATGTTGGATAAAGAATTAGATATCTTCAATCATACTGAAGAGCTTGCAAAACCCAACCCAAAGAAGTGAGGCCAATGAGAAATTTATGCAAAGAAGAGGTGACAAATGGAAAATCCATCCCAATGAAAAGATGATGGGGGGAGAACTTCACCTTCATCAATTTATCAAGAAAAGATTCTTTTCATCAATCCTTAATAGTACCACAAAAACTCTAGAAAGATAACTTTGGAAGCTTTAAGTTTTTATGCATACTTATAGGCTAAACACAAAGTGGTGAATACTGTGAATGAGCTGATATAAAGATATTGTTAGGCCGGCTCCTGGGCGGGATGAACCGGTCCCTAGTGGACCAGTTTGACATATAGCAGGCGGTCCAAAGTGGGCGGAACCAGTGAAGAAAGAGAGGGAGGGGGGCGGAGGCTCCTAGGGGCCCACTTGCTAATTAAAATTGCTTTGGAGGGAATTTTTGAATTAGGAGATTGTTTAGGAAATTTGTAATTGTCCTTTGTCTTTAATTAGTTGCTTTTGGGAAAGGATTAGGGTTTATGCATGATTTGAATTTTCTTTGAAGTTCCTTGGCGTCTTGGGTTGTAAATTTCCTTGTCTAGAGATTTGGGAGAGACGATCCTCCTCTCGAACTGAGGATCCCTTGTATCTTGTTCTGGTGTTTGTTTGCTTTGATTCTCATATTTAGATCCACTGTTTTGGGGCTGTTTTTTCCCCCAGATTTTGTTTATTTCTCGCTGTTTTTACCAATTAGTGATAGGTTTGCTTGCAAACTCAAGTATTTCCCTTAGGGTTACTTGCGAACTCAAGTATTTCCTATCAGATGCGTCGTTATGCAAATGCATGTGTCAAGACACATTCGATAGTATTTGACTTGCAACATGTTTGGAAGATGTGTGAGACGTGACACATATGGAAATTGTTCAACACAATATGTGGGCATGGATGTCACATGCACAAATAAACAAATTCCTGATTTGTTACATGAAGATAAAAGCGATTAGTGGGCATGTTATGAATAATGAATATTTGATCTCGGTGGAATTTTACTTATTAATCTTTCTGGTTGTCTATGGGTAAAAAATACGAGGTAGAACCGATTGCACTTAAGAAAGTACTGGTTGGGAATAACTACAAAATAGTGATGGAAGAAGAAGCCAAGGGCAAAATCCTAAAGAGAGACAAAGAAGTGGAGGTGTGGATGATCGAAATCCATTGAGGGATGACAATGAGCCACAATAAATATTAGGTAGGGTTTATATGTAAGAAGTTGTGGGATCTACTATAAATATAAAGGATGAGATGTTTAAGAAGATTCTAATCCAAGACTAAGGCTTTGTTTGGGACGGCTTTCTTACTGCTTCTTAAAGCAACTTCCTAGTACAATAATTTTAATTTTTGTATTGGGAAGCTGCTTTAAGAAGTAGTAAGAAAGCTGTCCCAAACAAAGCATAAGAAAGTAAACATGGGTGGTTGAAAAGCTATTAAAGGAGAGTGATGGGGATGAATCATAAGGATAGCTAAAGGTGTATGTGAAGGATTCTTGGAAGAGGAGTTGGTGTCTGTGATAGGCAAAAGAGAATGAGAAGTGCTTTGGTTGCTGATGGTTCGATGAAAAAGCTACTATTATTTTCCATAGATTAGAAAGGCTAAAGGGATGGAATGGCTCGATGCTATGAATATTTATTCATCATAAAATGTTTTTATTTTTTTATTTTTTTTTTGAATTCAAGAACTTCTACTTCTATACCAAATTGACAACATGCATTACATAAAAAACAAATTTGCTGGTGGAGTATTTATATTTAATTTGTTAGGAATTCAAGAATATATATGAGGAGAGATCCAGAGATGTAAAGTGGAGAAGAGGATTGAGAAAATTAAATGAATGAAAACCTCAAATGAAGGGAAACAAAAGATAAAGAGAAAGAAAGTATGAGAAAACTTTAGAACAGAGAATCAATTGATAAAGCGGAAGGCAAAAGAAAACCTTTGTGTGTTTCATTTACCACTCATTGAATTGCAACATTTTGGGGGCTATATTTTGATATACTTATTAAAAATAACAAACTTCTTATAAATAAATATAGAAATGTTAAATTATTCCTTAATATCAAAATGACATTTAAACTATTAATAATTAATTTAAATATAAATGAGAATGACTTTAAGATATATTAAATGATACTTACATGATAGACTCATGACCAAAGGTAAGACATGCCTGCATTAGGATCCATGAAATATAATATGACCTAATGACAGTTTTATAATTTTTAACTTTATGTTTTCGTGATATCTTTTATAATAAAGTAGCCTTGAGGCATTTCATTTTAATCCCCGAGTTGCAACTTTTTGAGTTATATTCTCATCCGTAGCATCAATCTCTATAAAATAGATTCAAGGCATTTAAACTTATCACATCCATAATTATTCTTCTAGAATTAGTTCTTTTATTGATATCATAATTTGTCTTATAACGAATACTTTATTGTATGTTTACAAGTTTCTTTGGTGCTCTTACTTCTGCATTTCTCTCTATTATTACAGGCAGGCTCTGAAGTCGTCCATGTACATTGGAAGGGAGCAGCTGAGATTGTCCTAGCTTCATGCACAAGCTGGATAGATTCTCATGGTCACCTGCAGGAAATGAACTCAAATCAGGTGATAATTTAATGTTCTCGGTGCTTTTTCCCCCTTATATCCCCTCTTTTATTGCGGCTGATTAGATTTTTAATGCCACCTTTGTTCGTTTTGATGTTTTATATATCATGTTTTCAGATCGACTCATTTAAAAAAGTTATTGAAGATATGGCAGCACTAAGCCTTCGCTGCGTTGCATTAGCATACAGATTACATGAACTGGAAAATGTACCAAGGGAACAAGAAAGGGACAGTTGGGCATTGCCTGAGAATGATTTGATTCTGCTTGGTATCGTAGGGATAAAGGTCTGTTGTCTATTATATGTGTTTTTATGGTTGGATATTTACAAGTTTCCTTTAATGCACGGTTGCACAATTAATTAACACACTTGATTTTTTTTCTCAATGATTCAATGAAAGATATTGGTTTGGCTAATGCTAAAAATTAAAATTAAGGGAACTTGATATCATGCGAAATCCCAATTACAACCCCATATTGTTTTATTCTTTTGTCTATGTCATTTGCAGTATCATTAGTTGGTTAACAGGATTTTTTCTTCTAGCTACTTTTTATAGTATGATACATCTTTGTAGTCTCATATTTAAAGGATATTGACTGATGAAAATAGTGTGCCTGGGAGTGCTTATCATTGTAAGTATCCTGGATATCTAGAAGTAAGTTTTTTATAGAATTATGATCAGTCTAGCTATTTTTCATGTATCCTAATTTTGGAGAACAAATAAGTCACTGAATCAAATTGAACTTGACAATATACTAGGATGATGTTAGATAAAATTAGAACAATAGAGCGAGAAATGATTATTGAACATGATGTAAATGATTAACGACTTTAGTGCTTTGGTATGAACTATAAAGAGTAGAAGATGTACCCATAATATAACTAAATAGAATAATCTAAAAGAACTGGAAGAGAGAGGAAGGGGGGATCCGGTCAAAATAGCTCTTAACGTGTTTCTTATCAAGTGGGGTAAATCACACAGCCCATGTCCTAAATTTTACATAATCACATGTTTATTTAGCGTAGGCTGTGTTAAAATTGTCCTTTTTTTCACCATGTCTTGCATATTGAATTATTTGTCTAACAATTTATTTGTTAGATGTCGCATATAATTTTTAGAATGAATATCTTGTGGATTATTTATTAACTGCAGAAACATGGCACTTTATTCCTAAACAAAAAAAATTGTCAGGAGCTCCAGACTGAAATATTTTCCAAAAATTGAGCAATTGAGTTAACTTGTGATGTAACATTCTCTAGAGATGAATGAAGATTGAAAAAGGGTTCATAGAGTTGATCCCAAGAGTTGTAATAAATGATGTTTTGCAATTTTTTTTAATTTTGTTGTATTTTTATAATTAACCTGATTTATTTGTTAAGCACGAGTGGAGAACTGTGCTACTGTTTTGAACTTAAGAATGTTTTGTTTTATTGCCAGAAGATTCATCACACTGCACCTTTTTTTATAGATACTTTTTTTTTTCCTATTTACCTTATTTTACTAATAATGATCATTAAATTTATAGGATCCTTGTAGGCCTGGGGTTAGAGCTGCTGTGGAACTATGCACCAATGCAGGCGTCAAGGTAATAGGTCAAGTATTATTCTATCCTACTCTATACTGCATCAATCAAAATGGCTTCAATCATTAGCATTTTGATAATGCTTATAGTTGCAAAAGAGGGCTTCTTCTATTATGTTGCTTGCCTGCAGCAAAGAATATTGCTATTGATAAAATAAAGTTAAAAGTTATCTAACAACCGCCCTGAGAATAGGAGGGAAAAATGCTAAATATGAATAAATCTAGGGGAAAAAAATCCACCTAAACTAAGTTTTTTCAATTTATTTTCTTGCTCGAGGGTTGTTTGGTTTGAAGTAAATTAACTGTCATTGCTCTCGCGGCCGCCATTTGTCGCTACCCCGCCACCCACCACAATTGTCATCGCCAGCCACCACCATCATTGAAATTTACACTACATTTTTTTTTTCAACAAATCAAACAGCCTCTTAATGCTAAATAGTGGTTAAATAGTGGTGGTGGAAAGGAACTCATATTTAAAAACGCAGTGATGGTTTTCCACGTTAACGTAATAGTAATAAAAAGCTGCCCTCTTCTTATTTGGCTAGCTTTTTGTTACCGTGATCTTCTAATAGTTGTGACATGTTCTGGTTATGCTCAGTCCTGAATGTTTTGTGCATCGTATAATATTTTGGTAGTTCCATATTACGGTGAATAAGTTCTGGTTATTCTTCTTTCACATTTTTCTGTCATGCGAGAAAATACTGTCTGGAGTCCTTTATTTGGATGAACTAAATTGTAAATTAATGTATTAACTAGGTCCGCATGGTCACTGGAGATAATCTTCAGACTGCCAAAGCTATTGCTTTGGACTGTGGAATCCTTCATTCAGAAGAGGAAGCAACAGAACCAACTCTAATAGAGGGGAAAGTTTTCCGTGCTCTTTCTGAGAAAGCTAGAGAAGAAGTTGCTGAAAAGATATCAGTAAGGCTGTTTGACAAAATATTTCCGATTATTTTTTTGTCGCCAAAGGAGAATTATGAATATATTCTATATAACAGCAGCATTACACTGTGAAAGTTAAAAGTTTTAGCTTCACTAGATAAGGTTATATGCCTTTTTATTGTTAAGACCCGCAAGTATAGAAATTACTCCTTACATGCTAACCAAGGTAGATGTCACACAGTTCGAAGTCTTATTTCTTCCCTCCTACAGGTAATGGGAAGGTCTTCTCCAAATGACAAGCTTTTGCTAGTGCAAGCACTAAGGAAAAAGGGTCATGTTGTTGCTGTAACTGGAGATGGTACAAATGATGCTCCAGCATTGCATGATGTATGCTAAATCTAATCAATCTTTTAAATGTTATATTATGCCCCTCACTACAATACAGGATGGCTTATTCAGGCATATTTTGGATTTTAGGCAGATATTGGTCTGGCAATGGGAATACAAGGTACTGAGGTTGCAAAAGAAAGCTCGGACATTATTATCCTTGATGATAATTTCGCTTCAGTAGTGAAGGTTAGATTGAGTTTCTTGTTTTAACTATACTATATGCACTAGTTCTGTTTTAAGATGGAAACTGATTAAACTTTACACTAATTCTAGGTTGTTCGGTGGGGTCGGTCAGTATATGCAAATATTCAGAAGTTTATACAGTTCCAGCTCACTGTTAATGTTGCAGCACTTGTGATTAATGTGGTTGCAGCAGTTTCATCCGGTGAAGTTCCTTTGAATGCTGTTGAGGTGGGTACATTAGTGAAGAAATATTTGAAATTTCTTATTTATTATGAAATGATATTGTTAAATGTTAGTCGTCTCTTGGCTCTTAATCTCATGGCCAGCATGGGAATTCATGGGAGACTTACCTGGATCACACTGTTAAATCTCAGTCGTCTCTTGGCCCTAGATCCTATTGCTAGCATGGGGATCCGTGGAGGCTCACTAGAATCACACCGATCTCCTTTTATATTTGGGCGGCTGATTTAGGAAGAATTATATTAAAGCAATTATGCATGATTCTAGTTATTTATTTCTTTATTAAGATATTTTGTATAGATCTATAAATAGGGATAGTTTTGTGCAATAAAATTAATCTTTCCCCCCCCTCTCCAAATCTTTGAATTTAACATGGTATCAGAGCCAGATTCTCACCACCGATCTTCATTACCGGAATTCTGAGGAATATTGGTCATCCCACCGGCCTTCATTGCCAGAATCACTGGGATATACGAATAGAAGGAAGCAAAGAGCAAGCGGCCTTCATTGCCATTGGAGATCAAACAATAGTCTCGCAGTCTAAACCATTTGTGCCCTCTGTTTCATGCTTGCAGCCAGAAGAAGTGGAGATGGGAGTCTCTCGTGCGTCCAAGACCGAGGAGAAATCTCTGAGCGAAAGCATCCTCTTGCATATGTGTGACTGTACGGGACGAGAAATCGTGTGTTTGAACAACGGCCAGGATCTCCCGGGAACGGCAACATTGGGCTCTGTCTTTATTCTTGCGTGTGACCTCCAGAGTCGACTGAACAGAAGTGAGAGAAGTAGAGCGCAGGACCTGTTGCATGCGTCTGGACAATTGCTAGGACCTCCTGGGAATGATGACGTCGGGCTAAGTTTCGTCCCTGCATGCCATCGAGAGAGGAGCGGCATTCCTCTTGGTCATTTGCTTCGTGCGTCTCTTCTTGGAAACAGAGCAGAGAGGAGTGAGTAGGAATCCTCATATGTGCGAATGATGTCGAGCCTCTGTGCTTGAATTCTGACCTACTTGAAAGCAGAACAGAGCACCAAGAGGAGTCGTGCAGGAGTTTTGTTGTGTGTGTAGGAAGAGCCAAACGCTTGGATCGGTAGTCTTGTGCGCGCCTGCAAGGCTGCAAGGGAACAAGAGCTTCGAACCCTTATTATCATACTTGCGGCCTCTCTCGTGCACATATGTGCAAATGTCGCCTGATGATTTTATGCTGGAGGATGGGGTCAAAGACATTGGGAATAAGTTGGCATCTCCTCCGTCTGATTTACAATAGCTAATGCTACTTCTTCTTAAAGCTGAGAATTTATTGTCAAGAATGGGGCAATCTCCATCTATTTCAATGTTGATTGTTGTTCACTCTGCTATGAAAGCATTGATTGCCAAGGATCTTCTGAGGCACTAAGACATGGATGTGAAGGTTTTTATTGCATCTTGTCTTAGCGAAATAACAAAATAACAGCACCAAATGCTCCATATGATGATGATATAATGAAGGAGATATTTGGGTTGATTGTTGGAGCTTTAAAAAATTTGGATGAGATGCCAAGCTGTTCACCTTTGAAGAGAGTTTCAAAGCTTGAAACTGCTGCAATGGTCTGATCCTTTGTTTTGATGTTAGATCTTGATTGTGATGATTTGATATTGGAAAATGTTTTAGCATTTCCTTGAGACAATAAGGTCAAAGCATTCTGATATTTTCTTCTCAATGGAGACTATCATAACACTAGTTCTGGAGGAAACTAAGAGTATTTCTACACAGCTTCTTTCATGTTTGTTGGATGGCGTGAAAGTTGTTGAAAAGAATATTCTGCACACATCCAGGAAGTTTCTAAAGAAACTGTTCCTTGAAGCTAAAGACTTATTTGGCTAAATTATTTAATGGCAAGGGTACTCTTTTAAGTGATTACAACAAAATTGTTGTTATTTTATTTCAAGGGAAACATATCATTTCGATACATAATGAAATGAATGCTTCTGGTGAAAATCAGGAAGTTGATCATAAAGATCAAAATTATGTAAGTGGTTCCTTTCTAATGACTCGCCTAAAGGATATGCACAATATGAAGGTGAAATTTTTTATCCTGAAAAATATGTTGTTGTTGCAGATGGATCTTCCAAGCTGGTGATGAATAATGGATATTTTCAAAATGGTAATGGTAATTCCATGGTTGCAAAGCAAAAGGCTGAATTTCGCCATCATAATGGTAAATCTAGAGTTGATACTTAACCTAGCTTGGATTCAGGTACAACAAAGCCTGATAGAAGGTTAGATCTAAGTTCTCGCAAAGGAGGAAGAAATGCTTTATTGTAGTTTTCAATTAGAAATGATCATTATGGAATTAGTTAAGTAATGGAGGTAGAAATTGATCTCAAAGAAAAGTTAGAGTGAGATTCTCTAAAAACAAGCAAACTGCTGTCACTAAGAAGCAGAAAGGGGTTAAGCATATTGAGGTTGAATATAAAGAATTGAAATTAAAGGAAGTTCTCTCTGCTTAAAAGTCAACAGTGAAAGATTTGGTTAAATATCATAACCATGTTAAAGATACTGATAAAACAAAATCAAGATGGAAGCGTGCTCAGGGCGTACAAGAGGTTTTTGGACCGCGGAAGCATAAAAAAGGCTTGGATGACAGAATTGTTGGTTCAAAGATAAAAAATTTGGGGGCCAGATGATCAAATGTTTTATGATGGCACTGTTGGTTATTTTGATCAAAGTACAAGAATGCATAAAATTTTTTATGATGGTAATGTAGAGCTGCTGCTCCTAAAGAAAAAGCAGTGAGAGTTTATTGAAGGTGAAACCAAGATGCATGGGGTGCATAAAAAGGATGAAATCGATGATGTAAACATTCTTACCAAGGGACTTGATAACTCTATCTTTCTGGGACGGGTTGCTAAGCTGGGAATGACAGATCTGTATACCCCAGCTTGAGTTGGAGTTTTAAATCTCAGTCATCCCTTGGCCCTTGATCTCACGGCCAACATGGGGATCCGTGAGAGGTTCACCTGGATCACGCTGTTAAGTCTCTTTCATTCCTTTGCCCTTGATCCCAAAGACCAACATGAGGATCCGTGGGAGACTCACCTGGATCACACCAATCTCCTTCTATATTTGGTGGCTGATTTAGGAATGACTATATTAAGACAATTATTTATGATTTCGTAGTTATTTATTTCTTTATTAAGATATCTTATATAGATCTATAAATAGAGATAGTTTTGTGCAATAAAATTAAGTTTTTCCCTCTCCAAATCTCTGAATTTAACATATATATCTAAATATTTCGGAGGTTATTTCTCTCCGTCATATTCCCTTAACAATGACAACTATAAACCCCAAACATTCTTAAGTTCTCCCTAGCAATGTTATGCATGATCGACTGGGATTCATGATATGGGTACAATTGAAGTCTAAATTTTGCATGATCTAAATGGAATTTATTTACCAACCTATTATATGTGTTTTTTATCTGAGAGCATTTAACATTTACTGTTTTTTTTTTTCCTTTCATTACCAGCTTTTGTGGGTTAACCTTATTATGGACACACTTGGTGCACTTGCATTAGCCACTGAGCCGCCAACAGACCACCTTATGAAGAGACCCCCAGTTGGCCGGAGGTGAGTTTCTATTTGACTCAAGTGAAATTAATTGAATGTCAGGAAAAGCAGATTTTCCTACAAGTGCTCTGATCAACCCCAAGATGTTTTTGGACTAGAATTGTATGTTTTTTAACTGCACCTGTTAGACTTTCATGGCATGCTTTCCACATATATTAGTTAAATCATGGGCGAGAATTATTTCTATAACTATTTAAACGATGCCGCACTATTCATTCCAGATCGAGTCGAGACGATCTTTTATCTTACCTATCTGTTTAACCTACCAGACCAATATATTTAGTTGTGCCTTTTTTTTGTGTTAATGTGCTGAGCATAAATTAACATTTTATTTGCTATGCAAGACAGAATATGCAGTAGTCATGAAGATTTGCATCCCATGCTTAGTCCCCTATAAAATAAATCTTGTGCAGTCATCACCATATATATATATATATCAGTTAGACCTATTATTTAGGTTTCTTTTGGGACAACTTTCTTACTACTTCTTAAAGCTGCTTTCTAGTACAAAAATTAAATTTTTTGTACTAAAAAGCTGCTTTAAGTAGTAAGAAAGTCATTTCAAACGAAGCCTTAATTGAAAACTTGCGTATATTTCTTTTCACAAATATGATTTCATTGGAAAGGCGTTTCCTTTTTTGAGAATAATAGTTCACTTTGTAATCTTCAAATGTATGAGTTCTTCATAGACTGCATTGTTTTCTTATTTCTTTTTTATTTTTCTTTCAAGGGAACCGCTTATTACTAATATCATGTGGAGAAACCTCATAGTACAGGTATGAGCATTTCACTTATACTCGGGTACATTTATTTTTAGTAGTACTTCCATTTAACTCTCTATTGTTATCAAACCTAGGCACTTTACCAAGTAACAATCCTCCTCATACTGAATTTTGGTGGACGAAGCCTTCTTGGTTTATCCGACGAGACTCGAGAACACGCCGATAAAGTGAAAAATAGCTTCATTTTTAATACGTTCGTCTTTTGTCAGGTAAAGGCCTCACCTGAATGAAGCTTCGAGTTGTTTTGTCGCCATTTTTATCTTCTGTTTTTCAGATATTCAATGAATTCAATGCTCGGAAACCAGATGAGATGAATGTCTTCACAGGGGTTACAAAGAACCATCTTTTTATGGGAATAATTGGGATAACTCTAGTGCTTCAGGTAATGACCAAATGCTATTTTCAATGAAAGATTCTATTCGTTTGAAATAACAAAAATACGTTATGAAAAACGATTTTCTGCGCAGATTGTGATTATCGAGTTCCTTGGGAAGTTCAGTAAAACTGTCAGGCTCAGCTGGAAGCTGTGGATGGTTTCTATTGGAATTGCATTCTTGAGGTATTTCTGAGTGGACTTGAAAAATTTGGGTTAAATCTGCTCAAGATTTACTTCAAATCAAATAAAAACTTATCTCTTCGAACTATTATTCATCAGTTGGCCACTAGCTGTTGCCGGGAAGCTCATTCCTGTACCAAAAATTCCTCTGGGGGAATATTTTCGGAGGTGCCTCAAGCTACAACGCAAAGAAAGCCAAGGTTGTTTTCCCAAACTTTACAGAGTATTGTTCTCTCAAATCTTTGTAGAATTGCAATATATATATATACTTGATATTTTTTTCCTTAAAATAAATTTAAAGACTTTGAGATTCATCCTATTTTTTTTATTATGGCATCTCCAACCAAAAACCCCATTTTCCACCGCAAAATACAGCAAAGCTCCAAAATGCCGTAATTTTGCTCCAATCAAACTCCATTTCACGGGCTTTGTTGTCTCGCGGGCAAATCCCATTGACACACAAAAATTTAGCAGGTGAACAGTGCGATGGCGTCGCACTATTCACCTAAACTGCGATGAAACAGCAGCAAAAATGCCGCTCGGTTGGAGCGACGGAAGAACGGCAAACAGTTGTTTGCTGTTCAATTGGAGATGCTCTTAGAATGTTCTAATGGACTAAGGGATGAACTGCTTTGTTTTGCAGGGGTTGAATCTCTGCGACCGGGAGGTTCATAGTTGTCAAAAAGTACTTGTAAGCGGGTACCTGTAATTACTACCACTAACCACTAAATTGTTCCTAAACTTGGTTAGCTACCAGTCTCAGCATGCGTAAGAAATGCATTGACCGGAAATTTTTTGTTTTTTGAGAGCACGAAGGAAACATGAGATTGGTAGTGGGCAGCTAAGTTTCCAATTTTCTACCATCCCTAACTTTTATCATATATTGCTATATATTATGTATGATTATAGCAACATTGAGTAATGGCTATACATTACAATTTATTTTGATGTAATTGTAATTAAAACTTGGTGGTGCGCCTATTTATAACTGTTAATTGAAGGTTTGTTATGAAGTGTGTGATTTTGTTGGTAAGTTCATGCTCATGAGAAGGCATGATTATACATTTTTTGCAACTTTTTTTTATGTTCTTGCAAGCCCACATATAGAACTTAAGCATCTATTATGGTACAACCCCTTGTCAGCTTTCATTTATATATTAAAGGTTTTTTCCATTTCAAGTTTTCAATCCAACTTCTACTCGGACCATGCAATGCCTTAGCTGTAGAGAGAGAAAGACTAATGGGGTAAAATATTGAAAGAGAGAGAGAGAAATGACTTTTCGTTGTGGACGGAATGATGAAAAGATATTTTGGTTAAGAAGCTTGAGAGATCTCCTCTAAAGGATTTGGCTAAAGCTAAAATTGAAAGCTTAAAGGGGCTTACAGTTGATTGTTTTAGTGGCTTAACAGAGCAACAAGAAAACCTGCTCTAATTTTTGTAATGTTTTCTTTTAAAATTATTTATTAATCTGAAAAAGTCACCAACATCTTTTTTTGGGCACATGAAAAGCATTTATGGTTTGTTTTCTCTTTTGCTTATCTCTTGCAACTCATGATCTCGAGCAAGGCTTTCCTTTTCGCTCCTCTCTTGCCCCCAAGCGAAGACCATTTGTGATAGATGTTTATGTCTTCTATAAACTTTAAGGGTCATGTTATTTGCATTCTCCTATTGGATCTAATAGTGAAATGAACAGAACTATTTTAATGTATTATAACTTTTCAAATGAGATGTCAAACAAAATTATTTTAATTTAGAAAATAGCGGTCTTCTTGAAGTAGAACAAGCTAAACTTAGAAAATATTTGTCCTCTTCAATCCAGTCACCAAACATCCTCACCTCATTTAACAAGCTTTAATGAAAAACATATTATTATAACAAGCAAAATAAATAATTTTTTTTTCAGACAGAAAAAGAGAGAAGGTGCCACTAACTTGTTTAATAGCTTGCTCTTTATTTGCAGAGCTTGATCTTCTTGAAGTAGGAAGCAATAAATGACTTTGGATATGGCCTCGTAGCAAGGCAGGTGGGGATGTTCTCTGGCTGCTCAATCCACAGCTTGTGCTCTATTCCCTCTGCTGTCAGCTTCTCCGCTAGCTTCCTTATCTGAGTCTCTCCCTTAACCTCCAGGGTCACCTATAAGAAAAAGGAAAGAGTAAATGATTAAAATGTTGTTTAGATCTTATAAATTTGTTTATTTATCTTAAAAATATTTAAATGTTAAATTTAATTTTAATTATCCAAATTTGAATGGACTTAATCATACTATTAATTTTCTCATTTTTTTTTTGGGACATTTAGGCCATTTAAGGCAAACTCACACACAAGATGTATACACATAGACTCGAACCTTAGACCTCTTAGTTGGAAGCCTTAGCTCTCAACCAATAGGCCAAGGAGAGTTGTGTATTTTCTCATTTCTTTGTTTGAAGGAGATAAAACTTTTTATGAGGCCAATTCAAATTTATTAAGAGGATATCAACTCAAACTAAAACTAATAGAATTGGCTCTAGAAGATCTAATACACCCTCCCAAAAAACTTCTCTACTAATTTTGGTCTAAACAAATATAAAGCTGATGATAATACTAAGGCTTCGTTTGGGACAGCTTCTTTGCTGCTTCTTGAAGTAACTTTCTAGTACAAAAATTAAAATTTTCATACTAGAAAGTTGGTTCAAGAAGCAATAAGAAAGTCGTTCCAAATGAAGCCTATGGCTTTCTTACTATTTTTTAGAAGCTTTTTTTAGTATAATTTTTTTTTTTTTACTAAAAAGCTGCTTTAAGCAACAGTAATAAGCTTTAAAGTAGCTTCCTTGTACAAAAATTAAAGATGCAATAAGAAATTCATACCAAAAAAGCCTACGAATTTCATATTGTTTCTTAAACTAAATTTTTAGTACAAAAAATAAAAATTTTATACTATAAAGTTGCTTTTAAAAGGCTTGATTTAGAATAGCTTTCTTACTGTTTTGTAAAGTTGTCGTAGAGAAATAAATTTTCGAAGTTGTTGTAGAAATTAATTTGCTAACGCAAAATTTTTTTTGAAAGTAACAAATAAAATAATGATCATACAAAATTTATGATTGTAACCTAAAAAAGTAAAAATGTATGCCCAAATAGTTTAGATGTAATAAGTTAGAGTATTAAATTAAACTCCTTAAAAAATTAGGGGATCCCTAAACAGATCACAAAATTTGTGTGTATTTATATATATAGTATATAATTTTTTATATTTATTTATATATTATATAAATATTTTATTAAAATAGACACAAAGATCTTTTTGACCATATGTTAATTTGGATCTACTATGTACAACCTGGGTATAGTACTCCTTAACACCAATAAACCATTGGGACGGATAAAGTTCATTGCGGCATTTCATCGAGCATACCTTGTTCATGGAATCGAGGTTGGAAGCAGATAAGTACGCGGCGGTGTCGATGCGGTCGCGGTGGTCCCAGATGGCAGCAACGGCGGCGTGGCAGCCCTGTGTGACGGTGCTCCCTAGCGGCCATTCGTCGATGAGGTCACGCCGAAGAACAACGTATTGGACAAGAAGATCGCCGGGTTCTTTCGCAGCATCGGAGCTGGGAGAAGATGACGCCATTGGAGCCACCGCGGAGGTGTTCATGCTTCTAGGATGAGGAGGAGGAAGCGCTGAAACCCTAGATCTTAGGGAAGGGAAGGTAGAGGGAGGAGAGAGCGAGCGAAGGACTGTGTAGAATTTTAGGGTTAAGGGGAAAGTGAAGGAACTAATTAGATTCATTAGAAGTACTGTTTTTGTGAGTGTGGACTGTAGAGAAAGTAACATCCAAAATTTTAATATGTTTAATATATAATTAATAAAAAAATAAATGGTATGATGCTATTAATTTAATTAATTATAAAGGTGATTTGATGTTGAGATTTTGAAAGAGTAAATGGTATGCTAAGTTTTATGGTGCATAGCATGGATCAACACTACTTATTTTTAGTGAGATTAAGGTTTCGTTTGGGGCGGTTTTCTCACTGTTTTTTAAAGCAGTTTATTAGTATAAAAAATAAAAATTTTGTATTAGAAAGCTACTTTAAGAAGCAGTAAAAAAGCCGCCTCAAACAAAGCCTAAGGCTTCATTTAGGACGACTTTCTTATTGTTTCTTAAAGTGGCTTTTTAGTACAAGAATTAAAATTTTTGTACTAAAAAACCGCTTTAAGAAGCAAAAAAAAGTCATCCCAAACGAAGTTAAGTCAGCGAATGTCATTGTAATTGGGTGACAATGATCAAAAGATTGTAATGGAGTAACAATGATTAGGAGAGCGTAATCAGACGACAGTGATTACAAGATCATAGTCGGACAACAACGACGACGATAGGGGATCATAGCCAAGTAATAGTTATAGTTGTGCAATAAGTCTCTAATTAAATTTGATAGTTGTAGCTACTCAAAATTCTAATAGATGATGAATAAGTTTAAGCATTTATATTTACATTCACACTTATTTTCATTTAAATCATGTAGAATTACTATTTATTTTGAGGACACCTTGGGTGATGTACTACAAGCATGATAAAATAAAATAAATCAATGAATATTGAAAAGCATTAGTCTAAATGGATAATCTTTTCCACAATTCTTACATAAAATGATTATAATCATAAAAATGTAAAATTATGTGAATTAGGTTTAGTTTGGGGTAGTTTTATTACTATTTTTTAAAGTAGCTTTTTATTAAAAAAATTATTGTTTAATTTTTTCTTTTATTAAAAAGCTGTTTAAAAAAAAAACAAGGAAGTTGTCTCAAATGAAGTCTTAATTAATAAAGAAGCTTATTTTTATGTGCTTATTATCATAATTTATAGAAATTTTGCATAATTTTATCAGAATCTTTGTATATAATTCTCATGAAAATTACTTTAATTGTATACATGTCAAAGATTTGACGTCATTAGCCTTATTAAACTTTTTTATCAAAGTTGCAGCTGCATGTACATGGAAGTTACATTTGTAGCCTCCTTAGTGCTACTCCTCAAACTAATCAAGAGAAAGAGAGGGAATTTCATCAAAGAGAGAGGAGAAAAAGTGAACCAATGAAGGGAAAAATTATTTTGTGCGGACACCGAACGTCGTCCGAGACCAACCAAAATGTATCATCCTTTTGCTCGGTACCGCGGCTTGATATTGTTCGGTACCGCTCGATACCGCGATGTGGTACCGCTGACATGGTTGCACCTAATTCACCTCCAAACGTAGAGCTGCGTCCAACATCCGTACAGGATAATCTCTCAAATGAAGGAGGGAAAATTTTATATTTATTTATTTATTTATTAGATTTAAATGAGAATTTGACTATTAACAAACACAATGAAGAGAAATGATTCATATAGCCCATCTGACTTAGTGAGATAAAGGCTTGAAGTTGTTGTTGTTGTTGATGTAATGAAACACATATAACGAAAAACTTTATTGAAATCATTATTAAAAAGATAGATTATACAATATTTAAACCTATAAAGAATTAATTAATCACTCATATACTTCTATATATACTGAACTCACACAACAAATATCAACTTATTCAACAAATTAATCAAATACATCAATAAAAAGATAAACTAGTTGATGGCACCACAAATTTTTCTAATCTCCCCATCAGACCCCGTAAGTGGGCTGATATCTCCCATCTTCACCATAGCTGCAGAAAAATCCGAGTAAAACGAAGCCTGATTACGAGCATAACCTGAAACAAAACCATCTGTTGCTGACGAGCCTCCATTAAACAGAGCTTGATCAGAATGAAGGAGACCTTTCCTTCTCAACAGGTTCTTGAAGTAGTTATTGTCGAAAGAGCTGGGCGTGACAAGATCAAGTGGAGCCAAGTTGCCATCGCCATTGCCAGTTAAAGGTGGGCAAGAGCGTCTTCTTGTGCTAGCAAAGCCTGCATCAACGTTGGTGTCATTGTAGATCCGACTCCTGAAAGTAATACACTGAGCCATCCCTATCGTGTGAGCTCCTGACAGTGCAACCATGTCGCGAGCACTGAGACCTTGCCTTGCGAAGGATGACAGTAGAGCTTCCAGATCATCAAAAGCTATGGGAAGGTTAGCCTCAGCCAAATCCTTGCTTGCAGTCTTTGAATCTCTCCTTCCAAGCTTCACAGCCCAACTCGGACCTCCCACCTAATAATTGATGAACATTTAGAACCAGTAAGAACATACAAACCATTAGTTAATGGCGCGTGATACTTACATATTTGGAGGCATCGCGAGCAGCAACAGCTAGAATATCAGCACAAGAGACAACGCCAGGGCAAGCCTGCTCCACAGCCGATTTGATATCTTCCACAACATTGAAGCCTCTCACAGATTTGAAGTTCTGAAGAGCATTTTGCTCGCTGATTATAGTTGCAGAGTCCTCCAGCAAGATAGACCCATCACAGCCCTGTATACAGATATATAGGCACGTTTATATATAGCTTTTATACAATTCAGGAAATTCGGGCATTGACGGCAGTTCCTCTGAGATTTCCGACGGTTTCATAAAATATCTGTGGTTTTCCGGCAGTTCGAACACCGCCGGAATAAACCTCGTAGGAAACGATTACCAGCGGTTATAATCACCGGTGATTTTCCGACGGCTATATGACCGCTGGTAATACCTAAATTTCCTGTAGTGATTGTTAAGATTAATTTGTAGTGGTTAAAACGGCCACAATTTTGGAATCAATTTATCTTGAACATATTAGAGACGATTATAACAGCTGCAAATCTGTAAGTTTACACCAATTATAACCATTGTAAAAACTAGCACTTCGTCGAAACTATCCCGCCGATCTATAAATCGCTGCAGAATATTATTGCAGTGCATAACATTACAGAGGCGGGGCTGCAACAATTTTGAAACCGCTGCAAAGAAATCAGTGGCCTTGAAAGCTTTAATATATTCATCGTATTTGAAAGCTCCCATATATCAGAGAGAGAGAGAGAGAGAGAGAGAGAGAGAGAGAGAGAGAGAGAGAGAGAGTGGATGGTGACCTGAACAAAGCAGTCATGGAAATGGAGGCGTATGAGAGAGGCAGCCATGCGGCGCTCCTTAGCGATGGCTTTGCTTACAGCCTTCTGTATGGTAGAGAGAGCCGCGGGACAAGAATTGCTGTAGAAATCTGGAGAAAGCTCAGCCTCGCAGTATTTCACGTTACAATAAGCCATTATCAAAAGCACCATCACAGCAATATTATTAATCCTGCACCAACTCATCATCATCATTGCTTTCTACGTAATTCCTATCAAACTATGTAGCTATATTCGAAGAGGATTTCTTGTAAAGAAAGAGAGATGGATATGAAGAAGAAGGAAGAGCTGCTCTCTAATTTATACAGATTGAAGAGACCGTTATGCGCCAAAGTTTTGAATTTTCTTTTGGTCTTCAAAATCAGGCTGAGGCACTTCACGCGTATGCATATACATGCAAAAGGGAAGAAGTCTATTTACGTTATCGTCGTCTTGCTTATTTGATCAAAGCTGAACTGAAGCCGCCTGCGGCCTACCATGCCAGTTATCATATGTAATGTTCTTCATGAAATAAGAGGAAGATAACCATTTGACCAGCCATGAATGATTAGTATTATTTTATGTTTTCTAGCTATGAGGAATTCTTTAAAGACTTTTGTAAATCGCCAGCCCTATGCCAGTTATATAACAGATATGTATGCGTGAAATAGACAAATACATGAATTTTGAATATATTGGCATTTGATCTTAAGAAATGTAGAATAAAATTTTAAAGGAACTTCTAATTCAATTTTGATGTATTTGAAAATTATTAAGATTGGTTGATTTTAAATTACTATCATTATCTTCAGCAAGCCGCTATCGATGTTGGCGATAGTCGTCCCCTTCCAATCACCAACGTTGACCTTCACTGTCGTCCTACTGATCATCGCCCATGATAGGCCGATGGCTGGCACCGCCACGGTTATCAACCTCCGGCCACCGGCCACTGGCAACTAATATTATTAAACTTTATATTATATTTATTTTATTTGAATATGATAATAATAATAATAATAATAATGATAATAATAATAACATATATTTCTTTTATATTATATTTATATTCAATATTATTTTTGCATTATTTTTTCATTCGACCAAAGGGGTCGCCCAAAATAGGGGTCATCATTTGATATTTTGATTTTTGATGGATGGGCAGAACTGAGAAGCAGCCTTGCGGTTGGTAGAGCAATATAATAATAGAAAGCAATTAAGCATGCATTTCATATGCATCTCTTTAGCCTTTGATTAATTTTTTTATTAATATAAATGCAAGAATTAAAAATTGTCGAATATATTTATTCCAATATTATTAAATTAAAGAACTCCATCGCCTGCCAACTACGGTCCTGCCAACTACAGTCCTGCTCACTATGATTCTTCTGACTTTTGTCGCTCGCCGACTTCGTTCATTTCGACCTCCGTTGTCAGACAACGATCCTTCCGAGCTCTGTCGCCCGTCGACTATGGTCATTCCGACTTCCGTTGTCAAACAATGTTCTTTCCAACCTCTATCATCCACCGACTATGGTCCTTCCGACCAAGCGAATACGTCAACAATGATTCTTCCTATTTCCACTATGTAATACACTATATATGATTCATATTTGTTATATCAAGTCAATGCCTTCTTTCTAATGAAAGGCATCAGTTGTAATCAACTGCAAATACTGGTTGATTCATGCAAACTAGGCTAGGTCGCGTGGATTTTCACCTTTTTAGGATTTTTCCACGTAAAAATCTTCGTGTCTCTTAAATACTGCACCATCTCTCTCTTTTCTGATTGCGTGCTGGATCTTCGTATAAAGCTAAAACTTAAAACTTATATTTTTCTACCGCCGCAAATATTCTAGGACACAACAATTATTAAATTAAAGGACAATATCATCCTCTCTAAAGTTGCATAGAATTTCATTTATAACAAAATTTCATATTATTATTATTATTGGGCATTGAGTAATTGAAAGCAACTACTTAACGTTTTCTCCATGCATGCAGGAAAGTGTGAGTACTTAGCTATCAAGAGACAAGTTTTTTTTTTTAGGAAAAATAAAGAGAAATTTTTTAGCCTTTATTTTTTTATTAAAATAAATGCAAATTTAAATGAGTATCAAAAGTCATCGATTACATTTATTTTAATATTATATTAATGCCCAAAATATCATCTTCTAATAAAACTTTCCTCATAGTTTGCTAAGAAAATTTATTCCTTATTAGTAGCTAAAAATTACAAAAATTAGATAGCTCTATGGAAATTATAATAGAAAAGAAATGGATGGCAGTTTATGTAATTTAAATTATTGATGATTTTTATTTTAAAAAATTCACATCTTATTAAACATAGGCACAAAGCAATGAGGGGCTCTTACATTAGTTTATTGGGCATTTTATTGTGCCAATTCAAACAATATTAAAAATATTTGAATATTAGTACCAAATAAGGATGGAGTCGTACGGGCCGTGAAAAATATAAGCTCATAAGCTCAACTTTCAATAAATGACTTGTGAGCTAAACTGTGATGAACCAAATATGAGCCATTCCTTAATCTGCTCATTAGTTATCATCTTCCCAAGCCAATTCATTTACCCGATGGCCGCTACCACCTCATTTAGAGGCACTTGACGGCGTAATTAATCCCTCGGCGAGCCTACCAACAACCAGCCCCACAGGTACATGACTCATAATTATTTTCTCTCCACTTAAGTGATTGCACAGTATTAGAGATAATTCGAATAATGGTTGGGGATTCCCAATCATGCTCGTCCACCAACCCAGTTGCAAGTATAATGAGCTCAATAAAGAATCAGATGATAAATTCACATATGCCTGACTACTAATGAGCATAATTAGCAGGTTCTTGTTCACTAATCTACACTTGAGCATTACAGTGAGAGCAAGCTCATTAAACAATTTAAAACTTTCTGAAACTTTAGGGTACAGAGAGAATACAGGAAGGGGAAAATCAGAAGCACTTTCTGTGAACAATTGCTGGTCCTGTCTCATCATATTCTGCCTTTGTGATGTGCTGATTCTGTGGAAAAACAACTTTAGCCAGTATAGCACCGCCCATCCAAGCTGAATTGCTTGGCAAATTCTCAGGCATGTATTCTGGTGGCTGACAAAATAGAACAGATTAAGGCGTTTATGTGCTGTTAATTTCCATAAAGCAGGATTATAGATATTAAGGATTAGTTTGGGACGGCTTTCTTACTGCTTCTTAAAGCGGCTTTCTAGTACAAAAATTTTAACTTTTTAACTAGAAAACCGCTTTAAGTAGCAGGAAGACCCAAACGAAGCCTAAGAAAAGCACCTTAACAAGAGAAGGCCGTACTGAAGAGGAGCATAGAACTGCCTCTCTCTGGAAACGTTCTTCAAAGCCTGAATAAGGAGGTTAGGTTTGCTATAAGTAATCAGAATAACTCAGCTAAGAGACTATTGATTTGAACTTTGTATCGATTTTAGCGTCAAACAAACTAAGTGATTATTGACAAAACTAGAACAATTTCAAGAGATGTTGGGGCTTTCGGACCGGGCCATCGTGCTAACCAGCTGGTTCTGGTTGGCCCTGTGGCAATCTGGGCTCCTCCTTTATGATGGGCTGCTGATTTGTTCTCGTTTTAGTTGGCTACTTTTCCTGAGTCCAATTCTTTTGCCTCACCCCCTCGTTTTTGCTTATGGGCGTGTGAGGTTGGTTGTTCCTGTATTTTTGGGGTTATTACTGACCCGGGGTTGTTTTTGGTTTTTGTTTTCTTTTGATATAGTTTTGTAACCTTTTTTCCTTTAATATACAGGATTTGTTCTAAATTTTTCCCAAAAAAAGTACTAGAAGTTTAATCATTCATCACAACCTTAGGCCGAGGAAGAAAGGATAAGACAAAAAGGGGATCACAGATCAGACTGAAATTTCTTTGAAAATAGAGGGATGGCTTAACTTTAAGCAGGGCGATTGGATGCTATTTTGAAATTCCTTTAACCAGGTTAAGGTTAGTTGAAACAAGATCACTTTAAAAGTTCAATCTTATTCAACTATTTTCCTGATTACTTCTCCACTCTGCTCGCTAATGTGCTTCCTTCACCTCACCTCTCTACCATTATTTCTATGTTCACTGTCAACATCTACAGCTTGTTTTTTTTTTTTTATTTCTTGATTTGTAAACCTCTTCAACTTCTATGGTCTCCAATGCCTCTCCAATGGTTACAAATTCTCTTTTAATCCCACGTATTTGGTTTCTTTTGTACCCATTTGCTTTTGATGGATGGGCTTTTGAACTCTGACAAATATTGTCTCTGTGGTTTCCGTCATCTTCACGATTTGCCTTTTCTTCATAATGTCAAAAGGGAGATGGTTTGATATGTTATTCTCACATGTTTCTCTTACTCTTCTTAATACTTAAGTTTATCATTTTTCGCCACTTGGTCCTATTAAGGTTGAGGCAAGAAAAAAGTTTTGATTACTTCGTTTAGCAAAACCCTTCACATGATGGGCAGAAGAGAAAATTTCATTGAAAAGGGTCTTCCTTATAGCTAGAAATTGCATGCACTTGTGTTGTCTTGAAACTTAAAATGAGAAGAGAAAAGAAGAGAAAAAATGAGAGATTTTATGTTTTTTTTTTGGCAAGAAAAATATGAGATTTTATACATAAATAGATGGAGAAATGAGTTTTAAGAAAAGAAACAAATTTAGAATCAAATCTTTAATTCTAGAATGCAAATTAACAACAAAACATCCATGGAATGTTACAACTGACAAATTGCTGGAGTATTGCAGATACAAAATTGTTATCTGCAGACTTTTAATTTGTAGTAGGTATGAAGTTTTTGACGAGGGATTGTTGGATTGTTGTAGATGAAAATGTGCTAACCAGATATTAAAGTTTATTTCAACACTCTCCTCAAGTTGTAGACCTAAATGACCTTTCTTTATTAGATTTAAATGAGAATTTGACTCTTCACATGACACAATGGAGAAAAATGATTCAGGTAGCCGACCCCACAAGTGGTATAAAGGCTTGTTGTTGTTGTACTCTTCTCAAGTTGGGATTTAAGTTATGATTGTTCGAAAATTTTTATGTTATTTGTCAACTATCTAACACAACACTCTACTTTTATTGATGATATTCTTCTTGTTTATAAGACTAGAGATGGAGTAGAAGAAAATTTTGAATTATGGACGTCAACTTTAGAGTCTAAAGGTTTTAGTTTAAGTAGATCTAAAACTAAATACATGAACAATAATTTTAGTGATAATAGATCTAGTGGTGAGATTGTAATATTGGGTCATCAAATTGTTAAAAAGAGTGCATATTTTAGATATCTTGGATCTATTGTTCAAAGCAATGATGAAATAGATGACGATATTATTAGTAGAATTCAAATTGGATGGTTGAAGGGGAGGAATGCACTGGGCATTTTTTGTGATAAAAAAAGTACCCCTCAACTTAAGGGAAAATTTTATAAGATGGTGGTGAGACATTCAATGCTTTATGGCACAGAATGTCGGTCATAAAAAGATAAGCATAAAATTAAGTTAAGTGTCGCAAATATGAAGATGCTCAGGTGGATGAGTGGCTTTACACTTAGAAACAGAATGTGAAACGAGTATGTACGTGAAAAGGTTGAAGTACTTCCGGTGACAAATAAGATTAGAGTCATCTAGATGGTTTGGTCATATAAAGCGTCGGAAGGCCTTCCGATGACAGTTAGGAGAGTAGATATATTAGATCCGGCCTATGTTAAGAAAGACAAAGATAGACCTAAAAGGAATTCGTTATAAAGTATTAGAAATTATCTTTGTTTATTAAATTTAAATGAGAATTTGACTCTTAATATGACACAATGAAGAAAAATGATTATTGTATCCAACCCCACGTAGTGGGATAAAGGCTTGATGTTGTTGTTGTTGTACTCTCCTCAAGTTGGGATTTATATGTTGATCATACCTAGCTTGTGATTAGAATATCAAACCTTATTTTGGATAAAACCTTGGTGAGGATATGAACAGTTTAAGAGTTTTTAAGAGCACAATTTATTTAGGTTAGTCTATTTTTTTAATTTTCTAAGATCAAATGTCGATCTAACTCAATTTTATCAGTTATGTTATGGTAAACTTCATTTTTTGGGATATCTAGTAACATGGCTGACGCGCTACACTTGTTGAGAATTTTTCACTAGATAGTTTAGTATTTCTAACAATATTTTTAACTATATTCCTTCACAACTATCAAGAGTTACTACCACGTATTCAGCTTCAACATTACTTAAAATCAACGGGCTTGTTGTTAATGATGATCCCATTTTTTTCTTGGGGCCATTGGACTATCTACAAGCATACATTCAAGCATTCATGGTCTTTGAAGTAGATAAAAAATACACTCACTTTGAGAAGTAACAACACTTTGTTTTAATCGTGCTATTTCCATGCCTGTAAAGTATTTCAAATTTTCAAAGACTTTTACCTCAAATTCTCTTTTTAGAAACTCTCTGAGCTGGTTAGATCTTCCTCGAAGTCACTTATAAATAATATTTACATATATGATCAAAATCGCCTTTTTTTTTCATTTAAGTTGACTGCTTGATAAAACATTGATCAACTTAACATTAAGTGTACCCAAACTTTTCAATATATTTGGAGAATCTATCAAACTAGGCACAAGGTGACTGGTGTATTGAAGTACATGCTAAATTTGCCGAGATCAATCTTTCCATTCATCGAACAAAAGTTTTTATTCTAGACCAAGATTTTCAAATTATGTTGATATAACAAATGAAGATCGTTTGAACTTTTACAACATTGATGAAGGCTAGAACAATTCCAAGTCAGTATTATGGAGGGGTTCAAGAAAATGCACTGAATTCTAAATAGCATAAAGATCATCATCGCTGCAATAGAAAACAAGGACATTAAATTATATAAAATATTGACCAACATACAAGAACAAAAAAGCACAAAAAACATGACTAAAAATTCGCATCTTCATGACACTTTTGGTAAATAAAGTAAAAAATGAGCATAAGGTTCCAAGCAAAAAAGTGAAGAAACGATATGAATAGCTGTATATATTCTCTAACAGCAAATTAAAGGCACCAAAAAAAGAACGTACCAGCCATAGATGTAGTACCACCACATAGAACAATGTTGTCAATAAGCTGTCGGTGAAGCTCAGGTGCAACAATCGTGATACTTCGAAACAACTGTTCAACAATCCCATATTCCTCCAAACCCAAGATTGATGGTTGAAATAGAGCTTCTCCAACAATATACCTTTCCCTTTCAATCGTTATAACCTACAAACAAGCTATATTTAATGATTATAAAGCTTAAGACTACCAAGAAAGAAATGGTGGTTCAAACAAAGCAAAACTTTACTATTTCAGAAATTCCTCAACCTTATCGACCATCTTTTCGTTTATTTAAAGCCCCAAAGACAAGCACACACAAGGATATATACATATAGAGAGAGAGGGGGGGGGAGAGAGAGAGTAATAAGATAAAGAGTGGTATGGTAATAATAATAATAATAATAATAATAATAATACAAATAACCTCATTTTGATTTCCAGATTTGCACTCATTGCAAAATTTTGTGAATCATTGATGGATGATAGTAAAGCATGAGAACACCCTAAAGGATTGATTTGCTTGCTTGAAGTTAAAAAATGCAGTTTGAAATCCAATGAAATTTGATAGGTTCATCGTTTGTTTAAATAGTTAGAAATTAACATTTTTTTATAATCCACAAACCTATTAAATCCATCAGATGTAAGGATTTAATTTTCAAACAAAATGAGTGAAACAAAAAAGAACGTCTTTTAAAATATATTTTCTATTGAAAAGCAACCAAATGATCCTTGTTGACAACTATAAATGCAACACCTACAGGTTACAAAAAATCTTAGCGAGGGAGATGCTTTGATAAGGGTAAACCAAGAAGAGAGCTTGAGAATCTGACAAAGATAGGTAGAGCGAGCGAGTGACCAAGAGAGAGAGATTGTGATCAATGAACTCAAGGGCCTAAATCCCTTCTTAGTATCACCTAATTTCTTAGGCCTCGTGTTAAAAATGAGATGTTAAGCCTTTATCGACTAAGATTTATGTACATAATCCCCTCAAAGATGTGAAGCATTCATATGAAGACCTAATTAGACTGTCCAATATACTATACATGGTATTTATAAGGATTTTTGGGTTATGTTATAAATCAAGTTCCTTCAATTAGACTGACTCTACTCCTTATTGATTTTAGGCTGGAGAAAGGCTAAGATCCTTGCTCACCTACTATAAACTATGGGGACATCGGGCAGTCGATGCCACCTAGCATTTGTCGGTTGATTGGTCCATTGGATGAAAAAGCAGTGGCAAGAGATGAATCATTTGCATTCCGTTCTTATATGCACTATGATGTTGGTGGTACATGTCATGCACTAGAAGTCCGTAATCATTTCCATTTTCCAAGGTCATGGTCTACAAGATATGTTAGTAGCATGTCGCTAGAATATGGATCGATTAAAGATGAGGGTTATAAACTGCTCGAGTAAAGTGTCCTTTTCATCCACTTGATGGACACACAGGTTATCAATTTTTAACATAAAGGTTTCAACTCTTTACATCACATGTTTCTCAAGGTTTCAAAACATTATCATCTTAATGTGTTATAGACAACTTCCTTCAAAGGTGAGAGATTTTGGGCTCAAACTGGCACCTAACCCAAGAAAGCATCCACTCATATGCTTGATCACCCATTAAGCATCAGAAAGTGGCTCTCAGTTGTTGGTTGTCAAGTTAAAATGAGGGTGGAAATTCAATCCTAGCCACATATTAGTTTCTCTCAAATTTTGAAATTTCGCAATTAGCTTTTGATATGCTTTTTATCTATTGAGATCCTTTTTATCAATGAGATGAGACGCAAACCTCAAGGGTTGAGATGTAAGCCTCACAATTAAAAAGGAAAAAAGCCAAATCACTGATAAGTAGCACATTAGTGCCCTAATTCATTAGCATATTAAAAAAATAATATAACATTATGACATAGTAAGAAATAATAAATTGTATATTTGTGCCTACATCAAATAACAAATTGCACAAAGTAAAAATATAATGCAAACATTAAAGTAACAAAAGATATCAAATCAACTTAAAATATCAAATAAGTTTAGTACAAATGTACAATAAGTTGATTTTTCCCACTCCGACTCTCCAACATAACTAAGATTAAAACAAATAACTAACCAAAATCCTCAGCACTCTCATCACTCAAGGGATTGCATTAGGAGAGATTATTATGTGCGGCATCCGAACGTGTCCGGAGGCGAATCCGGACGCGCCACATAATTGGATGCACTGGCCCCGGTGACGCCCGGATGTTGCACAACATTAGAGTCATCATCATAATAAATAGCTTTCTCCCTTATCTCATATGTTCAGTTGTGTCCAAGTTCTACCATTCCTCCTCCTCAACCTCAATCATCTTCCTCTTCCCCAATCAATAATAATAAAAATATTATTATTATTAATTAAAAAAATAAAACAACTTCAAATACTTAAATTGCTACAAATAAATTTTCTTTTTATCTCTTGCTAGCTTATATCGAATATGTTTGTTTTATTTACATACCCATCAAAGTAATCAATGCATAATCTTATTGTAAATTAGATGATGTGAATTCATTATCACCATCTACAAATCAATATAGACTAAAAGCTGAGTTACCAAAAATAAACCCTACTAGTCTAAAAGTTGAGTTACAAGAAATAAACCCCACCAAAATTTTGAAATGAGTTTATTTATTAAAAAGAAAAAAGAAATAAACCCCACCACAAATGATTTTTCATCATTCGTAAAATCTTATTAATGGTTTGGCCATAAATTAAAGAATTAAAAGCAGCAAACCTGCCCATCTGGAAGAACGTGCTTTTCTTTCTGACAAGAATTTAGAGTACTATCAAATGATGATTGATCTTCTGCACAACAGGCATATTGCTCTTTTAATTTTTCAATCTCGTTAATGTCAATTTGTACTTGTGGATTGGTCTTCCTGAGTTCCTGAGCAAGAAGATTTGTCAGATCAATTCCACCGATCTCAAATCTTTTAGAGGCTATATGTTGAACCGCACCTTCACAAACTGGTGCTATATCTGATATTATTAAAAAATAAAATAAAATAAAATAGTAAAATTTTCAATGCTTGATATATATTGAATAAAAAATTACTGATCTTACAAAGGAGGTGAATAAAAAGGTGAAATTAGAGCAACGATCAAAGAGATCAGGTGGCACACACTACATCAAGAACAAGGAACTCTAATTTTCATTTTATTTATAAAAAATTACCTTAATTAAAAATATACTTACTATTCACTAATAATGTAAAATGATGCGCATTGTAGCATAAATCACAGACATGTGCCTCTCAGACAGAAGGTTGAAGTGTGAAAATTTGTATGATCAATTTGTAGTTTACTTAAGCCATTGCATAATACATAGCATATAATGTACACCAATTTGAATTTATTCTAATTCATTTATTATACTATAGGTAAAGCAAAAAATTCAGTTGTTTAATTTAATCATACCTTGGCTTCATTATAGCGCATGTTCGTCATTAACTTTAAATTTGAATTTTTTTTCTTCAATTCAATAAATTGAAACCAAACAAATTTTCAACTTCAAAAACTAAATATGCATATTGCACTTACTAAAAAATTGTTTTAGAAACTTATGAGTAGCTATTTATTTAGTATTTAAATTTTTATGGCATGATATTCAATCCTCATACATGGCCAATCATATATTCTATTTAGGATCAAATATTGGGGGCTTTTTAGCCTTTTAATGGCATTTTTTCTCATATACAGTCAAATTATTAACCTAATCCCCATAAATTTCAACTATTGCATTTTTTTAGATAGAATATTAAGTTGTACACTCTTGTTACAAGGGAACATTGCATTTTGGCGTCTAAATCAACTTTAACAAGTATGAAATGGAATAAGTGCTTATTTTCCATATGGTTTTGAGATTTCTACTCAAGTGTTGACGGTGTCCATTTTATTCTACTCATAACTTAGAAATTAAAAGCTGAATCAATGATACATACCTATTTTGCCATGTCCAATGTCAACAGTGCACCCCGAAATGCGTCCTACTGCATAAAGTGATAATACTGCTTGCTCAGATGCATAAAAGCCTGAGACATTAAACGTTTCAAACATCATTTGGACCAACTGTTCCCTGACAACCTGCAAATTAGATGAGAGGCATAACATCTCTTAAAAAACACTTCGTGATTGATTTAGTGAGCCATCCATGTTCCGCAAACATAGTTATGAAATAAGCTTACAGAATTTTTTAAAGTAAACAAAGGTGATAAGACCAAACCCAAAGTAGAACACAAAAAACTTTCTAGGGGAACACAGTGTAGCTTAGCTTGTTGATTTTAGCTTTTATCATAACTTCCTAGAAGAAAATCCATCATCCATTACAATGAACTGACTTCACAAATTTGGCTGCGTTTTTAGTAAATTCTTTTTGAAAAAATTTCTACTTATATTTCAAAATTTTAAATAAAACATATTAGAAACTTGAGCATTATATTGCTTCAGAACATTTTATGTCTAGGGCATGAATAAATTTTAGAATGTAAAATACAATCAAACATAATTGTTGACCTCATTTTTTGAATGAGGTTCATAACTGCCCATCGACTCAATTTTTGCAAAGATCAATGTGTCAATTAAATAATTAAATTTGTCTGAGTTCTGACTCACACAGTCACACCAACCCAAATAAACCTAATTAAGTTGGCCAATTGGATCACTTGAATCTATTTTAACTTCATTCAATTGATGTGAACCGATGTCAAGTTTAAATCAAATTGACTCATCTTGAGCCAATTTAAATCTGTTCCAATCAAATTTAACGAAACTAAGCTGAACTGAGACTAATCAATCCAAATCGTCTCGCTTTGAGCAATTTAAATCAAGTTAAATCAAATTGAACTCAAATCCGATACAATTTAACTCAAATCGGTTCAGCCAATTTCAAATTTAATCAATTCCATCCCTCCAAATCAAGTCATGTGCATCAAATGGCTTAGAATATCTAAACTACAGCAGCTTGTCTCCTTCCCACTACTTCCTGCAATAGACAGCCATCTCACATGCTTAGGGGGTATAAAATCACATCTCAACCATCCAATGATAATTAATTGGGAGTTGGATTGTCTTTTTCCATCTCCTCCTCTTCTAAATCATTCAAATAGGAACGGGCAAGAACCTGCACTCAGGCGATCTTTCATCGAGCTAGGCAAACATTCATGCATGCATATATGCATGTATGTATGGATATATGCATGCATATTATTATTATTATTATTATTATTATTATATATATATATATATATATATATTAATTTCAAATGAGTTATATTCAGATTCAAGCAAGCTCGAAATCAAGCAGATATGAGCCAAGCAAGCTCAAATCAATTCTTCTGAGCCACAAGCTGATTTTTAGTCATCTTATACAATAACAACAAACCTTTATCCCACTACGTGTGGTTGGCTATATAAATCTTTTTTTCTCCATTATGACATGTTAAGAGTCAAATTCTCATTTAAATCTAATAAAAAATGACACTTCTGAGGTCAACTTATAAAAGTTGAGCCAATTTCAAACCTATACTGGATCAGCTCAAAATCATCTCATTCACATGCCTACTTGCAATCAATCAACCATTTATTCATTATCACAAATGAAACCCTTTATAAAGAAAGCATCCTTAGGCTTGAGTGCAATAACAGCTTCAACATACAAGAAAACAACTAGCATGTAAAGATTAGAACAAATAAATAAAAGGCATACACATCCTAATACATCAAACTTTTTTGTTAAAGCAAAAATAAATAAATGCCAGTCAAGTCATGCCTAAGTCGTGAATGCCCTCAAAGATATTCAACATCAATGACAAACAATGCTCCATCATGTCCATTTTTAATAGATACATTTGGCATACCCTCCCTTATTCTCTTCATATGAACAAAACAAATATCACATTTTTTAACCATATTCCTTTTCAAACTTTAATGAAAAATGAAATGTTTAAACTTCTCAAAACTAATTGGCTTGGCACAAAAATTCTTCCACAATCTATCCAAATATAAAACCAATTTTGATTCTTCAACATAGTGTGATTTATTGATGTAGACGAAATCCAGTGAAAGCGATGTTGAAGCATATCTCCAACTTCCTTGCTCTAGCCATGAACCTCAAATAGAATATGCAAGCATAAAAGGATCTTCATGGAGGATGATGTGCACGAATTAAATTTGCATTTGGAGGGTGTGGCAATGGCCAAGAGATGGGCATAAGATTGGGCTTGGTAGTGAGAATGTAAAGTAGTGAAGGAATGGGACTGGGTGGGGGAGAAGGGAATGGTGGTTGCTTGTCTTGGAAGGAAAGGGGTAGTGGTCTTAGAGGGGAGGGAGAAGGATCTAGAATAAAACCAGGTAAATGAAAAAGAAGAATGGATTACAAAGAGTCGGTGGAAGACGTCAAAAAAGAAATAAAAAGGGTAAGAAAAATAGAGGTGGAGGGAGGCTGTATAAAGCAGCAAAGGGTAAGAGGGATGGGGGAAGGTAGAAAAGGGAAGAGGGAGGAAGAGTAATGTAGAGAGAGCATCATCAAACCTCATCATTGTTATTTCCTAATACATACTAAGGCACCTCTTCTACATAAGAACCATACCATATGATTAAAATACATATACGAAATCAAAGAAAGATCGTCACATCATAAGTGTAAGGCATAATAAAATTGCTACATGAGCTAATCATCCATATTGTGTTCAAGGAATGATTAATTGCTTGTGATGGTTCTGCATCAATTCACCTGAACCAAAAGAAACTCTTCTCTAAAAGGCTTGAAATGGTTTGCCATGATGATGAGGATGTGGAAATGGCTTGTGTGTAGGTCAAAGATATTCCTATCTACTCGATCTCCCCAAGGAAATTGGACTTAAAGCAACCCACTTAATGACAACAACCCCACTCATACCGTCATAAAGTGCTTGAAGACATCAAGAAGATGAAGATCTTCCCATCTCCAAAGGATTGAGGCCAACATTAATTAGCATCAGAGTAAAGTTCTTACACGTAAATGATCTAATTTCCACTATTTTTGAACGCTTTTTACATGCTCTTTGGATTTCTTCTAGATGGTCTCCTCCATACTTTCCTCATGATTGTTACTTCTAAGTTATTGCTACACTATGTCATTGCAAACTCTATACTTAAATCCTACATCATCCTCAATGAGAGAGGAGCTTCATTTTCTACCCACACACCTTCCAATTGATAGAGTAGCATTAACCTGAAACTACAAAAACAAGGCTTAAACCCTCGACATGTTACAGAGGATGGAAGTTATTATCATCAGTCTTTTGGAGATCAGCTTGACTCTTTAAATTGCTGCAAGGGAAATTTATAATTTACCATCTAGACTGTAGGGAGATAAGCACAAACTTAATAGAAAGTTGTTGCATGAGGAAAGTTCTGCATGGTTAAGTTCAATAATATGCATCACGATACAATCAGATTTCAACGAAATGACACCACCATATTTGAGAACCTTGTAAGATCTTCGAGAAATCGTCTGCAATTGGTTTTAGTGGATAGTCAAACTACATATGTAACCTTTTGATCATCAGACGGACCAACCTTTGGGGTATTGAGAGGATCAGTGAACAAAATCTGCCCTTCCTCCCCTATCTCCCACCCAAGTCCCGTGTAAAGGACATGGCGCAGTAAGTCCTCCATTGCATCCCAGTCTTTAATAAAACCCCTTACAACGGGATCTACAGTCACTTCCTCGAAAGCCGATGAATCTTCCATGTCACCCTCCTCCACCACGCACTTCATCTTCGTAGGAATGATCTGGTTCACATCAGAATAGCCAAACCATAGGTGAATGCATGGCAAACAGAACGCTTCAATAACATATTCGAACGAAAAAAAAAATATAGATATTTTAGTAGCTTTCGAGAAGTAAGCAGACAGATTGATCACCATAGCTGGATCTTGATCGGGTGCGGCGAACCCGGCTTTTAGAAGTTTAGATCCCGCATCGACCACCACCGCCTCCATTGGTCGAACAGAAAAATCTTACTTCCCGCGACGGTGAAGCTTGCCGCCAAAACCCTAGATTTCGAACTGTAACTTCATCTCTTCTGCCGATTTCGATCATCAGTCATTTTAGCGTATGACAGTCATTATAATGAAATTTATTTTTCACAATAATAATAGCCAAGGTATTTTCTATTCATAGTTTCATAGTCAATTTTATATACTTAATTGTGAAAAAATTAGCCACAATAAAAATAAATATCATCACAATAGCTTCTACATAAAACATTTCTAAGGTAGCGTCTATTGTGACTTAATAATGGTTGTAATTTTGGCCTCCAAAATATATTATTAATGATTGGGAGCGGATTTAAGATCATCAAAATGTGGTTGAGCACATAAAAGACAAGTGAAGTTGGTGTGTAATTGTGTGACTTTTAGATAAGGCGAGACTTGGGATGGGTGTCCTCCTTGAAAATTACATCAACAAAATAAAATCGTAAAGCCCTAAGGCCAAAGCAGACAATATCTCGATAATTAAGAGTTTGAGCTGTTACAATTGATATCAGAGCAATACACCAACCGGAAGATGATAACTAAGTGTCGTACAAGATAAAGTGTTATGTTGTGAGAGCCACCTCTTTAACCTGGTACGCGACTGTTGGATATTTGTTCCTAGATTTAGGATTGCTTTAGTTTAGGTTTCTTGTATGGCATTGTATAGCCATTTGTGTAGCTATTTGTATAGCTTGTAGGAGCCTATAAATAGGCTTTAGCTTGTTTTAGGCATGGAGGCCAAGAGAAATAGAATTACAGAATTTCTGAGTTTGGCTCTCCTCCCTCCCCTCTCCCTCTCTATCGCTTGCAAGAAATATCTCTGAAGATCTTCCTCCTCAGTTTCAACAATTTGGTATCAGAGCCCTGGTGGCGATCAAGGAAAGAGGAAGGTGTTCTGTCCAAGAAAAGAGAGGAGGTGGTGGCTGCCGGTGCCGCCGACGTGCTTGCTCAAGCGAATCGTGCAAAGCGCGGTGCAAGATCAAGGAAAGAAGGCAGATCGCGTGCAAACGCAGCTGGGACGTCCGACGGGGTTACCGGAGGCGGGATCAGACGGAAGCCAGCTTTGGCATGCGGTTTGTCCGGGTGTTATCGCTGGTTGGATGAAAGCGGGCTAAGCTTAGCAACACGAGCTTGTAACCCGTGTGGGGGAAATTGAGTGCTTTGAATGATTCATCTGATGATCCTTTAGCTGGTTTGTTTATTTGGGCTGCTCAGTTGGCTTGGGCTAGGCACACTAGAGGTTGACGAAGGCGAACAAGAGCGGAGGCATTGAAGCCGTTGAGGTCGGATTTTTTGCTTGATCTTGAATCAAGTTTTGGTTTGGGATTTTATCCCTGTTCTCTGGCATTTTTTCGGTTCCTGCTGTTCTCTTTAAGCTTCTTGTTTTTACTATTAAAGATCTGTTGAAGAAATAAGGTGGAGTTTTGGACTCCGGGTGGAGTCAGGGAGACACTGAGGTGGTGCCGGTTGTTCTTGAGGAGCAGTGTTGAAAGTGCGAAGCGCTTGGAGGTACGAGGTCATGCGGTACATGAGGAGGCTGCATAGGAGCGCGGGGCACTGGTGAAAGACACGCATGGTGCTGGCCGGACGAGGCGGTGTGGAGCGTAGTTTTGTGACGAGCGGAGCGCAGGTGAAGGCGCAGGGCTCGCTGCATGGGTGGATACGTGCAGGATATGGTTGGAGACATACCACATGGGTGCAAGGCACGGGCTTGAGGCGTATGACGCGAGCTAGAGGCGCAGGGCTCGAGCACGATGCGCAGGGTGCAGGTAGATGCATAGGGCGTGGAAGCCAGGAAAGGGGTGCTCGGGAATTGGCTATGTTGGACGCAGTGCAACAGGTGAAGATCTGTCGGGAGGTGGAGCTAGAAACTCAAGAAGATGGTTGATCAGTTCTTGAGAAACTTTTAACTATCGGTGGAAGCTTTTGGTGGAGGAGACCGACAAGATTGTTCTTTAATAACAGTGGTTATCTTTTGTTTTGTAAATCTATGACCAAGATGGAGATTGTTGGATATTTGTTCCTAGATTTAAGATTGCTTTAGTTTAGGTTTCTTGTATGGCATAGTATAGCCATTTGTGTAGCTATTTGTATAGCTTGTAGGAGCCTGTAAATAGGCTTTAGTTTGTTTTAGGCATGGAGGCCAAGAGAAATAGAATTACAGAATTTCTGAGTTTGGCTCTCCTCCCTCCCCTCTCCCTCTCTATCTCTTGCAATAAAGATCTCTCAAGATCTTCCTCCTTAGTTTCAACAACCACAAAGTGCTGTATGATGGGAGTCATCACTTGAACTTATGGGGGTCACCTCTAAAATCTTATTTGCCTTGTAGATGATTCAGGGATAAAGATACTGACGAGGAAGTCTGTTACTCAAGTTAAGGAGATTGTGAGTTCCCTTTAGTAAAAGAAACTAAATTCTTAAATAAGACAAATCCGTGAGGTACTTAAGCTAAAGCGGACAATATCTCGATAGTTAAGAGTTTGGGCTATTATAAATTGTATCAGAATAATGCATTTGAAATTTTTAGTAGCTCTGGTCTGTTTTGTATAATATTTGGAAGATTCAGTTCAGTAAGCAAATTCCAAAGCCAGATTCTGGTTAGTTCGTTAAGCTGGTCGCGGCCCGATGCGGGGCGGGATCCGTCTCGGGTCGGGTCGTGACATATGGGCACTAAGTGTCAATACAAGACCAAGTGCTATGCCATTGGAGCCACCTCTTGAACCCTATATGGGATAAAGTGCTACGTGGTGGGAGTCACCATTTGAACTTGATAGGGCCATGTGAAACCATTTAAGTAAAACAATATAAACTCTTAAACATTGAGACACCTTTTGATGTAATGATTGGAATTTTATCAAGAAACTCTGCAATTAAATGTGCTCATCCAAGAGAAATCATGGGATGGATGACATCCTGGGAAATTACATCAACATGATAATATCGTGATGCCCTTTGGCCAAATCAGACAATATACCAATAGTTGTGAGTTTGAGCTATTACTATTGGTATTAGAGCAATATACTAGTTAGAATATGAGAACTAAGTGTTTACAAGATAAATACTTCATCATTTGAGCCACCTATTTGAACCTTGTATGGGATAAAGTGTTACATGATGAGAGTCTCCACTTGAACTTGGAGGGGCCACCTCTAAAATTTTATTTGTCTGCTGGATGATTCTGGGATAGGAATACTAACGAGGATGTTAGTTACTTAAGTAATTGTAAAATTTTTTAAGTAAAAGATGCTAAACTCTTAAACATCAAGGTATGCTTTGGTGTGATGGTTGAAATGTCATTAAGAAATTATGTAGTTAAGTGTGATCATCCCAGATAAATCAGGGGATGGGTGACCTCCTAGGAAATTGCACTAACATGAAAAATATGTGAGCCCTTAGGCCAAAGCGGACAATATATCGATAGTTAGGAGTTTGGGTTGTTACAGGATAATGGTAGCCTACATCAAGTGAATAATTTTTATGATATGACCAACTAACAAAAACTACGAACTCCAAATCCTAAATTTTATTTTATCTCTCCTCTCTTTTCTACCTATTTTCCTCTTTTTTATACATTATTAAATGAATTTGGGATGGAAGGGCGTATGATATATTATGTATTGGGATAAGATATTTAAGAATAAAATATGTAAGGATAAAAATGTACTTATTTAAAAATTTTAACATTATTTTTTATAAATTATTTATATCTTTAAATTTCAAGCTCTAAAAATTATAAAAAAGCATTATAAAATAGCCTAACATGTTTAAAAACTTTACTGAAATTGATTTATAAAATGGACACTTAACAGCCCCAAAAAATCTACTTGTACCGACATGTATTAATTTTTCAAACTGCCCCTAAAATTTAGAACAAATATTCTAATTAAAACACAATAATGTCTATCTTTTGATGAATATATATTTCAAATTTGAATTATAATGACTCCAAAAAAATTATTTGAGTTGATCAAAATATGAGCTATTACACATATGAGTTCATTAACATAAGTCAGACATTCATATACATACAAAATATTCACAAACACTTGAAAATTTGAAATGCATAGAATTTAAGCATGTAGAACTTACCAGACCTAGTTCAAACTAGACTAGAGCATGTTTGGGTTGAAAGTTTGAAAAGAAGATTTTGAAAATTTTAGTTTTCTCTGATAATTTTAATTTGGGATTTCAGTCTCAAAATCAAAACATGTCACTATGAATAATATATTATCCTGAGAGGTAAATATATCACTCCTTAATGAGTTCAGAACAATAAAACTGAAAATTTCATCCCTATTATAGAAATCAAATCTAAGAAAGAACTATGCATGCCCCGAATAGTCAAAATAGTGTTCTAACTATATTTAACTCTTATAACCTGAATGAAACATCATTATCTTTGTATTCAAAGTCATAACAATAGTTGATATATCTTTTCAAGAGAAAAAGATATCACATATTATCGATCGATCGAATATGATGATAATGATCGTCGTCGATTCAATTTTCTCAAAGAAGGCTAATTCACTTTTAAAAATTAATATTTAAATAGTAGATGTGGGTTCTAAATGTTCTATGAGTGCAAGCCCTCATAATTAATTATATCGTGGGAAATTCATAGTATCATACGCAAATTTTTAATTAGAATAAGAATAGAATTTTTATTTAGAAATTTTATATGAGTGATGTCAAAGGAGGTGAACTTGAAATTTGAACATGTATTATATCAAAATTTGAACACTTTTTTTCGGAGTCAACATACGACCAGGGGGGAGGGGAGACACTTTGGGATTTTGAAATAATTCAAAAGTGTCCCAACCTAACCTAGGTGTTGGGCTTTAAGTTTTGGATTGAGAAAATCTTTAATTTTAGTTAATTGTTTTATTATAAATTTTGTATTATATTCCTGGAAATTGAGGCCTTAAGGCCTAGATTTTCCTTAGAACCTTAATCTAGATTGGGCACTAGACAACAATGACCCAAACCTAGTTAATGCAATATAAAATATAGTCTTACTCCCGTCTGGATTGGGGAGCCAGCTAACTACATAGTCAATTAAAATTCATGAGTCTGAATATTTTTATGAAAGAGTGGTGGGGACATTGTTGTTAAAGTTTTTTATAATTGGGACTAATGTCTAAAGCATGTTCTAGTTGGTCCATTTACTTGAGTTGGGTGACTATGCTTGAAATAAATATAATTATAATTTTAAACTATTTTTAAATTGATTTCTAGAGCAATGCATGTTAATTGACTCAATAAAATGTATAAATTGATATGTAAAAATTTAAAAACACTTTAAAAAAGTTTTTTCCCTAAAGATTGTGTAACATCCCATTAATAGGACTGCACCTTAATATGTTAGGTGGTCGGCAATAACTCACAGGTGGGGAGGTGCCTAACAAGGAACAAAAGTAAATTAATATGATTATGCAGACTCTCAGTGGTCCTAAGCTTACATCTTAGATAATTAGAGTTTCTATATTAGCCTAAATTTTTTAATTAATTTAATTAGAAAATATTTTTAGCTTATCTTCTTGAGCCTCCGGTCTTATCTAGGCTAAATCAAAACTCAACATACAAATCATAAAAAAATAAGAAAAATAGGCAGTCCTAATCACAATCAAATTAAAATAATCATATCAATCAATTAAATTAATTAATTAAATGTTCATAGGCAAATCACATGTTTATTACAACATATAATTTACATAATTTAAAAGTGATCATACACCACTAACAACAAACTCATATTATAATCTTAGGACAAACATAAGTAATTAACTTTTACTGTGATACTCTCTGTCTTCAACTCTTCGTCCTTCTCCTCTTTTGGGCTCATTGGATTTGTCATATCTGGATACCCAAATTTAGGCTTTCAAATGGAAAAGTACTCTCCCCAAAGGTATGTTATTTCCTATTTGGAATTCAACTTTGAATTTTTGTATCCCAACTCAAAGCTCGACTTTTATAAATTTATTACAACTCAGTTTAATTGTATTGAATAAAAAAAGAAAAGAAAATATAGGCTCTTCTACAATATTATCATAAGCTGTTAAAAATAAAATATATCCCAAATAGTTTATATATTTATATTGAATTAAATCCCAATCACACATGGACACTCTTTTGATTTTAAGGGGGACTTGAGCAAATTTAGCACATGCATAAAAATATGTCAATTAAATTATTAATTTTACCCCTTAATTTTATCCATATATTAGCGTGGTCACCTATAAAAAACTTAGTGAACAACCATATTATTTTTAACCTAAGGGCAATCTACCACCCATTACATTAATTCACATATCGTAGTTAAAGTAAGTAAATGCTCACATCAATCAATTTTCAATCACAACATGCAATAAGAACTAAAAAAATCTGGCACACAACAGTAAAAAGTAAATACCAGCCTAACTTATATAGTAGGTAGTACTAACAAACTATCATAAACTGTGATTTGAATATATCCTAAACTAGGAAATTATTAAAGTTATATAGTATTCAGATTTATTAAAAGTCAAGGGGGGAAATTTATATTTTAGTTTAAATATTAATGTATTGAAGCTTAATTCCGATGTATTTTAATTGTTAAATGATTACTACCTTTTGTTGCTCACCAGAGCTATGAAATTTATTTCACATTCTTTGAGGTAAATATTAATCAATTAATTAATTACTGATTTGAATGATTAAATTAGAATTTTCTAAAATTTTAAATAAATTATTGGATTTTTAGATTTTTTGAATTATTTAATTACATTAATTGAGGGGCCAAATGTTGACTTTTTAAAATGAAAGTGGTTTCTAAAATTTTAATATTTTTCTTAACTATTAGACCTTAAGATGAGTAATTAAACTCTAAGTTTGCTCAATTTAAAAATTTCTATATTAAGTTATGATTTTTCTAAGTTTTGACCTAGTTTGAATTACGATTGACCAGAAAGTTTACTTTTTCACTTTGACTTATTTTTGAAAGTTTGACATTTTTAGAAAATACTAGATTTTAATTAAATTTGAATCTTTTAAGTTTGATTGAATTGAATTTTTCTGAAATTAATGGTAATTTTTCAAAGTTTGGATTTTTTTGGATTTTTTTAAATTGTTTAATTAGAGGGGATCCTTAGATTTTGATCCAAATTAATTCCAAACCTCTTGAAATCACCCCAAAGGTCAGAAATGACCTAAGGGGATGTTTTCAAGTATTTATAAATTATTTTAGAATTTTTAAATATTTTTAATTAATTAACTTAATTAATTGTGGATTTTACTAAATTAAATTAATATTAAGTTAAAGGTCTGATAATAGGGCTTTTAATATTTCTCAATTGAGGGTTTAATTGTGAATATTTTGATATACTATTGAAAATATTTTGATTAAAATTGAATATATTATGAATTTTTGAAGTTCTAAGCTTAATTAAGGGTTGATTTTGGGGTTAATTAAACTTCTTAGCTTAATGGCTTCTAATATCAGTAAACTCTTAAACTAAAATAGATAATGTCACTATGTTCAAATGTTATGAGTCTCACCCCTATTGGATATGCATCCAAATTTCTATAATTCCTTAAAATCCTAAATCTCATCTTTAATTGTTGTCCATAATTGTATATAAGTTGTATGTGTTTATAAACCAACATCACTAACCCTCAAAGCACATCATGAACATCCACACCATGCAAATTTACAAAGATCATGTGACCTACATCTAAGCGCATTGAAGAAAATGGATTTTTCCAATACTTAAGTCAAATCATAACCCAAGCATTGCGAAATCTACCTACAAAAAGGACTTGATTAGGAGAGCTCTAAGTGAGCTTTTGAGTTTAAATGGGAGCTTATGACCAGCTCACTCAGAGGAGGGAGAGAATTTGAAAAAGTTTGATCATTTGAATAAGTTTTAGAGTTGGTTGACTTCTTTGACCAGTCAAGGAGGTTGAGGTGGCAAGGAAGGAATGTGAGAAGTTGTTTGAATGACATTTAAGGCTTTGGGAGAAAGCATTTGGAGCTTATAGGAGAAGTTGACCATTTGAGAGAGGATCAAATGGCTTGTTGACTGGTTTTGACCAGTCAACCAAGTCATGGTTGCTAATGTGGCAGCTAAGGAAGGTAGAGGGCTTGTTTCGAGCAAATATAGGATGAACTAATGAACAGTCCGGAGCACGTAATAATCTCTCGTCTTTAAGGTCCGTCATCCGTTAGATTTATCCTTTATCTCTGTAACCCTCGAGAGAGATTTTCCCGCAATGCGCCAGCCTACGAGAGCGAGTACAGGCTCTTGCGTCACATATATGGCTCTCTCTATCAAGTAGCTTATCTCCAGTGCCCATTGCAGCCTCTGCAACTAGAGGGCCATTGCCATGGCGGCCAAGTTTCAGCCTTTAACGCTCTGCCTTTCTTACCCAAGCTCTAATCATACGCCTATGTTTCAGACGCCTTTTTCTTTTCCCTGCATAAAGCGGGGACCTGCACTTAGCTCTTCAAAGAAATCAATTAAATGCACAACGCTTCGATCCTCCAAGCGAACGGGGAAGCGAAGGTACCCCTCCGAGAAGAAGAAGCTCGAGAGGATGAATAAAACTCTAACACAAACGGAAATCAAGATAAAGGAGGAGGGCTTTTGGAGATTCTCTAAGCTCGCCATCCCCGTCCACAAGGATCCCGGCAAGGACTTCGTCGGCGTTTCTCTCCCTCTTCTTGAATCAATCTCCAAGGCCCTCGAGTTCCCGGTAATCATTATCTCACAACTTGCTTTCTTTATTTTTGTAATTAATAATGTATACTTGCAAAATCGTTCTTGTGTATTTCCTCTTGCCTTAATTGTCTAACTTAGAATTTATTGCTCTAGGTGGCCTCAATGCTGCCAATGGAAGCTTTTACAGTCGTTCGGAAGTCTTTTGATGCAAGGAAGGTAATTTCTGTTCAGTTATTAAGAGATATTTGTCCCATTAGTCTGTAAAAGTCTTCCATCTAAATGTAATGGTTGCATACTTGCATCTACGAAGTCTGGGAAAATTAGGTTATTAATTTGCTGTCTATGTATTTGAATTCTGTTGCTAGATTTTTACAGTCAAAGCTTATTGAAATCCATTTCTGGCTATCATGTGCTAGAATATGCATTTGAGATGTTTCATAAAAACAAAACTGGAACAGGAATATAGCATTATCACGAACTTTACATGTTTTTTCTGTTTCATATAAAGAATCGTTTGATGAAATTGTTTGATTCCTAACCAAACGCTTAATCTTATTACTGTTGTTCCAACTATGATCAATGTTGCTTTATGTTGCATGTAATGCTCCTTTATCCTTATATACTTTTCACAGTTTGTTTGCTTCTGGTGTATTATTTATTGCAGCTAATTCATGTAATTTTAATATCATCTTGCCTCTGAAGATTTTTGATTGTCTTGAAGGAAAAATGAAGTCCAAGTACAGCTAGAAAAATATTTAAAATTTTCTTATGTGGATCAATCTAGCTAGAGAACTTCCTTTGTACGTACAAACAAAGTAAAAATTATGGTTTTACAATTTGTACCTTTGTGATTCATGCATGTGAGAAAAATTACCTGTTTGAAGTAGTTGATTAGTTAACAGTGAGTATGTGGATTTCATACACCGTCAGTGCTAAGTTGTTCTTCCTTATGTGTTGTTCATGACTCAGCTTTGGAATTAGAAGGTCCGGAATCCTCATCTCATGTGTGCTTATATCTTTTTCCTGAATTACAGCAATTTGCACCCTTTTGTTTGACACTTGCTGCAGTTGTTGAAGGAACCTCAGTTTGTTTACACCGTGGACATGGATGTCAAGAAACTTTTGAATCTGGAGCCTCGAGCATCGGATTTCATTTCACGATTGGAGCCAAAACTTGGGTCTATAGAATATATGCCATCCAGAAAAGTCCTTGCTGATTTAATTAGCATTGTACATAATTTGGTAGACAACCAACATGGTACCAAACAGGAGGAAGCAAGGGATGGCATTCACAATAAGTCTTTTAACCGTTCCTCGATCGCTAAACGGCCAAAAGTTGCTGTTGTGGGAAGTGGACCGTCTGGCTTATTCGCTTCCCTTGTCCTTAGTGAGCTTGGAGCAGATGTCACTTTGATAGAAAGGGGTCAAGCTGTTGAACAAAGAGGGCATGATATTGGTGCCTTAGTAGTTCGAAGAGCTCTGCAACCTGAAAGCAACTTCTGCTTTGGCGAGGTGTGTTTATTTCTTACTTACAGTGTCAGCTTATATTTGATTGATAGTCACTTATTCTCTTCTAAGAATATTTTCTTGGGATTTCGTAGCAATGCTGAGTAATCTGGTTCTTCTACCTGGCATAACTTGCTAAAGTGTGTTATAGCCACATGCTGAGGCTTTTTTTTTTTTCAGTATTTGTTTTTTAGCCTTAATACAAAATCCCAACTGAAAAACGGCTGTTTCTGGTCAATTTGGAGTTTCTAGTAGAATCAAAGTTGATTATTTATGAATATTTTAGAATTAGGTTTGTCTACTCTGTTCGAAATTTACCAATGAGAACTTTTGCTGATATAAAATTTTACTTTTGCAAGGTAGAAGCAGAAGTTTTTATTTTATTTTATTTTGATCGATAATCTTTGAGGTGATTTTATATTTTAGGAAAGATAAAAACTTAAAACTGTTGTTTATTTTATTCATTATTTTCTTTTCATGTACATCAACTAATATAACTAAAATACCTAAATTTCTTGAATCCTATTACTCATTAAAATTTTTTTTTCACAATACTACTTAGTTTTCTTAAATATTACTTAGTTATCTTAATCAGCTTTTATTTTATTAGTTATCTTGTGAAGCAGCTTGCAGCTTTCTGTTAGTTTTGTTGCTGCTCCACTTCCCTGTTTTTCTATTTTTAGTCGTTTGGGACCTGCTGCTGCAATAGTGCAGTTTACATTTGTAGCTAAGAGCCAGTTTTGGTCTCTTGGATGCTTGTTTATCTTCTCCAGGTTTGGGATGAAGAAGGTATTCAATGAAATAGTTTCTCAGGCCTTTGCCTTAGCACTCGTATTGTCCTCCTGTGGAGTTTTAAGCTTTGTGAACCTGCTTCTTCCACCGTATACCCCATCAGTTTGGTATCAGAGCCGGAGGCTCGGAGAGATGGCAGAGTCCAGCAAGCGTGTGACGAGTGAGGATGACCGAAGTCTGGAGGCGCTTTGGGCCGCACACGCTGGAGTAGAAAAACGATTGGATGATTTGGCAGTGGCGATAGAACGACTCACTATCGCATTTCGCCGAGATCCACCTATCCGAGCCGGTGAAGTTCCCGTGCAGGCGGGAAGACCATTGGCCCCTGTTCAGACACCAGTCGGCGGAGGACGAGCCTATCGGAACAGAGGGCGTCGTCGTGCTACACTAATTCCAGATTGGTCGGAGACCGAAGAAGAACCTGACAGTTTCATTCCGGAAGACTTGTCGGACACCGACGTTGATGCCTTCGAGCGACGACCCCGGCGTCACTTGGGACGTGAACGACATCACGGTGAGTTTCGCGTAAAACTTGATATTCCCTTCTTCGATGGCAGGTTACACATCGAAGATTATCTCGACTGGGAACGCTCTGTGGAGAACTTTTTCGATTATATGGAGATCGAAGCTGAGAAACAGGTGAAGTATGTGGCCTGTCGACTCAAGGGTGGCGCGAGCGCCTGGTGGACTCAACTGCTGCAAACTCGACGACGAGAGGGAAGGGGTCCAGTTCGGAATTGGATGCGAATGAAACAGTTGCTGCGGTCACACTTCCTCCCAACTGATTTTGAACAAATGCTTTATTTGAAGTATCAACACTGTGTACAAGGGTAGCGCACTGTTAGCGATTACACCGAGGAATTTTACCGTTTGTCCGCGCGCAATGATTTAAACGAGACTACCAATCAGCTGGTAGCGCGATATATCGGCAGATTGAAAGATAGCATTCAAGACAAGTTGGAATTGAACTCGGTTTGGTCGTTATCACAAGCTGTTAATTTTGCATTGAAAGCCGAGATTCAGCTTACCCGACAACTTCGAAGTCAGTCACATAGACGTCTTGCAATGGAACCGAATGATGAAGTTGCCAAACAACAGACCCCTGTTTTCCGCAAAACATCCCCGTTGAATGATGGTGCCGGATTAATACCGTCTGGAAAGGCGAACACTGATCCTAAGACCTTCAACAAGCCGAAATTCCCTCTTAAAGAAAATCCTTATCCACGGCCGCAGGGACTTAAGTGTTTTCGGTGCTTCCAACCTGGGCATAAGTCAAACGAGTGCCCAAATCGACAGCAACTACAATTACTGGATGGAGAAGGGGAACTTGACCCTGAGCAACTGGAAGAAGAGGAAAATGTTGATGTGGAAGATGTTGTCGGCGATGAAGGGGACCCGCTGATATGTGTGTTGGAGAAACTTCTCTTAGTCCCAAGACAACAAGGAGATTCTCAGCGACATGCCATTTTTAAAACCAAATGTACCATTGGCGGCAAAGTTTGTGATTTACTCATCGACAGCGGTTGCACGGAAAATGTCATTTCGCGGGCTGTTGTTCAAGCTTTGCAACTCAAGACTACAAAGAACCCGCATCCCTACAAGATCGGATGGGTTAAGAAAGGAATGGAGATCTTAGTGACAGATATGTGCCGGGTACAATTCTCGATTGGGAAACATTATAGCTGCGAAGTGTTGTGTGATGTGGTGGAGATGGACGTGAGTCATTTAATTCTTGGTCGCCCATGGCAGTTCGATGTTGGTGCTGTATACGATGGCCGAGCCAATACGTATGCACTAGACTGGAAAGGTAAGCGGCTTCGATTGTTACCACATGCTGCGGGTGTAAAAGGTTCTCCTGATAATGTTCGGCCAGCATTGCATTTGGTCTCGGGCAACTCCTTACTAACTCATTGGAAGGAGGAAGTGCCCCTGTTCGCCTTGGTGATTAAGGAAGAGGCTGCCGATAGCACAACTGGAAGTGTTCAGCCCGCCCTCGAGTCTCTGCTGAAACAGTTCCACGATGTTCTGACTGAATCTTCAACTCCCTCATTACCGCCTTTGAGGACTATACAGCATCAAATTGATTTTGTTCCAGGTTCTACACTGCCAAACCTTCCACATCATCGCTTAAGTTCGAAAGAGCATCAAATTCTCCAACAGCTAGTTGATGAGTTGCTGAAAAATAACTTGATCCAACCCAGTCTCAGTCCGTGCGCTGTACCCGCACTCTTGGTTCCCGAGAAGGATGGAAGTTGGCGATTATGCGTGGACAGCAGAGCCATTAACAAAATCACTGTGAAGTTTCGGTTTCCTGTACCGCGGATTGAAGAACTGTTGGAGAAGTTAGCAGGAGCCTCTATTTTCTCAAAACTGGATCTCCGTAGCGGTTACCACCAAATTTGCATCCGACCGGGTGACGAGTGGAAGACGGCCTTCAAGACTCGACATGGGTTATACGAGTGGAAGGTGATGCCATTCGGATTGTGTAACGCACCTTCGACTTTCCTTCGGTTAATGAATGAAGTCTTAAAGCCATTCCTCAACGTTTCCTGCGTTGCATATTTCGACGACATACTCGTATTTAGTCCATCACTGACCGAACATCTGCGGCATTTGACAGAAATCCTTCTTGTACTTCGGGAGAATCAGTTATTTTTGAACCCAACTGCAGGAGTTCAAGTTGACACTCGCAAGGTGCAAGCTATACAGAATTGGCCAACGCCCAGCTCATTCACGGAAGTCCGCAGCTTTCATGGTCTTGCGAACTTTTATCGCCGGTTTATCAAAAATTTCAGTTCAGTTATGGCTCCCATTACCGATTGCTTGAAACTCAAACAGTTTCATTGGGGGCAGCGCTCAGATTGATAGCTTTGCTGCCATAAAGGAAGCCTTATCATCATCACCGGTGTTGGTCTTACCCAACTTCGATAAGCCATTCCAAGTGGATACGGATGCTTCCGGGGTGGGAATCGGAGCTGTCTTAAGCCAGGAAAACAAGCCGGTAGAGTTCTTCAGCGAAAAACTATGCCCATCGAGACAAAAATGGAGTGTTTATGAACAAGAACTATATGCGATGGTGCGGGCCTTGAAGCAGTGGGAATCCTACTTGCTCCATTCGGAATTCGTCCTGTGCAGTGACCACCGAGCGCTGCAATTCATAAATCAACAAAAGCGCATTAACAGGATGCATGCCCGCTGTATTTTATTTCTTCAACGGTTCACCTTTGTGTTACAGCACAAATCGGGTGCAAACAACAAGGTTGCGGACGCCTTGAGCCGGAGACCATCGCTGCTTGTACAACTGCAAACCGAAATTACAGGCTTAGAATGTTTAAAAGAGCTTTATGCCACTGATGCAGATTTCTCAAAATTTGGGAAGAATGTTCAAATGGGAGTGCTTCACGAGAGTTTGCTGTCAGACATGGATTCCTTTTTCGTCATACACAGCTTTGCATTCCAGAGTCCTCGTGGAGGCCGCAGCTCATCAAAGAGGTTCATTGTGGGGGACTCGCTGCTCATGTGGGGCGGAACAACACGTATCTACAGCTGCGAAGTAGATTCTTTTGGCCACATTTGCACAGGGATGTGATGAGATTTGTTGAACGGTGCCCCATTTGCCAAAGCTATAAAACCGGTGGACAGTTAAGTGGTTTGTATCTGCCGTTGCCTACGCCTACCACTATTTGGGAAGATTTAAGTCTTGATTTCGTATTGGGATTACCGCGTACTCGGCGTGGACATGACTCGATCATGGTGGTGGTTGATCGTTCTTCCAAGATGGCCCATTTCATTGCTTGCAAGAAGACATTCGATGCCTTAAATGTCTCACGTGTTTTTTTTTCGGAGGTGGTTCGTCTACACGGCGTTCCCCGAAGTTTAACATCCGATCGTGATGTTAAATTCATTAGCAATTTCTGGAAGGAGTTATGGGCAAGACTACACACTGAAATCAAACTAAGCACAGCGTATCACCCTCAGACGGATGGACAAACCGAAGTGGTGAATCGGACACTTGGTAATCTCCTACGCTGTCTTGTGCAAGACCACCCGAAATTGTGGGATGAACTCTTGGGGCAAGCCGAATTCGCTTACAATAGCATGACCAATCGATCCACAGGGAAAAGTCCCTTTAGCGTGGTTTATACCAAGCACCCGAATCACACTGTTGACGTGGCTGTGCTTCCGCAGTGTAACAGCAAGCCAGCCGCTGACTTTGCTGAACAATTCACTCAGATGATTCAAGAGGTGCGGCAGAAACTTGAAGAATCCAACTTGAAGTATAAGGAGGCAGCAGACAAGCACCGCAAGAAGAGAGAGTTCAAGGTGGGAGACCTGGTTATGATTCGTGTAAGGCGTGATCGCTTTGGCCACGGGTCTTACTCCAAATTAAGCCCACGGAAGATTGGACCGTTCTCAATTCTTAGACAGATAAATCCAAACGCCTATGTTGTGGATTTACCCAGCCATTACAATACGTCCAACACGTTCAATATAGGAGACCTCTCAGCATACCACCCACCGGATGCGGCTCCCACGAATCTTTCATCTTTAGATTCAGATTCTTCAGTTAGTGGGGGAGAATGATGCGGTGCATCACGTCACCGAGTAGCCTATTAAGCTTATACTACTTAGTTTTCTTAAATACTACTTAGTTACCTTAATTAGCTTTTATTTTATTAAGTCATTTTGTGAAGCAGCTTGCAGCTTTCTGTTAGTTTTGTTGCTGCTCCACTTCCCTGTTTTTCTATTTTTAGTCGTTTGGGACCTGCTGCTGCAATAGTGCAGTTTACATTTGTAGCTAAGAGCCAGTTTTGGTCTCTTGGATGCTTGTTTATCTTCTCCAGGTTTGGGATGAAGAAGGTATTCAATGAAATAGTTTCTCAGGCCTTTGCCTTAGCATTCGTATTGTCCTCCTGTGGAGTTTTAAGCTTTGTGAACCTGCTTCTTCCACCGTATACCCCATCACAGAAGTTTTTATTTTATTTTATTTTGATCTATAATCTTTGAGGTGATTTTATCTTTTAGGAAAGATAAAAACTTAAAACTGTTGTTTATTTTATTCATTATTTTCTTTTAATGTACATCAACTAATATAACTAAAATACCTAAATTTCTTGAATCCTATTAGTCATTAAAATTTTTTGTGCAAGTGGTAAGCTTATGTATTCTCCTCTTATGCTTTCCAAATAGGGTTAACCGGGGACTTCTTATGTACAGATTTTTTATAGCTTAATACTGATTTGGCATGATTATAGAAGTACGTGGCTTGATACATCATGTTCTTTTGAAGGCTTTGTTCAAACATTTTTGCTATTTAGTTGGGTCTTAAGCTCAGCTTAAGTCAACTTGAGCCCAAACAAATAGCAATTTTTAACTCTTCTAAACTAGAAAAGCTTAAGCCCAGCTCTTCCTATAAGCAGGCCAGCTTAACATTTTTTCCTCCATTTTTGCATTGGGCCTTCGTCACTGCGTTCACCTTGTTGCTTCATGCGATCACAATCCTTTTTCTTCCCTGCAAACTTATTTGACCATTTGTCCCAATGTGCGTCTCCGCAGTTATCTTGTGTCTTGTTGATACTATAGTTTTTGTGAATGTTGTAGTCAACATCATACTTGATGTGACAATTGTTGATATTAGGCTCAAAGTAGTTGTTATAATGGTTGTTTATGATACAATTACTCTTGTTGCGTGCTAGAAATTTGATTTGGTAGAATATATGTTTTACGTCTGAGCGTGGTACAAAAATTTAGCATGTATAGATGAAAGTATTAATGGCACAATTTTTTTTTTACGTGAAAAACTTGTAAAGGGAAAGAACCATGGGGCCTGACCCGGTTTTAAAATCCACTAGATAATAAGTGATACAAAGATCTTCCTTTCTTCATTGTTGAGGAAGAGGAATAGTAAAAAAATCAAGTTTGATAGTTAATACTCAATAATAGAGTCTGATTTCTCCAATAGTGATTATAGATGTCCACAAATAGACTTTTATACTCAACAACAGGGTTTGATTTTTCCAATAGAATTTACAGATGTACATAGATGGACTTTTATACCCAGCAACATTATTAAATATTGTTAATACTTTGGAGATGGTAGAAATTTCTGATGTCGGTCCTCGATGATGATGGTGGTTGTTGGCGACAATAGTTGGTGGTGGTTGATGACAATATCTAGTTATGGTCGTTAGCAATAGCGGGTTATGATCGTCAGTGGCGATGGTTAGAAAATGCAAGAACGTTCTTTCTAGTTCTCTTTTTCTTTTTTACCCCCACATGTGAAGAATGGGGCCTATTTAGAGATTTTTTTCCCCACACTTATTGGCTAATTAACTTAAAAACTAATTAATACAGCTAATTCCTACTCAAGCTTGAGGTCCCTTTGCGATCTCTTTTATTTTTATTTTTAGTTTAAGTTTCTTTTAAAATTTGTTTATTTCTAATATAAAATAAAAGCTATCAAATAAAAACCAGTCACTTGTCCCAGTTTCTTCTTAAACAGAAGCACCTAATGACCCTGTCTTCTTAAGTGGACTTTGACTTCACTATCCAGTTTTTGCTTCTTCGTATTTATACAATTAGATCACAACCCCTTCAAACATGGCACGAGAGAGAGCGTCTATTGGAGTCGAGTCAAGCCGATAGATCCAAAATCGACATGTTCGTCCGCAACAAATTTGATTCCTACCAAGTCGCGAACAGTGACAATTGGATTGATGAGGTGTTGTTCGTGATGCATGAGTGTGGCGAGAGCACATACAAGATGGTGGATAATCCATACTTGTTCAATCTTGCAAGCGAGGAATGCTTGGAGTTCCTTGACAAGCACATCGCTTGGCTCGGCGGAGTTGGGCATGGTTTGATGAAAAAAAAAATTCAATTATTAAAAACACCTCAAATTTATTCTTGGTGTTTTTTAAACAAAGCAAATTATTTTAAAAAAAATATATAAATCATCTCATCTTTTCCTCCAGACAACTTTTGAGCTTATGTTCTTTCCTTATGGCTTAATCCTGCAATCTTCTCCTTTAGCTTGCCGTTGCTTAACTTATCCAAAGCCCCAACCAAACAGACCCAAGTTCTTTATATGAGATTCAGTTGTAATTTTCTTATTTCCTCTTTTTCATCTAACGTAAAAAAGACTTGTGCCTGTGTTAATTTCTCATCACAAGTGCTCTAGCTATTAAAGTCGAGTTGTCTAAGTGGATTAGTTCCTAAAGTGATTGAAAAATACCAAATTAGTTGTGTTTTCTTGAGGAATTCCATGTTCTACTTACCATCATTTGATTTGCACTTAATATATTTTTTCACCAATTATTCTCTCTTCTATTCTCTGATTCCTTGCATTTTGCAATCCATCTCACTTCTTTTTATGATATAATCCTTCTATTAATGTTTATGTCAAGATATTTCACATAATGATTGTTGTTTTCCTGTTTATATATTGAAATGTAATTACTTATGAGATTTTTTATTTTTTATTTTTATAATTGTGACTTCGATTCGCTAATCTGGAAGCATATTCAGAATTAATGCTGTATTGTACGTTGAAGGTACTTATCCACTGCAGGGTGGTGCAGGTACATGGAGTGATGGGAAGTTGGTTACCAGAATAGGGAGGAACAGTGACAGTGTTTTGACTGTAAGATTTTCTTTTGTTTTTTATAATTGGATAATAATTTGTAAACCTTATGCATTTAGAGATTTTTTTTGCTCATAATTACATATTGTATTAAGCTGTGTTGTTTATCTTTTAGTGTTTGCAGGTTGTGCAAAGAGAAGCTACTAAATTCATTGATTGAAAGTTTTGATTTCGATTTTTCTTCTATTATAGGCAGGTGGAGAGGGTTCATTATCTGCATTTGACCAATTAGTTGTTTATAAATAATTGGCTTCTCATCTTAATGGTTTATTTTTCTTGTTTCATACTTTTTGATCATTATGTTCCATGTTCCAATATAGTATTTTATAAGTGATTGTAAGGCCATAACGTTTGCTAGCACCTCATTTCAATAAGAGCGGCTCTTTTAGTATATATGGGTGCACGAGGAGTAGGACAAAAATTGATCCAAGACTAATTAGATGTGTATAGCTTGTTAGCCTATGAGGCTTATGCAAAAATAGATTATATCAACAATGAAATATGAAATGTATGTGCTTTCTTTTTTTACTTGTCTTTTCGAACTTTGTTTCTATGAGAAATTGCTGCCATTGAATAACTCATAATGAGTTATGCTAAAGATTAAGATGAGACATGTCCGAAACGATCAAGAGGCCAATTATATAACCATTAAAGAATAGATCATAATGAGATATGCTGACGATTAAGCTAAGTCATGCCTGAACAATCAAGAGGTCAATTATACTTATATAACAATTTGATAAACATTAGGGGGGGAGGAGCCCATTATCATGATTTTAGGCATCTTGACGTGGTCTTATCGATAAAGTTAATGCCTCAACCATGGCATGTTGGCAGTCTTGTTGGGATGAAGTTACATGATAAACATCTATTTAGTGCGATAGATAGTTATTTCCTAATCTAATGAAGTCACATGAGAAATATCTATTTAGGATAATCCTCGTCAGGGTTAATGAGGTTGAGCCCCATCTCAAAAGTCTAATAAGGACTTTTGAGTCATTCAATGTGTTCCTAACTTACCACTTGATGGTTTGCATATTTATAGTATAGTCAGGAACTAAAATAAGTGAAATTAAATAACATTCCACTATAATTACAGCTTTCTATTCTCAACGTACTTGGCATGGAAGACTGGGTGTGTTAATTTTGCCCAAAGTGTCTGCTAAGATGGCACCCTAACAAACATGGTTGGCCGAGCATGACATGGAGCACAATCATAGAGGAGATTGGTCTGGATGAACCCAACCAACCAAGATGGCGTTTGGTTACTTTCACTCATCCCGTTAGACCATGAATGGTAGCAATGAAGCATAGTTAGTAGAATTCTAAGTACCCAAAACATAAACTTAAACATGTTGTGGACCCTTCAAAGTTGTGCAATGCTTGTTTATATTGCGTAAGAGCTCTCAAATTCCTTTATGGAGCACTGCGGGGAGAGCTTGATTGATTTCATCATGTGCCTTGTGTTCACTGGATACTATTATGGTGCTTTGACGGTGATGGGCGGCTGCTCTAGTGCTCTGTGATGCTAATGTGACAAATCACCTTCAATTTTCCATGTGGCAACTTATGATTCACTTGCTAGTTTACTCTCCCTTCTCCTTGTCATCTTGCATTTTCAAATCATTTACTAGATTTTCTTCTTCCATGTGGCATTAGAGTGACTTTTCATGATTTTTGGTCTATAAATAATGTTAATTGGGAAGGTTCTTTGACTTATTTGATCTATACTTGCTACCTTTGGATGTGAATTTCAACGACTTACATCCCTCAAATAGAACTTTGTTGAAAGGTGTGATTGTTTTGAAAAGACCTTTGTCTCCAAAGGGCACATCGTATCTTCAAGTTATTTTGACATCTAATTTGGCGGTATTTGCTCCAATCAATTTCTTCTATGCGTCTAAAGAGACCGCTCTTATCTTATGAAAGGGGAAAGCTCTCATCTCTTTCAGGGATGAGGGGAGATGCTTCATCTTCTTATATTGTAGATGGGCATCTTGTTATTGTAGTCTATGTTAAGTGTAATATACTCAGTGCTCATCCCCTTCTCTCCCATTTCACATGCAAATATTTTCTCAAAAACCTCCTAAACCTATTCCGTCTCCTTCATGGGATGAAGTATTTTTTATACAAGTTCATTCTTCTCCATGGGTCTTTCTTACACGTTGTGGTTGTATTCTTTGTCTATTTCGCCACCTTTTTCATCTTTCCTTTTCCATCTGCTTAGTTGTCTTCCTTTGTGAATCTATCTTCATTTTCACCTATTAAAGCTCTTCCTCTTTATGAAAAAAGGTGCCTCTTTTTTTTTTTTCTCATATGACTCTACCCTAACTGCTTCTAGGGAAGAGGAATTTTATGAAAGAGAAGCAATAAGGAAAGAGTTATATATAATGGGATAGAAGTTTATCGTTTGTTATGGGTGGTGCTTAATTAATCTTTTTCATACTTTGATTTTCATATGGAGCATATGCCATGAGAAAAATTAGGTTGGGACCTTTCACCAGGCTGGCTTAGGTATGCACCATCGCAAGTTCAATCGGAGTGCGTCTGGTTAGTGAGTGTTGATTGACTAATTTATATTTTCATGACTTTAGGCAATCATAGCGTGATTTTGTTAATGAAGTTTATCCTCAATTGTGGCGTGTTGGCGATCATGTTGAAATGGAGCCGTATGGAATGAATACTAACTGTAGCAAGTTTACCTAAATGTTAGGGTAGCCAAATGAAATATTTAGTCTAAGGAGGGTTGTGCTGGGATTGATCCATATGGAACATATAATCTAAAGAGGATCTTGGTTGTTGAGGCTGAGCCACTTGGTTCAGCCAGAACCTTTAGGAATTTGATATATCCTTGGTCCACCTTGCTTAAAGTTTGAGTAGGGAGGGGTTGTTATAAAAAAAGGCTATCCATGTATGGTGTAATATATACTTAACTAAGCATTTATTAGGAACATTCCTGACGCAACATAGAAAACAAAGTGACAAAATTCAAGTTGTTTAATTTTTTTGGCCACTTTTGTTGATAAACAACCCCAACTTCAACACAGGCTGCTTTCGAACTGAATCCACCTATAGTGGAGTCAATCTGACTAATGATGTGGGTATTGTGGGATCCAGATATGTTGGGTAGAGCTACCAATGTGGAAGGAACAATAGGGGTGGTCGGAGCTGAGATTGACTAGCATAAAAGGTTGTATAAAGAACTCAATTTGCGCAAGTTGTTTGTGGAACATTCTCATAGTGACAACAATTAATCCAATGGAGTTTGAGCTCTCTCCTGGGTGGTTAATTGGCTCGATATTGTTGTTGCAACTAGCATAATTGTCTATGTTAAAGGATTTCTTGCGTTCTTTACGTGATGGTTTTTTAATGATAATTTTTTTTTCAAGCATGTGGGTCGCAACAAGAGCACCAAATATTGTGAACCCATGTGTCTTTGGAGTAATTGATTGGTGATGTGTGGTATATCATTACCTGTTTATGTCTACATATTAGATGAATAGTGGGTCCATAAAGTATGTGTCCTATTAATTGACTCATGAGCCTAATTAAAAGAGCATAAAGAAAGAGAAAAAGGATATTGTCTATGAGCCTATTAAGGTATCTTTCACCCTCATTGTTTTCAAGGTCATCATAAAATGTTCTTAGAATATTTTGAAATGTTCAGTTGTTGCAGGAGTCAGTCCCATAAGTAATTCCTTTCCTATCTATATTTATTTAAAATTGCTCTGCTATCCACATTTCTTAATTGGGGGATCTTAACCTTATCAGGTCATGAAGACCCTGGTTCATTTTGGAGCACCACCAGAGATTCTTCTTGATGGAAAGCCTCATCTTGGAACAGATCGCTTGATTGGAATTCTCAGGAACTTTAGACAGCATTTAGTTCAATTGGGCGTGAGCAATTCAGTTTAATAATTGTTTGAGTACATGTTTTTCCATATGCCTTTTTCTATGATTTTATAGGATTTCTAATTTTCTTTTCATTATAATGTAGGTTGACATAAAGTTTGGAACAAGGTTGGATGATCTTATTGTGGAAAACAAACAGATTATTGGAATCAAGGTCTCTAATGCTAGAGATGAGTGTGGATCTAATAGCCATAGTTTGCCATATGATGCAGTTGTTTTAGCAGTTGGGCATTCAGCCCGAGATGTTTATCAAATGCTTCTACAGCATAATGTGGATATGGTCCCTAAAGATTTTGCTGTAAGTTGTTCTCTTATTACCAGACTGCAAGTTTGATAATCGAAAAATTTTGATGCATCGCTAAGATGTAAACTTCTTTCACTTTATCACTGTGAATTTCTCAACCCGCAACAAACTTAAATCAAATTATATTTGTGAACATTAATATATTTACTATCAGCTTAAATTATTGAGGTAAACACATTGTTCATAATGCATCCAGAGTTCGAACCAAACTTCTTTTTAGTTTTTCGAAGTCTCGACTCATCAATTGTGGATTCCGCACAAACTAGTCGTATGAAGTGGTGTTTATGGATTCTTCGTCCCAATAATCCTAGACTCTTTGCGTTAATATAAATGGATTCTCCATCATGGTGTTCCCAGATTCCTCGCCTTTGAGTTCATGGATTCTTCAAGCTGGTGTCCCCAGATTCTCCCTCTGCTGAGTTCTAAAAGATGAGCTTCAAGGTTTTCAGAGCAGCTAGAGTTGTCTGTCAACTGCAATCTGTTGCAGTTGAATTCTTCCTACCAGAAGATAATCGATGAAGAGCCAAACTTTTTTAGTCATTTAAAATTGAAAATTGCTTGCATTGCTCTATTTTTTGTTTGAGTAATCATTCACTGAGAATTTATGTATGTGCTTCAGTTTTTCAATTTTATTTGTATTCTTCCTATCCAGATGAGCTTCCAACATTCAATCTTAATTCAGTCTTAGAGGAATCCATGATGTGTTTTATCGTACCATAATTTAAAAAAGAAAAAAAATGAAAAAAAAAAGATAAGATATGTTGCTTGTCAATGCACCTTACAATGTCTATATCTAAGGTACACCAATAAATATTGTATGATTTGTTGCACACCACCATTCTCTATTTTTTAGAAAGTATGGCTCCTTTTGTTCTTAGGTACATTCATGTTTATTGGAGGATAGATTTTCAAGATCATTTGATGTGTTCTTTGTAATTGCTTGAAATAACTTTGAGATTAGTCTTTCTTTACATTGCATTTGCATTTGAAATCCCAAACCTTGATACTACCTGCGGCATGCTATATAGTCTCTTTCAACTTATATATGTGCTTTAAAATTAATCAATCTTTTTTTTTACATTCTTATTGTATGTCATAGGTTGGCTTACGAATCGAGCATCCGCAGGAACTAATAAACAAAATACAGGTATGCCATAACTTGATTTCATATAGTCATCATAATCTTTTAAAGCTTTCGTCTTCCATTTTATCCTTCAATAATCCTTTATTTTCCAACCGCCACTTTTTTCTTATCGTGTTTACATTGTGAACTCAACTTAGTGCTGATAAATTATTGATCAGTTGTAAGAAAGCTATCAGGCTTAAGAGTCCAAGCTCTCATCTTTGATTGTTAGTTTTGGGGCATGGTCTAAAATCTGTTTCTCTTGAATTAACAAATGTGTGGTACTGTTTTAACTAACAGTCTCTCTTGAAACCTCATTGAGGTCCATAATTATGATCTGAAACATGTTAAAAAAAATCTAATATTTCATGTTTAGGGATATGGGAATATATTTGTTTTCGGGTCTCCATTTAGTTTCTCGTTTGTGCTGCCTATGTTGCTTGTACAAGCCTTTGGATTATCAGTAGAAGAGTGTTTGATTTCTGTGTAGGATTTATAGTCTAGGAAAATTTATTATTGGTACAATCCATCTCTATTTGAACTGTTGAGCTTGTTGAGTACCCTCATGTAGTGAGAAAAATAATAAAATTTAGTTGTTTGATGTTATATTGAACATATACTCAATTTTTTTTTGTAATGGTATACTAAGGCTTCGTTTAGGACGGCTTTCTTACTGCTTCTTAAAGCAGCTTTCTAGTACAAAATTTTTAATTTTTTAACTAAAAAACTGCTTTAAGAAGCAGTAAAAAAGCAAACGAAGCCTAAGTTTGATGGAAGTATGTTTTTGATTTTCTTAAAACCTGAGCCTATCTGCTATATTCGCGTCCAGTATTCTTCACTAGCCGCTGAGGTTCAATTAGGTCGTGGAAAGGTACCTGTAGCAGATTACAAGGTTGTTAAATATGTCAATGAAGGAGATGAGATTGTGAATTCATGTTTGGAGGATCGATCTAGAAGCTGTTATTCCTTTTGCATGTGCCCTGGTGGACAGGTAAGTATCATGATGTCTCTTTTTTATAGGCATTTCCTGATTCCATAAGTTTTTAAGTTAATCATTTATTGGTAGGTTGTGCTAACTAGCACAAATTCATCTGAGCTCTGCATCAATGGCATGTCATTTTCTCGTCGTTCGTCAAGATGGGCTAATGCGGCCATTGTTGTTACCGTATCGTCGAATGACTTTGCTCCCTTCGGCAGTCATGGGCCTCTTTGTGGAGTTGAATTTCAGGTTCTTGTCATTCTTATTTCTGGCATTGACATATGAAGTTTTTTATTGGATTTCTTTTCTCTTGTTAGTGTATATATTGCATATATTAAATTTGATATGCAAAAAAAAAAAAAAACCTGAAATCTGAAATTTCTATGTTCCTAAGTTGAAGTATGGTAGAATATGATGCTGGAGCATTATAGGTGGTATATTAGCAGTTAGTCTATGATTAATTTAGGTCAAAGTTTATGTTTATGTTATTAGTCGTCTTTGTGCCAATTCTGAGGAAAGTAGTAGTTATTTTCTTTCATTAGGATTTAATATCTTTTGAGTAAGAATATGTTTGTCTTTTTGCTTGAGCTCTTCTTTTTATATGAGGGTTAGACTTTAATGTAATGTTATGTTATGAATGTAAATTAATATTCAGGAAAACTTGGTGGGAATTAGATGAGATATAATTCAATTATTGAGAGCAAAAAATTATAGAAAGAAGATCAATGTACAAATATAAAAAAATTTATATGAGTTCACCAATTGATGGGCAAAATTATATTAATATTGCAGTTATATATTTCAATATGATTATGATTGGCGAGTTCCTACAACTCTAATATCTCTAATATCACTCAGGGTAGTTGAAATATATAATAAATATGATGAAGAAATTATTTTGAATTTTGTTGCTTGATTTTGTAAAAAGTATGAAAGTATTTATAGACTTTTCTAAAATTCATACAATGAAAATAAATCAAAGTTGTTTTAAAAAAAAAGGAAAGAAATTCTCAAGAGAGGTCGACAACTAGAATAGGACAATGAGGCACATGTGTTGCAATGCAAGAGCTATAAGAGGATTGATACAATGGTTAGAATCCTTAAATCGTGTGCGTAAGGATCCCTATCAAAATTGGTTGACTTGTGGATCTTAAAATCCTTCAACACTCCTCTTCAAACTAAATGGTATAAATTATTCTAAATTTGCTTACATTATTTTTGAATGTGGGTTGGTGAAGTCTTTTGATGAGAAAACTTGCTAGTTGATTTCTTTTGGCATATTACGTATCTGATTGATGACTAGCCTTAATCGAAAGTTCTCTCTCGTGATCGGGAGAGGTAATTAACTATAGGGGCTTGCGCCTATAGGAAACCAGAACTCAGATCATAAAGTCCTCACAAAATGAGGGCGAAATCTCTGGGTAGTGTCTTATCTACAAACCCATCTGCCTTCCAAAATTTACCCCGGAACTTAGTTCGTTAAAACTCCCCTCGCTCAAATAAAAAAGGAAATCGCGCGGCGGGGAGGCCGGGGCCGAATTTTCGGAGCCCACAGTTGGCAAGGTTGATCATGCGGTCATTGATTCTTAACTTTGGGATGTAAGTGTGAGGGGAATCATTCAAGGTTGAAAATACAAGAATTATGAGTCGTATTATTCTGAGCTGTAGAGCATGATTCAGATGATTTTCTTAGAGAGTTGAAGAAGTTCTTAAGTTTATCAATTTATTTTGTATTGAGCCCTTCTGATTCCATCAGATAGCCTTATCTTTTTTGGTGACTTTTTATATCTTCCATAGTTTGGGAGCTTTTCATGGACTTTTTAGTATTTTTCTTTGATATGTCCTTTCATGCATTAGTTGCACTATATATTACCTTTGGAAAAAGGTTTTTGCCTTTATTTAAGGAAATAATATGTAGAGTAAGTCTCTTGGGGTTTAGTGGTTTTAATGGCAAGTATTTTGGAGGTTGGAGTGTCGAGCATTACTATCATTCTTTCTTTTTTGCTCGTATGAGAGAATTTAAAATTTATACATAAACTTGCTCGAAGTCATTATTGAGTCCTGAACGTAACTCAAACACCCCTTTCCTTTCTGCAAATCGCTTGAGAGTTATCGCATCATCACAGCAGGTCATCTTGAAATTTTGGTAATAATCTATGTCAAGTTAATAAACATTTATTACATTAAAGCACTCATATAATATATGATGATTAACTTGCTTGGTTTTTAAAATCTTAATTTTGATCTCATAGATGAGTGCAACATCTTTCACTTCATAGTATATTTGTTTGACAGTCTTTTAAATTTCTTTTGTAGTGGAGAGTAACAAACTAATTTCACGTATTATAATATTTATAATTATGTCATGATTATGAGATCTGCTTTATCCCATAGTATAAATTTTGTGTCTTGTGACTCCGAAGGAGGATGTACAACATGATGAATGTTTCTAAATCCTTTTTGAAAAGTTTTTAAAAATTAAAACCCTTTCGGATGATTTCTCGCATTCAGGTGATATGAGACTTGTAGCTTTTAAAGTTCTTCTTTAGTTTGGTTTTACCATTCATGCTAGTTAAATATTCGAAAGGAAGTTAAAAAAAATTGAGCATAATGAAGATAATGACTAATCTCAACAAGAAGAAAAAAGAATAAAGTCTGTGAGACATAAATCCTAACCTTGCTCTACTAATATGTAGAAAAGTAGAAAGGATTACTTTAAATTTTATTACTTGATTATGTATACAGTGTGGAAGTATTTATAGATTTCTCGATAAGGCTTATTATGGAATTAAATCAAAGTTATTTAAAAAAGAAAGAGTAAAGTTCCAAAAAAGGGGGGCCAATAGCTAGAATAGAAAGAGGCTGCATATGTATTGCAATCTAAGGACCATAAAATGATAGATCCAAAGATTAGAATCCTAAATCAATGTGTTCAAGAACCCCTATCTAGATTGGTTAACTTATGTGTCTCATGATCCTTTAACAAAATCTTCAGAACATCCTTAATAAAACTAACTCATTAATATTAATCTGAAATCGATTCTTTATTGGAAAATAGGCTCCACAATTTAGCATGAAATGCTTCATTTTTCACTCTATCTGGTAGTAATTGTTGACTCTGACTCAAACCAAAACAAGTTTGATTATCATGCAAACAAAGTTTTAAGACATTTTCAGATAGAACTGTCATATACTACAGTTAAACTTGGTCGTATGAGAGAATTTAAAATTTAGACATAAACTTGGTCGAAGTAATTACTGAGTCATGCACGTAACTCAAACACAATTTTTCTTTCTACAAATCTGATGTGATACAACATGCAAGAATTAGGAATTGCACGACAGAGATTAATAATAGTATTTCTCTTTGCTTTCAACTATAACATCCAACTTACTCAATCAACATTTAAGAATCTTCGCAAGAAATTAAGCAAAAAGAATTCACTACAATTGAAAATTACATATCCTTGCGCAATAAAATCCCAAATAAATTAAAGCAATGCAAATAGCTAAGAAAACGAAAAGCCACACATTTAATACCTAGATCCTTCACCTCGATGTCCTCTAACTACTCTCGAAAGGAGGGGTTAGCGGATGAGGATTGCGAGCAAACTCACCGACGCCGCTAGTAGACAAGTGACGCAAAGGGGACTCGCCGCCGGGGAGGAGGCCGGAATTGGAGAAGCCGGTGGATGTCCGCGGATGATCCAATCGTAATCTTCAAGTTGTTCGTCTACAACATCCACGAGTGTTAAGAGGATGCGGTTCAAATAGTCTCTGACGTTGTTGTCGGGTCCAAACCCGACGTCGAAGAACGGCGAACGAGTTATGTGTATGCTTCCGTATTCGTCGAGGACTAAGCCGCTATCCACTTCAGGATCCGCCATGCATCTTGCCGGGGAGTACGAATACCATGTAAATATGAGGGGAGAAGGTAGGCGGCGGCGGGTATAGGGGGGGAGAACTTTGTCTTGAAGGTTTGTGGGAGCAAGTAGAGAACAACTCCAAAAGACAAAACTGAAAATTTCAGCAATAATTCAGTTTTTAGTAAGGGATGGAGAGAATTAATTTGATGAATTCAAATTAATTCCAACGGGTTTAATGGGGCGGATAAAGAGGAAGAAAATTGGGTTGAATTTGTGGTGTTATTATGTCATTTGGAGGTGAGAGAAGTCCATTAGGAGTGGACGGTCATATGAGGAGGAGAGAGGTTGGGAGTTATGAAAGTGGGGCCCAATGTTTAAGTAAGAAATTCAATTAAATCTGAATTTTAATTTCAGATTTAATTGTGGCTTAAGTAACTTCCTATTATTCAAAATGAGAGGGAGATTTCATTTGAATTTCAAATTAGGAGTTAATTTCATTAATGAGCTCCCATAATGATAGGGAACCAATTAGGAAAGAGCTTAAACCCAATTTGAAATTAAAAATCAAGGAATTAATGGAAAAAAGGGGGGGGGAGGTCGGTGGCTAGGGAAGTGTGGAGGGGACGGCGGCAAGAGCAAGGGGAAATGAAGAAGGAAATTTCCCACGGTGGCGACGAATACGGATCTACTAACCTTACTCGTTTCCTCTTTGATCTTCCACGAGAATAGACAATTCGGAGGCTAGAACTCACTAAGTGATCTAGTTTACTCAGGCGAACTACTAAGAGATCGTGGGAGAAGATGAACTCACTAAGAGAACAAGAGTAAAATTTTCATTTCATCCAAAAAACTAAGCTATTACAATCCATGATACCTCATATAGGGAGGTAAAATTAAACATAACGAAAAAAGACAGAAATGCCCTTAGGGCTACATAAGAACAATAATGCCTTCAGGGGCAAACTAGGAAAACAAAAGATACTCATAACATGAAATGCCAATAAATCAAAAGTAGAGACTAGGGATCGTGGCCGTCGATCTGCGCCTCCGGTGATGGTACACGTGTCGAAATCTGATGTCCCCATCAAAATCGCTTGAGAATTATCGCATCATCACAATAGGTCATCTTGAAATTTTGGTAATAATATGGCTCAAGTTGATAAACATTTATCACAGTAAAGCACTCAATATATGATGATTAACTTGCTTGGTTGTTAAAATCTCAGTTTTGATCTCATAGATGAGGGTAACATTTTTCACTTGATAGTATATTTGTTTGATGGTGTTTTAAATTTCTTTTGCAGTGGAGAGTAACACACTAATTTCAGGCATTATAGTATTTTATAATTATGTCATGATTATGGGATCTGTTTTGTCCCAAAGTATAAATTTTGTGCCTTGTGACTCCGAAGGAGGATGTACAACATGATGAATGTTTCTAAATCCTTTTTAAAAAGTTTTTATAAATTTAAACCCTCTCAGATGATTTATCGCATTCAGGTGATATGAGACTTGTAGCCTTTAAAGTTCTCCTTTAGTTTGATTTTCACCATTCATGCTAGTTAAATATTGGAAATGAAGTTAAAAAAATTGGCCATAATGAAGATAATGAATAATCTCAACAAGAAGAAAGAAAGGAAAAATAATAAAGGTTGTAAGACATAAATCCTAACCTTGCTCAGATAATATGTAGAAAAGTAGAAAGGATTACTTTAAATTTTATTGCTTGATTATGTATAAAGTGTGGAATTATTTCTAGATTTCTCGATAAAGCTTATTATGGAAACAAATCAAAGTTATTTAAAAAATAAAGAGTAAAGTTCCAAAAAAGAGGGGCCAATAGCTAGAATAGAAAGAGGCTGCATATGGATTGCAATCTAAGGGCCATAAAATGATAGATCCAAATATTAGAATCCTAAATCAATGTGTTCAAGAACCCCTATCTAGATTGGTTAACTTATGTAAATAGATTTTGCATAAGTCATATACTACAGTTAAATTTATCTTGTGCTGTTTCTCTCTATTTCAGAGACACTACGAAAGAAAAGCAGCTATGGTTGGGGGAGGAAATTTTGTTGTTCCTGCACAGACAGTTACTGATTTTCTTGATAATAAATTATCAGGTCAAAGCCAAATTTTCTGTGAAAGTTTAGCCTTCTATGAGTATAATTTTCTTATATATTTCTGCTTCTGAATTCTTTTTTGAACTTCTCAGTGACTTCTCTACCGCAATCAAGCTACAGATTAGGAGTTAGACCCTCAAATCTTCATGAACTGCTTCCAACTCACATTACTAAAGCCTTGCAACATTCAATAGCAGCTTTTGACAAAGAGGTTTTTTTCAGTGAACTTTATTTTGTTCTTAAAGTTTAGCGTTTTTTAATGAAATTTTTCTATTGTTTTCTCTTTGTTATCGTGGGATCCAACCGCCAGCTTCCTGGCTATATTTGCAAGGATGCCCTGCTTCATGGCGTTGAGGTAAGATTGTAAAATTTTTTTGTAAGAGAATGATAAATTTGCTACCTACATTGAATTGCAGTTTTGATTTGTTTTTCACAAATTCAAATCTAACATTATTGTAGTAATATTTCTAACAATTGCAGCTTAACTAATATTTCTCATTCATATAACTTTAGAGGATATAAAAGGGAAAAAAATTGGGTGAATATATTGTAACAAAACATCAGCTTTCCGATGGAAGATAAGATTAGAGAGAGTCGCCTTAGATGATTTGGTCAGATAAAATGTTGGGCTTCCGATGACCCGGTTAGAAAAAGTAGAGGTTTTAGATTTGACTTATATCAAGAAAGTTAGAGGTAGCCCTAAAAAGACTTGTTTAGAAAATATTAGAAATGATCTTTCTTTATGAGATTTAAACGAGAATTTGACTTTCAACAGAACACAATGGAGAAAAAGGATTCATGTAGCCGACCTCACGTAGTGTGACAAAGGCTTGAGAATCTGAGTTAGAATGTCCGAACATAAATTTATTTTATGATGAATGCAATATATGACTAATCAATCCAAAATTATACTGTCCAGACAAGAACAAGCTCTCCAATCCGAATTCTACGCAACACAGACACCTATGAGAGTACTTCTGTGATGGGATTGTACCCAGTTGGAGAAGGAGCTGGCCATGCTGGAGGGATTGTTAGTGCTGCTGTTGATGGCATCTACTGTGGCTTTGCCCTGGCTAAGAATCTCAACCTGTTCGAGGGAGACATCGAAGCGATTTTGGGAAAAGCTAAGAGGAACACAGGTTTTATAAAATACTAAGCTTTTGTTGCTGGTTTCTCAATTTCTAGATTTCTTCATTGCTCAAATTTGAGACCTGATAACAATCCATTATCATATTTTCCTGTAGTGAAGTGTCTTTGTGTTCAGCAGGAATTTTTGTATGTTCAATTACAGGCTTCAAATTGTAATAGTTCCTCTCCTTTTGGTTTCGAACTCTGTTTTTTGCTGTAAAAATCATGGCTTGGTAATGGATTAAGGCTTCATTTAGGATGGCTTTCTTACTGCTTCTTAAACCAAATTTATAGTACAAGAGTTTTAATTTTTGTAGTAGAAAGTTGTTTTAAGAAGCGGTAAGAAAGTCGTCCCAAACGAAGTCTAAGTCAGTGTATGACATTACTCATGAAAGCTGGTAGGTAGGGGAATCAACAAGCTAAACTTGAACTTGAATAGCTCAACCGTTTTTGGCCTAAACAAATTAGGGGTATCTATCCACTGTCACCCTCATAGGAGGCTCTTGACGGCGTAACTAATCCTTCAACGAGCTTACCAGCAACCAACCTCACAGGTGCAGGACTCGCAGTTATTTTCTCCTCGCATAAGGGGTCGCGTCGCATGAGAGGGGATTCAAATATGAGTTAGGAGTATCAACTTGTTGAGTCGTATACTATTTATTCACATATATGAAATTTATCTGGAAGTCATATAAATTACGAAATATATATATATCTCCTCACTTTTATGTATGTCATCGTAACAAATATAAATGTTTGAATATTAAAATGGACTATTTGTAGAGATATAAGCACATATGTGCATGTGTTCTAACTTTTTTTTTTTTTTGCTTTTTAATCTTCTTTTTGAGATGATTAAATTTTTTATTGTTTCCATTTAAAAAATAATGTAAGATACGAATAGAATATTATCTAACACGTATATAAATATAAAATTAGAATAAAAATATTTTGATTAGAATATTCAGTTCAAAATTATAATTATAATAATTTTTTATTTTATTTTAATTTATTTGACTTTTTTATTACGATATCTTATAGAAATTTTTTTCTAAATAAGATTAGCTTGAATATAATATTTTATTTTGGTGAAATGCACACATTAGAAATGAAACTTGGGCAATTTTTTTTTTTTTTTTGTTAAAATAATAAAATGTATTAGCCTAAGTTTTAATTACAATTAAAAAAATTAAAAATTGACATATTATTTAAACTTTTTAATTTTTTAATGAGAAAAAATTAAAAAACTTTCATTCAACTGCGGATCATAACAATAAATTCACGATATTTATAAATTGTTTTAAAGTTTTCTAATTATAATAAACAAAACATCACAAGATCAATAATAAATTTGAAAAAAAAAGTTTCAGAATTTTCTAAATTAATTAAATCATTATGATTTTTTAATCATTAAATTTATTTTAATTTGATTATATTACACTAATTTAAAAATAAATTAAGTAATTAAGAAAAAAAAAACCTTACCAAAAAAACATTCATAAAAATTTATCAAAACCGTTGCTTGTGTGAAAGCAGCTCTTACCAATTTCGTCGCCATTACACAGCTTCTTCTTCCCATATTTTGCTCATTGCTTTCACTATCAAAGCCGAATTTCTTCCGTAAATCTGTTCCCATTTATTACTTTATTATTATTAGCTGATTTAGACTCTTACGTATATCTATATATTGCATCAAATATCACTTCTCTGTTCACACAACTTTGCCTCTCTTCCTTCCTTCCTTCCATGGCTTCTGAGCTCTTCCAGATGATATCTGTTCTTCTTATCGTCTTCTCCTTTCCAGCTCTAAGCCATGGATGGGGAACTGATGGTCATTACATAGTTTGCCAGATAGCTCAGGTTAGTCTGTTCCTTAGCTGAAACTCTTCAGAAATATATCTCTGTACAGAACAACAGTTAGCAATTACTGTAAAGTAAAAATGGTGGTTGAATTGCAGGAACGATTAAATGATGCAGCAGCAGATACTGTAAATGAACTGCTACCAGATTATGCTAAGAACAATCTTAGTAGCTTATGCTCCTGGGCTGATCGTGTAAAGTTCATCTACACTTGGTCTTCTGAACTCCACTACATTGATGTACCAGATGATAGCTGTTCTTACAATTATAGCAGTAAGCCCCTCTCTCTCCTCTTCCTCTTCATCCCTGTACCAGATCAATTCAGTGGTCAATTTTGTCTCAAATTTGGATCAAATTGATCCTACTCTTAGGGCATCTCCAACCAAAAATCTCATTTTTCACTCCAAAATACCATGAAACTAAAAAAATATTGTGATTCATCTCTAGTCGAACTCCATTTTGCCCCCTTTTGTGAAGGTAACAGTTTTTTTCTTCTTTCGCGAGTTTCTTCGGTAAGTTCGGTAGAGACAGAAAAATGGCGAAGATGAACAGTGTAACGTCAATATTGGCGTCCCACTGTTCACCCGCAACCAAATAGCGGAAGTTTTACCGTTCGGCTGGAGCTCGCGAGCGATGCCTTTCAAGAGTTTAGAGTTCGGTTCGAGATGCCCTTAGTGATATTATCAAATCTGGATTTAAAATGAGCACAGTAAAAACATTTGGGGACTATTTAGATGCTTTACTCCATCTTTTTACTGTATTTTAACTATGAGTTTCTTCCAGGAGATTGTAAGGATAGCAATGGAGTGCAAGGAAGATGTGCATCAGGAGCAATCAATAATTACACAACTCAACTCCTTACATATAGAAATTCTTCTGATAACAGACAATGTAAGCAAAACCAAATGTTTGAATTGAATAGTAGTAGCTACAAGTTTTGCCTGACTGGATTGAACAACTGTGTTCAGATAATCTTACACAGGCTCTCTTGTTCCTTGCACATATCATGGGAGATATTCATCAGGTGTAATTTCTTTTGAATTTTGATTCATATAACCTTATTCTTAAAGTACTTAAAAACAATACTGAATATTTATGCCACAATATGTTAGCCTTTGCATGTAGGACATACCTCAGATAAAGGAGGAAACACCATTGATGTCCACTGGTACACAACAAATACAGTGCTGCATCATGTGAGTTTGAAAAATATCATAAACTTGGTAAAATACAAGCATAATTGGGGATTCTGATATGTTGAAAATATAGGTTTGGGATAGCAGCATAATTGACACAGCTGAAGCTGATTTCTACAGCTCTGATGCAACTGGTTATGTTGAAGATCTTAATCAGAACATTACAGTAAGAGATCAGAGCACAAGCTTACAATTACTACATTCTCTTTCAAATTTTGGTAGTATTTTCCATGTTTTATATAAACAAACTACAGGGAAAGTGGTCAAACCAAACTTCGAAATGGCGAAGTTGCAGCGGAAATGCGATCGCATGCCCTGACATGTATAGTCCTCTTGCTCTTACATATACATTTTGCCATAGTTGGCTCTGAATCTTTTGAGAATTACATGAGATCTAGCTCAAAAGACCACCTAGAACAAATAAAAGACCGAGATGGTCACCACATATGCACAACTGAGGCTTTGTTTGGGACGACTTCCTTACTGCTTCTTAAAAACTTTCTAATAAAAAATTTAAATTTTTATACTAAAAAGTTATTTTAAGAAGAGGTAAGAAAGCTGTCCCGAACAAAACCCGAGTCTGCATTAGACATTTCTTTGTATGGCAGCATTTCAAGAGGGAACTCATAAACTTGTAATGTTTTCTATAGATATGCGTCTGAAAGCATCAGTGCAGCATGTGAGTGGGCATACAAAGATGTCACAAATGGTTCAGAACTAGGAGGTTTGTGAAGTTACATGAACTGTGAAACTTTCTGTATATCTATTATGATGCAGAAACAAACTAATAACTGGTTTCTGCAGATAAATACTTCAACAGCAGATTACCAGTAGTAGATTTAAGGCTGGCTCAAGCTGGAGTTCGGTTAGCTGAAATTCTCAATCGAATTTTTGGTTGAAGACTGAAATCAGAGCAGAAATGTTATGTTATCTGTAATTGCAGTTCACCTTAACAAAAGTCTGTGTGTTTTACTTTGGATATATAGTAGTTATGGAGTTGGCAAGTTTTCTTTTCTCTTTATTACTATGAAGATGCAATTATTACAGAAAATATAGCCCAAATTACAGATGAATTTAAGTAAACTTTTTATGAGGAGTGTTATCAATGTAGTGTAGCCCAAATTAACAGAAATTCTGATCAAAGGTCCACTGAGATAACTGGGAATTAGGAAGAATGAAAGAAGAAGAAAAGGGAAATAATGGAAATGAATAGAAAGATTAAACTACATACAGAATCAAAGTGGATAATCTTGTGAAAAAGTTGGGGACAGGAGGAATCACACTGAGAATCTAATTAATTAAAAAAAAGTTTGTCATTTGTACAGAGATGTGAGAAAAATTCCACAGAAAGAACAACCACATGTAATACTTTTAAGGTTTAGAGATCTCACACTGTATATTTGTTGACCCCTATACATCAAATCACGCACAAATGGAGTAAAACCGGCAAAAAAAAGTAGCGTGCGTCGGCGTTACATGTTGCTTGAATGGTCAAACTAACTCCAATTGCTAAATGGTTTGCGCCGTTGGTGTCAAGAAGTTGAGTACCCTCTAAGTGGGGACCTATCGCAGTCAAATCAAAGTCCAAGGGGACGATCTACACCCAAAATTAACGCGCGACGTCACCCAAACGACATTCGATCGCAGAACGAACTTCGTCGTTGCATCCTGAACATCGTCGAGATTAACAAACAATACTTTATTGACATATTTCATGCAAATCGAGAAATTTAGCACTCAATGTCACCCAAACCCAAACAACATGACAAGACGTTGTAGTTGCGTTTGGAATGCCGATCAAAAACCTAAAATGCACTATTGATTTGCCCAAAGAAGATCAGGCGGCGAATTCGACTCTCAAATTGAGACAAAATGCGCGCAAATCGAGAAAATTAGCGCTCGACGCTGCCAAACAACGTCCAATCTCGTTGCGTTCAAAACGTCGTAAATACTAAAGAATGACTGTCAATTTCATCAAAGAAGATCACGCGGTGAAAGCGAAATCCAAATCGAAACAAAATACAAGCACTTTCTAAGATCTACAGTACTGAGTTCTGCTTCACGTGAAGCCTGTAAAATTTCCTATAAACACACACTTCTCTTGCTACAAAACAAATCTTTGCTGCAACACAAACTTCTTTTTCCCGTTGACCGAATCGGTAATAACAGCAGCAACCTTCCTTTTCCTCTGTAGCTTTGGTTGACGGAGAAGGCGACGGCTTCGGATGGGAAAACTCCCGCCAGGCGCAAACGAACAAACGGAAGAAGGATTTCTAACGAGGGCTTAACGGAGGGTTAGAAAAGTTGAAAATGAGGATTTTATGTATTATATTAGTAAATATAATAATTTGGGTGTTAAATAGATAATTTGAATTGTTTTAAATGTTATGTACTCGCTTAAGAAGTAGTTTAGCGAGAAAATTTAAAAAGAAGTAAATAGGAAACTTAATTATTCAGTTTCAATAGAAATCAGAATTTCATTATCCAGTTTTTATTTTGACTGTAATTTTAGAAGAAATTGAGATATGAAATTACGGTTTCTTAAGAAATCTTATTTTCAAAGTCCGGTTTTTAAGATTTTTTTTTTGCTTTAAAAATTGCCATTATTGCATTATGGCAAATTTTCTTAAAATGAATTTTTCACTAAGCTGCTCAAGTTAATTAAAATTTAAAGCACACTCATCTTTATAAAACGCCCTCTCATTTATGTGATTTTGAGGCTCTTGAATGCAATTTTATAAGGCCATAAATGAAAAAAAAGAATTAAATTATTATAATGGCATATAATTTAATTTATTTTTTTAAATAGAGTTTATATTTTTTTTTTGAAGAAATAACTTATAATTATGTATTTTAATTGTTTTTAACAAACTTACATGCCTTTCAATCTAACTCTTATATGAGTGTCTTTTATTTTAAATGATCAGATTAAATATGAATGTCTTTGATTTTTGTTTATATTTTGGTATTATAAATGTTATATACGTAAAATTTTAATATTTTTATAATTAAAATTAAAATGTTACAAATATGACCTCTTGTTGAAAAATGATTTTTATAATTAAATTGTACTTTGAAGCCTCATACATGCTCTCGTAGTGTGGTGGGATTGAAGATATATGACTGCAGTATCACCCGACACCTACTTTGTACGCTCTCATAGCGTGGTGGGATGACCAAATTTCTCATAGTTTCTCCAAAACGGGGGAGACGTCGGGAGGCTGTCAAAATTCAGCCTGAAGATGCACAAGACTTAGACAAAATAGGGGACTCTATTTGGATTTGATTTGAATAATTAAATGGACTAATACAAACTTAAATGATTAAATAAAATACCTAATTCAAATTTGATTACAATGAACTTGAATTGAACAAGACTAAAATGAACATGAAGTCAACTTGAATTTGAGCATAATTAAGATGAATTAATTATAAGGAATTTGAACTCAATAGAGCTTAATTTCAGCTCAAATGAATGGTAACAAAGGGCTCAAATTGGAACAAAGTAACATTGGATTTGAATTTAAATGAACGACGAAGGATGAAACTTAAGCAAGTATGCAGGGAAGTGAACTTCAATTGGACATCTAAAATAAAAATACAATCAAATAGCAAGTGAGCATCACAATGAATTCATGAGGGATTGGTGGCAAGCAAGCATTGGTTGGCAACTTTGATTATTCAATAAAAAATCAAATGTAGACATGCAAGTGGAGAACTTGCAGCATTCAACATGACTCATCCATAAGAAAAATAAATAAAAAGATTGCAAATAACTTAGTGAATTGCTCATAAGCAACAATAAATAAGAGAAGTTGGCCAACAAATGATAATGGCCACTTGATTATGCAGGTCGTTCTATAAATATGCTCGTTTTGCAAACATTCATCAATGCACGAGTCTCCTACACATGAAGAAGGTTAACATGCAGTGAGCACTAAGACATTTCCCCTAAAGTCAGTGTTAGCCAACATGCAGACCAACACATCAATCCACCTTTGTGAGATTAATTTGCAAGAAACATTGATCCACCATAGGGACACATGATAAGTGTAATGATAATCAACATTATTGTGCGAAAAAGAGAGTGAAGTCCGCAAGTGAGGAATATATAAAGGTGTATGCAATCAATCGCATATGAATATCAATTCTCAACATAACTTACAACGCAAGTAATAGAGTTGCCAAGTGAATGTCAACACACAATGCATTGCGCCTATTAGAGTTAATGATCAATATTTAATAAATATGTTGTTAAAGATTAATGCAAAGCTTGGTGGCCTAAACTCACGATTATAAGCAGAAAGTACACCTGCAATTCTAATCATCTCAAGGATTGCAACAATTATTTTAAGAATGGATACCTTGCATGGCTCTTCTAGACGGTATGATGTGCCTTCAATTGCTACAGTTATCATTTCAAAATGGTGGCCCCTGATTTCAAAGTATAGGGAATTAGTAAGGATGCATCTATCCAAAGTTGAAATGATTGATTATTTACTTAAGCCAACAGTAGAAAATGATGATGATGGTGAAATTAGGGAGTTTCCTATCAATTTCAATTCTAGTTTTGCGGAGTGAAAGCCAGATCAAATCAATATTTTCAAATATGGTATGACTGAACCTCAGTTCAACCATTGAGCTATTGTAGAAGACCCGTCAAATACCCTAAAAATGCCCCCATACATACACATTCGACATGTATACACATTAACACAAGTGAAAACATACATGATCATACACCAGCATGGGCCCCAACGAGCGTGTCATATTTACGCAAATGACATCTAAGGATGCTGTGCGAATCAGGAAATGAACAAACTATAATGGATCTGATCCTCTATCGACCAATAGATATAGTCGACAAGGTCCAGTCAATGAAATTCTCAAATGACCCTATTATCCTGATGATGGCCACATTTAATGCAAATCTCAACCGAATATGTCAATTTCAAATATCCAAAATTTCACCCAAATACCTATAAAATCCAAAACTACCAGAATTTGAAAGATTTAAAATTAAAATAAACCAACAAAGCACTTAGAGCAAAAATCCATCTAACCTCCACAATAATTTGCCGAGGTGGACAAAGCTCGCAAAGAGTATTGTTTGATCGAGAACATCACTAGTATTTATTCTCAAATATTCTTCTGCCAGTAAGGATGCGGCATGTGTCATTTAACCAGTAATTTTGCCGTCAAATGACACTGAGGTAAAAAATTATGACTGGGGCCCTCAGAACCGAGTGGTTCGCCACCAAATTGCACCACTATATTACGGTCATGGTCAGAGCCCGTATGCTCACCAATGACTCTAAATTCTTGAGATGTGAATTAATATGATATGATATATATGGTACAAAGCCCTTTTCTACAATAGTACCTTTAAGTGCAAGGTGGCTTTGGACGAAGCAACCCATGGCTACTAACCATGATCCTTTTATCAAGTTGGGTCGACTACCTCCTCTGACTAAGTAGACCAGAGATCAAGATGGCTTGGGATGACGAAATCATGAGATCTTGATCTGGTCTATCATCTATTCCCCCACCACCCGCTTTAAGTGCAAGGTGGCTAATTTCTAATTTTAAATATTAAATTTCCAAACGTCTAACGAATGTTGCTACTATATATGCCATATATATGTATCTCTACTTATCGGATTGACAATTAGCCTTAAACAAATGTCCTCCCTTTATTGGGAGGGGTAATTAACTATAGGGGCTTGTGCCTATAGGAAACCAGAACTCATATCATAAAGTCCTTGCAAAATAAAAGCGAAATCTCTAGGTAGTGTCATATCTACAAACCCAATCTGTCTTCCCAAAATTTACCTCGGAACTTAACCCGTTTAAACTCCCTGAAAGCATCAATGAGGTTAGGGCGCGAATTTTCGAAGCCCACAAGCCCAAATTAACAAAAATTCTGATCTAGAGGTCCATTGAGATAAGGAAATTAGGAAGAATGAAAGAAGAAAAAAAATGAAAAATAATGTAAATGAATAGAAAGATTAAACTACATACATAATCAAGTGACTAGTCTTGTGAAAAAATTTGGGGACCACAGGAACACACTGAGAACCTAATTAATAAATGAAGAAAAGTTTGTCATTTGTACAGAAATGTGAGAAAAATTCCACAGAAAGAACAGCGAATGAAATACTTCAAATATTTAGAGATCTCATAATCTTTGAGACACTGTATATTCTTGTTATTATTATTTTTTTTAATAACATTTAGGCCAATTAAGATAAGCTAACATCTTGATTAATAGTTAAAATTCCCAACCAATATATCAAGTTAAGTTGCAATAATCATAAAATAAATCAAATGACCATGAAGTACAATCTTTTTTTTTTTGGGAAAAATGGGGGCAGAAGCCCATATATTTATCACCAAAGAGTTACAAGTAAGTCAAAATTACAAGTAAAATGACTATACCAACAGAAAGTAAAGAGAATAAAAATTACAAAAGGACTCAGGAAAATAGGTCTACATCTAACAGATATCAAAGCCCAGATCATGAGTAACCACTAAGCCAAACGAATAGACACTAGTTGCCTAAAGCAAAAGCAGTAGACCATCAAGGTGTCGCTGTTGCAGTCCTGGTTGCCGAACGACCGTCCAAGGATGCAAACCAGATGTTGCAAAAAAATTTTCCTCCAGTTAGGAAATTTCAAATCATTAAATATGTTGTGTAGACATCTGAATGTCCAGTTTAGCTGCAGGCATTTTTTTTTGACAAAGCAGGAGGTATCTATCACAGAAAAGATGGTATAAAAAGGCAAATCAAAGAGACCAACCCTTTTTTGTGAATGCAGCAATATCACCAAAAATGGAAATAAATGATACATATATATATATATATATATATATATATATATATATATTATTGGTAAAAGATTGCTTGTTGAATCCTGTGCTTCAAAGTAGCATCCTGAATTCGAAAGCAGGTGTCTTTAGCAAATGATTTAAGGTTTCATTTGAAACTGTTTTCTTACTATTTTTTAATATAAAATTTAAGTTTTATTTGAGACAGTTTATTTAATGCTTCTTAAAGCAACTTTTTTTGTACAAAAATTTTAATTTTTTACTAGCAAGCTGTTTTAAGAAGCAATAAAAAAGGTGTCCCAAGCGAAACCTTAAATTTTTTGTGTTAGAAAACTGCTTTAAGAAGCAATAAAAAAGTTACCCAAACAATGACATAATCTCATGAAATAAGGCGCAAGAGTTAAAGATCAAGTCAAGAAGATGATTCAAATATGAAAGAAAAAATAATCAAGACAATGAAATCTATAATAGTCTTCTATTAGAATAAAAATTTGAAATTATTCCTTAGTCAAATGTAATTAGTTGTAATTAGTTCTTTATTTTTACCATTCCAATCTCAATCGTACAACTGCAGCTAGCATGCATGCTTTGAAATAGTCCCACCATACACCCAATTCCAAGCCCTCAGAGCAAGAAATTATTCTGTTTAGAAATCGGATGCAGATCTCGATTAGCTAGCAGTACGAGTCACAGTACCGAACGAAAAGATGACGTGACACATTCTGATTGATCTTCCTATAATATTTCACATCCGCACAAAATAATTAATCATGAAACAATCCTCTTGATATTCTGAGGAGCTTAATATCTCTTAAAGATTAATGCTATATTTAATCATATTTTGACTAAATTAGTTTTATACTAATAAATAAAATTTTATTTTATAATAAATAATATTTTTTAAAAAAAAATTGTGGTGTGCTAAGGTGTCAGTCATACATTTATCCGGCCTTAAAAAAATAATAATTTAATGCAGGCGGTTGCGTTGTGGCCAAGAAAAATAAAAAAAATTTACCCCTATAAAAGCCACGTCCCATTTCCCAAAGCCTCATTCACCTTCCGCTCTCTATAGCCCCATCAGACTGTATTGACTCGGTTCAATGGCAGCACAAACCTCCGTCGCCGGCGGTCTTCTCGGTCCGCCGGAGATCCGCCATCCTCCCTCTCCCTCCTCTTCAGCTGAGAAAAAGGAAGTACTCACCGGCGATCCATTTGTTGACCTCATGGACACCAGCTTCAACTCTTCCGGCGAAAACCGCCCGTTGATGGGACTTACCGAGAACGCATCCCCGACTTTTATTAGCACGGGGAATCCCCACCTCGACTTCTTCTTCCACGTCGTTCCGGATAGTCCGAGGGAAACTGTAACCACCCTCCTCTCCGCCGCTTGGGACCGCGATCCTCTCACCGCCTTGAAGCTCGTCTTCCAACTCCGCGGCGTCCGCGGCACCGGAAAATCTGACCGCGAGAGCTTCTACTCCTCTGCTCTCTGGCTCCACCTTCACCATCCTAAAACCCTAGCACTCAATCTCCCTTCCATCGCCGAATTCGGGTATTTCAAAGACCTGCCGGAGATCCTCCACCGCCTAATCGACGGCCCCGACACTCGCAAGCTTGCTAACGGTGCCCGAGCAAACCGACGCAAGCATAGCCGCCGGATCAAGAAAACCCGCGGTCTGAACAAGAAGAAGAAACAGGGGACGAAGGAAGAACGCCTCGCCGCAGAACTCGCCCGTGTGAAGCTTGAAATGGATTCAGCGGCCTCCCTGAGAAGAAAGAAGAGGAATCAGATGGCATGTCGCGCCGTCGATCGGTATAATCGAGATCCCCACTACCGATTCCTCCACGACCGTGTTTCCGAACACTTCGCAACCATGCTTGCCGCCGATATTTCCCATCTCACCGCCGGCAACCTCGGCAAGCTATCCCTTGCGGCGAAATGGTGCCCTTCCCTCGACACCTGCTTCGATCGCTCCACTCTCTTATGCGAAAGCATCGCTCGCCGCCTCTTCCCCCGTGAATCCGATCCCGATCTCGCCGCCCTTGAGGACGCCCACTACGCCTACCGCATACGCGACCGCCTCCGCCGGGCTCTCGTACCCCTCCGCCGCGCCCTCCAGATTCCCGAAGTTTACATGAGCGCCGGACAATGGGACTCCCTTCCCTACTCCCGCGTCCCCTCCGTCGCCATGAAGAACTACAAAGACATATTCGAGCAACACGACGAAACCCGATTCAACGAATACTTGGATCAAGTGAAAGAGGGCAAGGCCAAAATAGCCGCCGGCGCGCTCCTCCCGCACGAAATTCTGGCTCCGGCTGCGGCCGGCGAGGACGACGAGGTTGCAGAGCTTCAGTGGCGGCGGATGGTGGCAGACATGGCAGCGAATGGCCGCCTGCAAAACTGCATCGCCGTTTGCGATGTCTCAGGAAGCATGTGCGGAATACCCATGGAAGTCTGCGTTGCCCTCGGTCTACTCGTTTCTGAGCTCAGCGACGAGCCGTGGAAAGGCAGGGTGATCACATTCTCCGAAAATCCGCAGCTTCATAAGATTGAGGGAACGACCATCAAAGAAAAAACGAATTTTGTAAGACAAATGGAATGGGGGATGAATACTGACTTGCAGAAAGTGTTTGATAGATTGCTTGAGGTGGCGGTTGAAGGGAAGCTGCTGCCTGAAAAGATGATCAAAAGGATTTTTATTTTCAGCGATATGGAGTTCGACATGGCGGGTGGAGGATGTTGGGAGACAGATTACGAGGTGATTTGTAGGAAGTTTAAGGAGAATGGATATGAATCAGCGGTGCCAGAGATTGTGTTTTGGAATCTGAGGAGCTCACAGGCGACGCCGGTGCCGGCGACGAAGCCGGGAGTGGCGCTGGTCAGCGGATTCTCGAAGAATTTGATGAAGCTTTTTCTAGAAGGGGCGGGGGTGATCAATCCAGTGGATGTCATGGAATCAGCCATTGCCGGCGACGAGTATAAGGGCCTCAAGGTTTTTGATTGAAGGGAAGCAGCCCTTTGTAAATTCCAATCGAAGTGTCGAAGTGGAGAGTGGGTGTTTTGTTTGGAATTACAAATAAATCTCATTTATGTAATTTTGAGTCTCTTGAATGCAATCTTATAAGGTCATAAATGAAAAAAAAAATTTACATGAATTAAATTATTATAGTGGCAGATAATTTTATTTTTTAAAAATATTGTTTATAGAAAAGTATTTTTTTTTAAATAACTTTTAAATATGTATTTTAATTGTTTTTAACAAACTTAGATGCCTTTCTTTCAACTCTAATATGAGTGTCTTTTATTTATTTATTATTTTAAATGGGCAGATTAAATATGAATGTCTTTGAATTTTTATTTATGTTTTGGTCTTATAAATATTATATGGGATTTTTACATGCCTAACATTCAAAACATTTCTATTTACATATCTCAGACACAAATTTCATTTTTTACTGTTATACCACCTAAAAGCCCTAATACTCTCCAAATACAACACTCCGTTGCTCCCGTTAAGAGGTGTCGCTGCCCTGTTTCGCAAAAAAAGGGAGCTGCGTCAGTCTGATGGAAGAGAGAGAAGGGAGCCGCTCCAATCTCCATTTCTACTGTTCATCTTCTTCCTTCTCTATTATTTTTTTCCTTTCTAATCTTTATAGATTACAGAACTTATCATATCTATGTTGGGTGTAATTAGGGTGGTGTTTGGTGAGGAATATCTTTGTCTTCTTCACGGAATGGGCCGGAGCAGCAGCCATCAATGTTCTTGTTTATTGTTTGTCTTGTCCATGCCGAATTTTTTTTGGTGAATTAGCTTCCTGTTGGATGTGTCTCTTGAATGAATAACAATTGCTCTTTTAAGTAGTTATTTGTGAGGCCATGTAAATAGAAGAATTGGTCTAGCTTCCAAAACATGTAGCATTCAAAAAATAGGACAATGTCGTGGAATGCTACTGGAGAGAAAACTGTTAGCATTCAAAGTAGACAAAATTTTTCAAAAAATCTGGAAGCATTCCAAAAATATGCTCGGTTTGTAAGCGATGAACACGCTGCTCAATTGTGTAAGACAAAAAAGGGGAGCTACATCGGTCCAATGGGAAGGAGAGAATGGGAGAAGCAACGCGAGAGAGCCACTCGAACAGGTTTCCCGCACGAAAGGCTGTTTTTGTGAACTGGTTTCTGACGGAAGCAAACGGAGTGTTGTATTTGGTGAGTGTTAGGGCTTTTAGGTGGTATAACAGTAAAAAGTAAAGTTTGGATGTGAGATGTGTAAATACAAGTATTTTGAGTGTTAGGTATGTAAAATGTTATTATTTTTATAATTAAATTGTTACAAATATGACCTCTTGTTGAAAAATGATTTATTTGATTTAGAGGCATTATAATATATATATATATATATATTTGAAATGAAGTGTTTTTAATATTTAATTGTCAAATGCTATTCACAAATTCAATATCTTTTTGCAAAATATAACTTTAAAAAATAAATTCCAACTTTGATTTTTTTTTTTTAATTTTAGATTAATGAGCAATAAATCTCAATTTGACTTAACATTAATTAAATCAATCATAACTCAACTCTTTTCATAAAAAAGTCAAAAAGATAAATCTGAACCTAACCCACTAGTAACCTTAATGACTCGTTCCCAAAAGCGTTAACTTATTTATATTAGTTGATAAAAAACTAAAAGATTATATTCAAACAAAACAAAATTTAAACAAAATATATTAAAGAGGTCATTTTTGAATCACAAAGAGTTTGTTGGTCAGCCCAAATGTGATATATTTAATACACATGTTAGAATTTTAAAGACGAACTTAAACCGTTTATTAAACAAGCTAACTCGAACTTGATCCCTTTATACTTTTAATATATTTAATCAACCATTCTCACACCAAAGGAAAATATGTAAATCAACTTATCTAAAAGAAAATATGTAATTTCATGCATATATTTCAATTTCATTTAGCTATAAATAAACATAAAAATTTAGATATTGAATATATAAAATAGATTTTTTATGAAATTTCCGTATACAAATTATTTGATAATACAATTTTCTCTCATTTATGAACAATTTCAACCCCTTTTCAAACCACAGCGCATCCAGGTCCCCCTACCCTCCAATTCACCATCACAGCGATGGCGGCATAGTGCGTGAGCGCTCCCAAAAGCACAAACACATGAAATATCTGATGACTATGCCCGGCGATGTCAAAAACCCCCGGCCGCCACCGCTCCGGCACCCTACTGACGTAAACAACCGCGCCGGCGGCATAAGCGGCAGCCATGGCGAGTTCTAACACGATCGAAATGTGCGCGGCGCCGTGGTCCCAGTTAACGGCGAGAGCGTGGGCGGCGGGGATCAGTCCAGAGAAGCCCATGGCGAGGAAGAGAGCGGCGCGGAAGGGGCGGAAGCGAGGGGAGGAGAAGCCGGGGGAGAGGAGAGTGATGATGGAGAGGGAGCCGAGAGCGGTGATGGAAGAGAGGTAGATGAGACGGGGGAGAGGATGGCAGAGGAAGGCGTAGTAGATTGGGGGGAAGAAGGAGGAGATGATCATGATGGAGATGCCGGTGTAGTCCAGGCGCCAGAAGAAGAGGTTGAGGCGGCGGGAATGGCAGGCGAGGAGGTGGGAGATGGCGCTGAAAGCAAGGCAGGACATGGAGCCTGCAAGGAAGATGAGGATTGGCCACCTGGGGACCTGGTGGGTGTTGGAGGAGCCCTGCATTAAGATTTAGTATGAATAATGAAATTTTTTTAATAAAAAGGTAATTTTGAATTGGCATTTGAGATAAATGAAATAAATAAACAATAAATTAAAATTTATTTTATCCTCATTTCAAAATATATTTGCTAAAATGTTCATGATTCCTGTTCCAAAACAATTTAACAAAAGCAGTAATTCCACGAGTAAGGCCGAAGCAAATTATAATTCATCTCTAACTAAATTCTATTTCTAACATAATATATATATAATATCCATTTCTAAACTATATTTTTTACATAAAAAATAAGTTTATGTGAATAGTGTGACGTCGATGTTAGGGTCGCATTGTTCACAGCTGGTATAAAATACAAAAATACATTTTCGCTTATCGGATGGATGCTCATGGGCGCGATAAATGGGCGAATGAAGCTCGGTTAGAGATGCCCTTAGAGAAGCCATGCAAGAGTCATTATTATTGACAATAGACTTCTGGATACATTGAATGGCCAAGAAGAGGCAAAGGGTAGTATTGGCAAGATTGCCAGCTTTCAGATTAGAAGAACCCTTGAACTAAAGAAAGAGCATTGGAGGCAATGGATTTGCCTAAGATTGGTCACAAGGTTTTATTATTAGTGAATTTTGAGATTAACAAATAACTGTGAACAATGAGAAATATGGCATCCTTTGATGCAGTTCAATCATTAAGAGGGGGGGATCACTGAATAATGGGAAAATGCCTAACCATCCCATTGACAATAAATGAGGAAGAATGATGAGAAATAGACGCAATCCAAGAGATAAAATTTGGAGGAAATCCTCTACAATTAAGAATATTAAGGAAATCCTCCACAAATTGGATGGTTGAAGAGGAGAAATGCATCGGGATAGAAAAGCCTCCCTCAAACTTAAGAAAACATTCTATAAGATGATGGTAAGACCTGCAATGCTTTATGGTGCAGAATGTTGGCCATTAAAAGAGAAGCATAATATTAAGTGGATGAGTGTTTTACTCTTAGAGACATGATATGAAATAAGCATATACGTGAAAAGGTTGGAGTAGCTCTAGTGGAAGATAAGATTAGATAGAGTCGTCTTAGATGGTTTGGTCACATAAAACGGCGGCCTTACAATGACCCGGTTAGGAAAGTAGATGTATTAGATTTGACTTATGTTAAGAAAAGTAGAGATAGATCTAAAAAGACTTGGTTAGAAAATATTAAAACTATGAATGAGAATTTAACTTTTAACAGGGCACAATGAAGAAAAAATGATTCATGTAGCCGACCCCACATAGCAGGATAAAGATTTGATGTTGATGTGTAGTACCCATAATCCACACCCATATTTCCTTGAAAAAATAAATATATAGCCCATCAGGATTTATTGAAAACTTTTTGACCTCTTTTTCAAGCTCGCTTAGTTATATCGTTTCATTTCCCGTGTTCCAGTGATTCGAATCACTCTTATATTTCAAAACATAAGCTCTCTTTTTCTTTGTGATTTACTCCAACCTGGAGAGCTGTTAGTGGGATCATTCATCCAGCGCATTGATGATATCGCTAGATTTTTACTTTCCTAACCTAAAAGAATCACATTTAATTTGTAACATCAAAAGTATAGATGGTCGTTGAAATGCGGTTAGATTCAATGACATTCATTCATAGAATCTCCATGCATTTCCCTTGGCCTGATCCCAAGCAGGTGATCCGAATCCCATGGGTTAATGTCAATTGGCATTCCTAATTACACAAGCCTAAGACTTTGTTTGAGACGATTTTCTTCCTGCTTCTTAAAACAGCTTTGTTGTACAAAAATTATACAAAGCTACTTTAAGAAGCAATAAAAAAGCAGTCACAATCGAAGCCTAAATTTTCTTCTGGATTAGGAAGACTATGCAGTATGCCTATTTTGCAAGCATGCATGCACATGTGTACCACTTCGAGTTATACTTCCCTAGAATATCCCCTCATTAGGAAGCCTAAATTTTCTTCTGCATTGTACTGTTCTTATTATGTAATAGGCACTTAAATATTTACTCGTTTGAAAAACATTATAATAATTAGAGGTTAATGCAATAACTAAATTCATGTAATAAGATAGGTTTAGTGTATGTGTTGTTGGGTCAAACCCTTGGAGAATAAGATAAAAGACCAAGAGGATGAGGAATCTTTTGATATTTCTTGCATTTCCTTCCTCTACCTCACATATTCTCAATTTCCAGCTTTCTAAAATTATATGAATATTTATTGCACTTCATTATCTCATGATTGTTTGTGAATGTTGTTTTACTTTCTTTTTAGACATTGTGCATTAGAATCTCAAAAAATATTTCAAAAAAATAAAAAATTAACAAAACATTCTTTGAATTCAACATTCTATGACTATTTTTCTATTTAAAAAAAAAAAACTTTAGAAGGATTTTGTTTTTCCCTGGTAGCCTAAGCATTAATTATATACTCAACATTATATTGTCAATCAAAACACATACTACATAATCTTGAGTTATGGAAACATATAGACTCAGAATAATATTACATTTTCATGGTACATTGTAACCCCTCATATTCATTAGGATCATCTTATGTGTATGGCAAGATAGTAGGACCTATTTTCCCGCTATGAGTCAACTTATCTTGTAATATATCAAAACTAGATGTCATGGCCATAAAAATCCATAGATGGAGTTAAAAGGTCTTACTTGCCCTAAAGTATATAAGTCATACCATCATCATTTACAGTACCCATTTCAAGATTAAGCATCTAGGAAGATGTTCACCTAACATTAGGCCCTTCTTCCAGTTTAGGCATTTTTCAATTTTTAATTGAGAAAATTAGGTCAAGTTCCTTTTCATGGGTCAATTCCTTCAATCTATCCTTTGGGACTAATGTCAAGTAGTCTCTTTTTACTGTTGAGCAATCCCCTTTTTGTGAATTACAAGACCCACATTCCTATTTCCTCATTCTAATGTCACCCACTTGTCTCATTTGTCTTGTTGTTTTAACATATTGAAGGCCTCTATATGCTTGACTACATTTGAGTATACCATTTTTTATTAGATTTTGTGTTTAAATCTCATTTATGTTGAATTAAGAACGTGAATAAACATCTTCAATCAAGAGTGTTCAAATTTATGGGAGAGACCTCTCAATTTGTCTACCATTGATTTCTATATTAGAGAGAAGATCTATGATTGTTTTCCATCTTTGGATGTGATATAATCAAACATCTTCTCCCCAAACTACATGAGCCCTTTTCGAAGGCCCCAAACTTCTTTCCACACATATTGAACAAAGCATATTTGATTTCACCGAATGTTAAGGCATTGCCAAGAGAGCTGAGATTTTGAGGATCATAAATAGGGTAATATAAGCCACATTAATGAAGAAAAGGCTGATTGGAAGAGGTGAAAATGGATAGGAAATGGTGTGCAAAAACATTTGCAACATCCTTGGAGTGAAAGAAAGAATTATTCCTGTCAAAACTGACTTGGATTAAGTTCATTTTTTTAAATAATTATTGTCAATTTTATAGAAGTTAGGTGGATTTCTATCATTATTGAAAAATCAACAAATTTTAACTCTACCCCTAAAAATTTCTTCGCTCTTGTTTTTAGGTAGATAAAGTTTCATCATTAGTTGGCCATAATTATCAAATTCAAAGGGAGGGACCGAAGGGACAGGTATCTTCTTCATTCCTGTGAAGGATTCAAGCTTAGAGAACAAGATCTCAAAATGAAAAGGATTAAGGAACCTTTTCATTGGTTCAATCATCTTAAAAAAAACATAAATTTAACTAACCAGCAAAGCAATTATCCTAAATAACTCTGAAATAGTTCCACTACTCCACAACGTTTTATTTGAAATTGTTATGTAATGAATTAAATATTGTTAAAAAGGAAAGATGGAAAACTTTGTATGAATGAATTAAAATAAGTTTAGCGTCACCGAGCGATGAACAAATAGAAGTCAGCTTAAAGCAAACTGTTTTAGTCAAGAGAATGGATTTCTTAATCAAACGAGATGAGAAATGATCCATATTAGTAAGAGTTTGTTGAAAGATATGATTGAAACAGATGAAATGCCATCCTATTAGAGGTAAATCAAGCAAGTTACAATCACAAACCAATTTAAAAAAAAAAGGGGAGGGGAGTTTGAAGAGGAAGGGAATCAATCATCTAAAGAGAGGATATCATTATATTCTGATGCAATCAAGAACTATCATTCTATTTTTTAATTTTTTTTTTATTTTGGATGTTTTTTACTTTTCAATGTTTTGGACTCTATGTTTCTTTTTATTTGTATTACCCTATGATGGAAAACAACTCATGATCATGCTTGGGTTTGGTGCTCTTAGGCAATTTCTCTCCATTGGCTTTTCACTTATGTTGAATTTGCCTCCTTACTCCTTGGTGGCTAAATGAGTATTTAATTTTGGTTTGTTTTTTACTTATTGGGCTTGGCCCAATTCTTCCCATGTTGGAAGACTGCTTGGTGTTCCCCATGCTATCCCGCTTTCCATGCTGCTGGCTTTCTCTATGCTGGTTCTTTGTCCCCATATTGCTATCCAGTTTTTCCTGCTGCTGGTTGTTTTTCCCCATGCTGCTATCCCGTTTTTCCTACTGCTGACTTTTCCTATGTTGGTTGTTTTCCCCCATGCTGCCGGCTATTCGATTTCCACCTTGTTATTTTCCTATACTAAGTATATTCACTCCTCATTAAATGATTAACTTGAGAGGCTTCTATTGTTTGTTTGGGTGACATAATTAAGTGAGCAATTTATGACCATTTCCCCCTTCTTCTCCTATATATATGGGTTGTTTGCTGCTGGAAGCTTTGGTTGTTATTGTTGCTAGTGTAAGCACACTAAAACCTACGATTTATTTAGCTTGCGAGCTATCTTCCTCTACCTTACTTCTTTTATTTCGTCTCGATCTTCTATATAATATTCTCTCCATGGCTTCCCTTTCAGACTACCACATATATCTTTCTTCTCCAAATATTGTGAGTTTCAAGGT